TCCCATCCTGAAGCAAAGTTCTTAACCTGAAGCACTATTTCTGGGTTAGCAGAGTCTGTAACCTGAAGCGTATGTAACCTGAAGCGTATGAAACCCGAGGTACCACTGTATAGTCATCTCCCTATTGCAGATGGCAGACTAAGGCTGAGAGAGAATGGCTTTCCTGAGGCCCTCTAGAGAAATCATATCTACAGTGATATTTGAACCATGGACTTTAAGCTTCAAGTTCTTAATATATTGTGACGAAGACTTGGCTGCAGTTCTGGGACCACCAATTCTGAAATGATCCATGAATATAAAGCTGTTGCTTTGAGTAGAATTTCAGACTGTCAATACTGTTAGGTATCTGATGCTTCTAATCCAGACATGTCCTGTCCCATCTATCATTGCCCACATGAGGAAATGAATACAGTACAGCATTTGAAAGCTCATTGCACAATATACTTTCACTACCCTTTGAGATCACATTTCAGTTTAAGTTGACTTCATGAAAATGTCTGATGCAGATACCAGCTGACAAAAATCTGAGTCATGGGGCATTATAGTTTTTTGCTGATTTAGTATGCTATTTTGAGATCATGTTCATGCTTTACAATTGGAAAGAACAATGCTGCAAACAGTGGTCTTTGTGTGCCGTTAAATCTATACAATTTCCACTGGTGAAAAACTGCTATTGTGAGGTTAGTGAAATGTATCACACCGCAGCTCCAGATGTCAGGATACATGACTTCTCTACTGTGTCTATGGCAGCTCAGATATAAGAAGAGCCTGCCGGATTAGGCCCATGGCCCATCTGCATCCTGTTCTCACAGTGGCCCAAAGTAAATAAAAAGTGTGGTTAGCTAGAAGCTGCAAAATCACAAAGGCAGCAGAAGGCAGAATTAAAATTGCATCTAAACATAAAAAAACATATTTTCACTGTATGAAAAATACAATAAGGCAGGTGCCATGCAAACTTTTCTCTGAGGAGAGCAATGAAGAAAATAAAAAATTCATAAAAATATCATTTTTATGATTCTGTTTTCTTTTGAGCCCATGGCCTAGCTAAATTGAAAAGGCCCGTGCCTGCCTACCTTTTAAGTTTCTTTTAAGTACTGCAAGTAGCAAATGTTCATTCCAGAAGACTGAAATAATAAACTGTTGGAATCTAGGGTGGCCATTGTGTGCATGAAAAGAGAATCAGCTAGGCATAGCAATTGTGATTAATCTTGAATTGTTTTGTTGACAGATGGGGAAAGGATTTTGCGGGGGGTGGGTATGGAGTCATTTAATGAATAGAAAAATTAGCAAAAGTCTTAATAAAGAAAGACATTAAAATGATTAAATGTAATCACATGATGAGGACTGATCTGAAGAGTAAAGATGTTGACGTTCTGTTGCAACTGTTAAGATTGCTGTAATCCTTTGATTGGTGATTGGAAATCACATGTGCAATCTAGAGGTGTATGTGAAACAGGAGTGCCAGCTCGGCCCTGTGACCATGGGTGCCTGGGGCTGTGGGTGCCATGCTACGTGCATGGCCCTGGCACTGACATTTGTGGGTGCCTGGCCCCTTCTTGGGGAATTTTGTGGGTGCTCAGGCACCCAGGGCACCAGCACCTATGATACGAAACATTGCTTTGGATGTGGCTCTTTGCAGCCTACTTATTTTTGAAGTTGTCCGTTGCATATTTGCATTTCAGTAAACGCCTGTTTTTCCCTGAGAGCCTTCATCTTTTTCTGTTGGGTTTTTGTGAGTGTAACCTCACAGAAGGAGCCCCTTTTTAAATTTCTCCAACAAGAGCATCCTGCAACTGGGTTTCCACCACTTAGAATCACCCACAGCCCCTAGATGATAGGGGCACCTAGAGGAAGCCTTCCAATGATGATCTTAAGGTATAGGCAAGTATTTATGGAGAAAGGAGGTCCTTCAGTAGCAGCAGCGGTGGCAGGAGACTGGTGTATGCCACTGGCAAACTGGACAGGTGGGAATCACCATATTTTTCGCTCTATAAGACGCACTTTTCCCCTCCTAAAAAGTAAGGGGAAATGTGTGTGTGTCTTATGGAGCGAATGCAGGCTGCGCAGCTATCCCAGAAGCCAGAACAGCGCAGCACTCCCTCTTGCTGTTCTAGCTTCTGGCTTAGCCCCTCAGTCCCTTCCCCCACCTCCTGGAAAAGCCCCCCAGAGCCGTGCTCCCTTTCACGAGCCGTGCGGAACGTGTGTGCGGTACTTGGGGGCCTTTCCCTGAGGAGAGGAAAAGCCCGCAAGCGCCGCACACACGCTCCACACGGCTCGTGAAAGGGAGTGCTGAGCAGAGGCTGGGATGCATACAGGCTCTGCTCAGCGCTTCCTTTAAATAATATTTTCTTTCTTGCATTCCCCCTCTAAAAACTAGGTGCCTCTTATGGTCAGGTGTGTCTCATGGAGTGAAAAATACAGTATGTTCAAGCTTATTCCGGGCTGCCTGAAGAAGCATTCAGACAACACTTGTTGCAAAAGGGCAAAAAGAGAAGTGAGCTGAATTTCCCAGGGCAAGTAGTAGTTTCAAAGCAGAAGTGCTATGACTAAGAAGGCCCTCCCTTGAGTAGTGCAAGTCTTGCTACAGGAATGCCATCTGTAAAGGCCAGCCTCCTTTCAACAAGACCCTGTGCTTTTTTGTTGCTAAAACAAAACAAAAACCAGCAGCCCAGGGATTCTAGAGAGGTATTTTTCACCCAGTATCTTCTACTCAATGCTACTGCAGTTTAAAAAAAAACTAGGCCAAGAAGCAAATCTGAAACCCTTGCATTTGTGACCTCCAGGCTTAGCTTCTGCACCTTAACAGGTCTGGGAGGGAAGCCAGAGCAGCTTGAGCTGGAAAGCATTGCAGTACACTGCAGCAGGAGGGTGTGGTTGTTGCTCCTTGTTCTCCTGAAATTCATTCATTTCTCCTACTGTGTTTGTATTTTTCCATTCTAGCTTCTTACTCAAAGATGACAGAAGGCTAGTCTGTGAATGTTTTTCCATGTTCCTCACTTGTGAAAAGTTTCAGAGGCAGCACTTTTGGGGTGTTGGTCTCCTCTGGAGAAGAGACCACTGGAAACTCACACGGCATTTTTGTAACATTTGACATATTTACAAAGACAACATAGGAGGAGGCAAGCAACATATCCACTTCTGCTACCTCACACCAGACATCCAAAGAGAAGCATCCTAAGAGGCTTTCATTCTCCAATCCCCAGATCTGACCTCTGCTTCTTCTGCCTCTTTCCCTTTAAGAACATAATATTTTATTCTTTCACATACGCATAGCAGCAGCTTCCCATTAGATAAATGTGACCTGGTAAGTACTGTAGCCTCTCAGAGGTAGCTTGGATAGAGCAAGGCAAAGCCAGAGACGCTTTCCAGGCAGTGTTGGTGGGTCAGATATGAAAAGGAGGGAATCGCTGAATGACTGTGGAGAATCCCTGACAACTGTTAAGATGTTTGAAAGTGGAGGCTACGTGTCACATCAGTTCTGCCTGTGGATCTACTATAAATGTGACATTTAGCCCACAGTAAAGAAATGCTTGGCTTATCCTAGTTTAGAGAGATAACAGACAAAAGACACTTTTAGCATAGTTCTGGTTCAGCTCACTGAAGCAAACCCCTCTGCCCTGAGGGTGATGGTAGTTTAGGATCAGAGCCAACCCTCAGTTATATAGCAGTTTAGAAATCTAGAAATTTTTATTTATTTTATAGATTCATCTGAAGATCACAGGTTGGTTTACAGTATAAAAACACAAAATACGTAACAACAAACAAAAGCAATACCCCCGCTCCAGACACATTTAAAAGGTCATAGGTTGTTAAAGCAGCCGATGGCCTGATTGAAAAGGAATGTTTTTACCTGGTGCCTAAGTTGCCAAATTCTCCATTTGCTAAAGCTAAGAAACCACACTTAAGACATACATTTCACAATTTTATTTTTTTCTGCATGTGACCACTTACGATGTAACAAAAGTAATGGCACTTGGAAGAAATCGGCCTATTGCAGCCATGGCGCAAGAGCTTAGATTCACAAAGGATACTTCAAATACTATCAGGACGAAAGCTCATTTGAAGTGAGTGTGAGTGTGTTAAGAGCATGAATCCCTTAAGTAGGCAGAGGACAGCAAAGGAGCAAACCCCTTTGCTTTTTGCAGTTTCTCTGTTACGATTATCTAATTGCCTTAGGCTACAGCCTATACACACTTAAGGTAAAGGTAAAGGTACCCCTGCCCGTGCGGGCCAGTCGTGTCCGACTCTAGGGTTGTGCGCCCATCTCACTTAAGAGGCCGGGGGCCAGCGCTGTCCGGAGACACTTCCGGGTCACGTGGCTAGCGTGACGAAGCTGCTCTGGTGAGCCAGCACCAGCGCAGCACACGGAAACGCCGTTTACCTTCCCGCTATAAAGCGGTACCTATGTATCTACTTGCACTTAAGGGTGCTTTTGAACTGCTAGGTGGGCAGGAGCTAGGACCGAAAGACGGGAGCTCACCCCGGCGCAGGGATTCGAACCGCCGACCATGCGATCGGCAAGCCCTAGGCACTGAGGTTTTACCCACAGCGCCACCTGCGTCCCTTAGGGACTTAGGGACACATTATTTGTGAGTGCATGAATATGGGACTTATCTGAGAGTATATCCCACTAGGAGTGACTTGTAAATTTAATGTGTTACTCATTAGAAGATTTAAGATCTGTCATTATTTTTGCACTAGGGACGTTGCAAAACGGTTACTTCTGAGTGTGTACCCGTAAAATCGCACTACACAGCTGCATACACAGGATCGGGCTGCACGCAATCCCGACGAATACATTTATTACATTGATTGCCTACGCAGGCTTTTTGTGCTCAGCAAACGCTGAGCAAACACAAAGAGGAGGGGGTCGAGCTTCAGCCGCCCCTCTCACATGACTTTGCTTTCATAGCCTTCTAATCAACCATCCCGGCCTCTTCCCGTCTATGACACAACCCCCCTCCCCTCGTGTCTAAGATGAATCAGTGTCACCAGACCCGGAGAGGATTGCAGGGAGCTAGGGAACCGGTGGGAGGAACGCATGCGCACTACGAACCAGGCCGACTAGGAAGAATCGGTTTTTCTTCTCGGTCTACCACTGCGCTTGCGCAACAGCAGCAATGCGGGAGCGGGGCTCCCGAGCTTCAGCCGACCCACCGTCGCGCACGCGCAGTAGCTGGCTTTCACCCCCTCCCTCCCAGCCGGCGGCGCGGCTTGTTATATAGGCTGCCTGTCAGCTGACCCTCCCGCATTGCAGACGGCGCAGCCCGAGAGAAAAGCCGACATGCAGCGCTCCGCTCTCCTCGTCCTCCTTTGCTCGCTGGCGGCGGGTAAGAAAGCGAGGCCGCGCCCTCGGTCCCGTTAGCAGCTGCAGCTGTTATTGTTATTATTCAGGGAGTGTAAAAGCAGGAAGAGCCGCCCTGGGGTGTTCGTTGCTTTGCTTTGGTTGGGCTCCCATTTTAAAAAATAATGGTGGGCTCTTGGCTTCCCTCAGGAGGAGGAGGAAGGAGGGCGACGAAGGGGGAGAGCAGCACAGAATCTTCGCTTTACCTCAGAAAACGAAGCGGCGAGGTGCCTGGGAGGGGAGGGTGGCTTCTTTTTTCATTTCTTTTTTAAAGGGGGGGCTCCGCCTTCTTTCTTGGCCGCCATTAGAAAGCGCCCCTCTTTGCCCTGCCCTGTCTCTTCTCTCTACAAGGCGACCTCCCCCCCACCTCACCTTGCGTTTCTTTCCGCCACGGCGGGCAAAGGATTTACTATTAGACGCGCCCCTACATGTCCGTTTTGGGGCGGACCTTGAGAAGACGTCCTTTAGAAGACCTGCGTTTTTTATATTTCGGAGGCCGTCCAGATACTATTATTGTTTCTGCAAGGCTTAGTAAAAGTGAAACACGCTGTGCAGGAGAAAAGCGCAAGTCGCCGTCGGGTGTGTTTTGAGGGCGGCCTCGGGGACCTGTTGTTTGTTTATTGCCAGGCTTGGGGCGTAGCCGAGCTTCCGCCTCCCCCCCCCCCGCACCTTAAATGGGAACTGCCCGCCCTCGCCATCATCGCCGCCAACTGAATTCACGGTTTTTTAACACACTCGTTACCCCCCCCCCCCTTTTTCTGGCCAAACAGCTGGTCAATGGTTTTGCAGTTGCATTTCTGCATAGCTGAGGCTGCTCTGATCAGGAGGCTGGAGTAGGTGACCCCATGCCACCCCAAGGTCCCTTCGGACCTCAGATGACTCCCCCCCCCAAAAAAGGATCCATACTAATCCCAACAGTTTCCCAGCAGCTGCTGTTCAAATATCCCTGGAAGGCGAAGGTGTGAAGTTGACAGGTTGTCCTCTCCTACCTGTTCACAACAGCTGGCATGGAAGGGCACAATGCTTCTAGACGTGGTATTTCATGATTGGCGCATCTGTTAACAGCACCTGGCCCTTCCATAAAGTTGTCTTGTGGCTTCCTCAAATGCTTCAAGCATCCTTATGTTTCTGGCATTTTAGCCCTGTTTTTATTACATATATGCATTCCCTGGGCATGAAAATGTCATAATGTGCCACTGAATCAAGCTTGCTCCCAATAGATAAATAAGCTGTGATTCTTCAGGTGTCTGGCTCTTACTCCTAGTTGTAAATTCTTAACTCCACTTATGGTGTTGTCATTCCATCAATTCCTTTACGTTTCAGCTTTGCAGCCTACCCCCACAGGAACCAAATACTTGCTTTGGTGTGTTGGAAGCTGTTCTATAGTATAAGCTGGATGCAAAAAGCACTGCATTGAAATACCTGCAGAAAGGTTTCTTTTGAAGAATTGCGGTTGATGGCAGCTGCAGTATATGATGTGGAAAGCAGAGAATAAAGCCATTGAACCAAAATATATGCAGAAGAGCAGCAGCTGGAACAGCATTGTAAATAAGCCCACGAGCTTTCAGGCCACAAAAAGGTTTAGCCAGTCATTATATATTGAGAACCTGAAGAAAAGGGGGCAAGAAATAACCCAATTCTTAGTTGTAGAAAACGATCATGCCAGGATTTAGCTAGCTACACTTGTCTTTTCAACAAGAGGACTGTAAATTCTAGAAAAGTAAAATTGCTACCATCAAGTATTTCTGGAATTTGCTTTGGATCTTGAGGATTGTATCTAAGAGGCATACTTTGAACATGGTTTCTCACCGCAAATGATACATATCTTTCTCAAAGCATCACATAAACTTGTGGGTGGATAATCCAAAGAAAGCTTTATCTTTAGGGGCTAAATTTTGCAACAATTAATGTTGCAGCACCAAGTATGACGAAACACGGGTTGAATTGAACCCTGAAGCTTTGTATACTGGTTCTCTAGATAGACAAGCAGTAATTTTAAAAGGAATGGAAATAATCAGGTGCATCATGCAAAGGAAATCCTTTCAAAGTTACCTGAGGTGGAAAAACATATTTAATAAGCCAGTTATTGCTATCTAGAACACCCTGGCACTGCAGTCAAGTGAAGTTGGAGGGTGAGGAGTCTGCTGACTCTCCCTGTGATAGGCTTCATAGACTTTCTGAGTTTGAAGGGACCCCAAGGGTCATCTAGTTCAGCTCCCTGCAGTATAGGAATTAGTCCCAACATCCTCTTTCCAGGAAGGCCAGGTGCCCCTAGGATGTTCCTAAGGCACGAGCTGTCCAATGTCTGACCCCAGCAGTTGGGGTTTAGTGGTATACTCCCCTTGCACACTGAGCTTCCACAGCTATCATGCCTAAACAGTAGCAATTAAAGCTCCTGTCTGCTGCTTAAGAGGGTGTTCTTGCGATACTGTCACTTTCTCTGAACTCTGCAATGAATGACTTAAGAGCCATCTGGCTTGTTTATTTAAGAATATTTATATCCTGCTTAATACTGTTAAAAAAATTGTGTGACGCTGCTTTTACAGAATTATTACAAATAATTATGCTCGTTCTTGAATTACTATTTGGATGCTTGTAGAATGTAGCAAATGGAAAGGGAGGTGAGTAGCCCAAGCAAAGGCATCTGATATTTTGTGATAAATATAAAGCTAGCCTACTTAGCTAAAAAACAACAACAACAAAAACCCTTTCAAAATGGAAGTGATCCCAGCACTTAGGGAGAACTAGTGGAAGTGGTGCTTTCATCTAGGGTGGATTATGTCACAGCAATTTAAAAACCATTTAGATCCTGATTTAGAATTGCAAGAGGAAAGGCAGATCTTAAGCTAATGATTTATGATATAATCCAAGCTTTGTGTAAGTTAGCTCCATCCTTGTGTAAGTTAGCTCCATCCAAAATGCAGGTGTGACTAAATTTCATTCCATAGAAATTTAGGGAAGGGCAGAAAACAAAGATTTTAACTCACTTCCTGCCTGCCCCTGCCCAACTAAGAACAGTTGGGATGCAGTTTAATTTGTACAGGAAATACACCAGAAAGCAGATGTGTTGGTTAAATACATCAGAAAGCAGATGTGTTGCTTAAGATTGCACTGTTAAATCAAGTTTCCTATTGGTTCATCTTTCCTAAACAATACTGCAAATTTAGCCACTAAACGAAACTAGTTTGCACTGTTTGCACTACTGTTTATAGGAGGCATTACAACTTTGTCACTCTGCATATATATTTTTCTAATAATAATAATTTATTTATATGCTTCCCATCTGACTGGGTTGCACAAGCCACTCCGGGCAGCTTCCCACAAATTAAAAACAAAGTAAAGCATCAAACGTTAAAAACATCCCTTTAAAATATTTGCTAATACTGTAAGGTCTTTTTTTTAATCAATAATAGTTATGACTGTGATGTTTTAAGTATAGGAAATACATGAACATAAATTCTTGGATAACTTCATTGCTATGTTTCATCTCCACCCTCACAAACAAAACGCCCAGAACTTAATAGGGCTTAGAAGGTCTGATAAAAAAAACACAACTGCTCTATTTAGTTCAATAACAAACTGTTTCATGGGGTGAAAATGAAATGTATGTACTTCATAGGTAAAGCCTGAAAAGTGGTCTCATTGGGTGGAATTCAATATTGCACTATTATAAATGTTCCATCTGTGCAAGCATAGAGAGAATGCCCCCCACCTATCCTGTGCACTGTTCTGGAGGTTCTCTCATCCCCCAACTATTTGGGGGGGGGGGCAAGCCCCATTGTGCAAGTGGAAGTCATTGTCCAGGGCTTCTGTTGACCAGGTTCAGTTAAAGGACGTTTTTCAACCTATTTGATGCATTCCTTGATTAAGTTAAAGAACTTTCATGCTTTTATTGAGGTTTATCATTAATCTAACTATTTGAGAAATTGGATATTTTTTAAAAGTCCAATTTAAATCAAATCTGGGCAGGTCTCTTATTTTATTTTAAATTAAAGGAATTGATTTTTAGTCACCCTCCTTTTATTAAAGTTCTCTGTTGGATGATGTGCACCTAGCTTTGGTTGGATTTATGTGTATAGTATTGCATAATTTTAAATAAACATTCTTGCTTTTCCAAAGCTTGGTGCCTCAAGCCTTGCCTTTGGAGATAACTATCATTTGTGAATGATAGTTTCGATAAATCTGGTGACTCCTCACAGCTGCATCTTGGGCAAAGTATCAACTAAATTGGATCACTTTAGTTTTTCTTTCCTCCTTGCTTTAAGGAAAGAAAAGAGAAAATGCATTGTATTGGTTTGAGGTATGAATGCATTCCACAACATGCATGTGAAACAAAACTTGGTATATAAATTGACATAATAATAAATACACAATTATAATTGTAATTGATGAACAACTCAATGGAGTAAAGGTAAAATCAGTTTAAACTATGAAGTCTGAATTCACTTAAAAGGTCTGCTGTAATAAGTATTTAGTATTAAACTGACTAAGCATTTGACCTGCTGATTTCAAATACATGGCAAAAATGCTGCCAAGTAGACAGTGAACTGTCATCTGCACTGTGATTCTGATATAGTGAAGTCTCTTGGCTATGCAGAATTTGAGGTCCACAAGTGCACCATTTCATGAGCTCACAAGTAAACTTCTGCCTCTTCCACTCTCCTCGGTCCATATTGGGTTGCAGAAACTATTGAGCCAAAAACATGTTGAAATTGGGAGCAAGAGACTAGCTTACCTGTGACCATTTAAGTTTGAAAAACCTCTGACAACTTTGTATTGAAACTTTTTTCGTCCACAATTAAGAGCTGGATAACTTGACTGCAAATAGGTCAAAACTTCTCAACTTTTGCCTCTAGAGGGTGCTTCGTGCCTTGGTTAAAATCACCTTCTAAATCCATTATTCTCAGATGTTTCAGTATGGGACATAGCTGTAAATTTACTCTATCTTTTAAGCCCTTTTAACAAGAAAGGCATGCACATTTTCATAAATTTTATGGAAGCAAGTTCCAGTGAGTTTTCTACATCTGATTTAGGATTATAGCCCTAAAGAACAAGAAGAATGTCACTTAGCTGTCATTTCTTTTGTAAAGTCTTGCACAAAATAGGAGTGACCTTTGGCCAGTACAGAAAGCTCTAAGTTGCGCAAAATGACTGAGCATCTGACATTGAAGCCTGTGGGAAGGGAGCACTTTATCAGTAGCTTGTGTCCTTGCAAACGTTAAGTATCTTAGTCTGACCTTGTAAATAATCCATACTCCCCCTGCCCTGCCAATCTTCTGCTCTGTTTGACCATTCTCCCACCCGTTGCCAAGATGTTTTACGTGTGCAACACTAATGCAGCATCTCTGCTGGTTTGCAAATCCCTAGCTTCAGCCAGCTATACTTGGTGCCAGTGCTGGTATAATGCTACATTGTGATGAATGATGGGAAGGTAAGGAAGATTTTGCACGTGAGAGGAGCACATGTGAGCTTGAGACTTGCTGCTCTAACCATGATTAAGATACTGGGTTTGTAATAAGAAAAAAATTGTGAGTTTGTGTGTATTAATTTCAGTGGTACTTGAAATATGTGCTTTAGATTGCAAAGTACTGCATGTTCCAAAGGAAGGATTTATCTAGAAGTTGATTCAGTTTCGTGTGCAACATAGTTCTCTGTTCGCATAAGATTTGCAGTGTTACTTACCATAACCAGTAATGTAACTTGAAAAAGAAAGCAGCTACATCTGCATAGAACTATAGAATTCTAGGGGTGGAAGGGACCATTAGGTTCATCTAGTGCAACCCTCTGCAATGCAGAGACCTTTTGCCCAACGTGGGCCCAGAACTTTGAGATTAAGACTCATGCTCTACTAACTGAGCTATCGTGGATTCTGGTACCACTTAAGAAATGTCTATCATAGAATCATAGAGTTGGAATAGACCACAAGGGCCATCGAGTCCAACCCCCTGCCAAGCAGGAAACACCATCGGAGCACTCCTGACATATGGTTGTCAGGCCTCTGCTTAAAGACCTCCAAAGAAGGAGACTCCACCACACTCCTTGGCAGCAAATTCCACTGTCGAACAGCTCTTACTGTCAGGAAGTTCTTCCTAATGTTTAGGTGGAATCTTCTTTCTTGTAGTTTGGATCCATTGCTCCGTGTCCGCTTCTTTGGAGCAGCAGAAAACAACCTTTCTCCCTCCTCTATATGACATCCTTTTATATATTTGAACATGGCTATCATATCACCCCTTAACCTCCTCTTCTCCAGGCTAAACATGCCCAGCTCCCTTAGCCGTTCCTCATAAGGCATCGTTTCCAGGCCTTTGACCATTTTGGTTGCCCTCCTCTGGACACGTTCCAGTTTGTCAGTGTACTTATTGTACTTATTGGTCCCAAGATCACCCTGAAATCATTTCACTGCAGAGTACAACACTGGTCCCACTATCGAAATGCTTGTTTTCTGAAATCTTAAGTTATCCGAACACAAATAATTATACTCAAACCTTGTTACACAAACATATCTGAACAGACACACTTTGCCTGCTTCCTTACTAGATTGCGTTTTGTGGCAGACATTTTTGGCAGAAACCATGGAGGGTGGGAAAGAGATCAGACAAATTCATGTTTTCTCTCTTTGGCTTTTGCTGATTAGCTGCAGCAGTTTCAGGCAGAAAGCATGGAGGGCAAAAGCATGGATTAGATGTTCCCGTATGAAGTAATGGGAAATCATCAGTTCATTATGCAAACACTCTCTTAATGAATGATTTCCTGAGAACGCATTGTGTTAGGAAAGCAGGTCCTGCATGTAATGGTAGGACCAGGCTGTGTCTAGTAATAGACAAAACCAGCTATTCACAGGCTGCTTTATATCCTTGTCCATCCCAGTAAAATTCCCCTAGAAGCTAGATAACTAAAAGTCTCATCAGAATTTCTGTAGTTACATACAGGTAGTTTCCAATTTCCATGTTCTAGAGTGTATAGGACAGGCTTCCTTAAACTCTGCCCTCCAGATGTTTTGAGACTACAATTCCCATCATCCCTGACCACTGGTCCTGCTAGCTAGGGATCATGGGAGTTGTAGGCCAAAAACATCTGGAGGGCTGAGTTTGAGGAAGCCTGCTATAGGAAGTGGAAGATTGTATGACTGGAAAATTTATTGTGATAAAGACCTCATGTGCCTGTTTGCACATGCTCAAACTCCAGTTCTCCCCTTACTGTTGAAGATGGAAGAATTAGAGGTTTTAGTGGCAAAGCCATTGTACATTATAGAAACAATAAACTTGGCAATAATATTTAAATTAGACTAAATGCTTGATGTTCTCTTTTGCAGTAGTTGAAGTGCTCTCTTTATCATCAAGCCTGAAATGTTGATAATTGAGTAATCCAGTGAGTGAAGTATTGATGCTAGATTGACCTTGCTATCTTCTGAATCGTAATCCATTTAAAGCATTGTGAATTTGCTATAACAATATTAATTTTAAAACACGGGAAGAAAATAAAATACTCCTAAGTATTATTTCTGAACCTCAAAGCTGGGAGAGGGAGCAGCAGCAGCAACTATCCCCCACTGCCTGACCTTCACAGATGCATGCAGTACAGCTCTTGGTTTCATTCTTAAATTAAAGCAAATGTCCATAACCACCTTACTCAGCTTTGTTCCATTGTGAATTTAAGATAGTTTCCTGCAGGGGGCAGTACTTGAGGAAAGTTCTAGAGCAGTGGTTCCCAATTAGCTAAGTACAGTGGTGCCCCGCAAGACGAATGCCTCGCAAGACGAAAAACCCGCTAGACGAAAGGGTTTTCCGTTTTTCGATGCGCTTCGCAAGACGAATTTCCCTATGGGCTTGCTTCGCAAGACGAAAACGTCTTGCAAGTCTTGCGATTTTTTTCGCTCCCCCCCTTTTTCTAAGCCGCTAATAGCCTTTTAGCCGCTAAGCCTTTAATAGCCGCTAAACCGCTAATAGCGCTAATCCGCTAAGCTGCTAATAGGGTTGCTTCGCAAGACGAAAAAACCGCTAGACGAAGAGACTCGCGGAACGGATTATTTCCGTCTTGCGAGGCACCACTGTACTGCAGACCCCCAATTTTTCAGACGCCCCAAGCTATTTGAAAATTTTGATACCTCAATAGTAGTTTTTGTTATGTGAATGGTGCCATGGACCCCCTAGGTAGGTTAAAATACATACAATAAATAAGAAATAAAAAAGCAATAGTAATACAATTGAAAATTATACAGCATCTGGCACAGTGCATTAGTTGCTACAACAGGCAGAAAATTTACTAAGCAGTCTCCCAAGACCCTCAGCAATTTCCAAGTGATCAGGATGGGGGGGGGGAGTTTGGGAACCACTGTTCTATAGGAAACAAAATTATCTAGCAATTCCTAATTGGTGGATGACGGGTGCCTCACAACATGTTAGCTCATCAGTTGTCAGTTTCTCTTACTCTAATGCATCTGTATTTAGTAAATGGTGAATACACAAAAATAGCTTCAAATGTATGAAGTGAAGAGTGTTCTGGCAGTTAATGCTAACCTAGGTCTGTTCAGTTGTGTATTCATTTCTGTTGTATGAATTTATCATTTTTATTTCTAAGGTTCTTTAAAGATCCCCAGCAGAATGAAACTACTTAAGTGGACTTACCTGTTTTTGAACAAATAACCTGAAAACTAATTTCCCCCAACAGCTTTGGCAAGCCCCCTCTTACTGCACAGAGAGTGCGCAAAAGGTCCTGAGGTATGGTGTCAGAACCTGCAGACTGCATCTCATTGCAACGCAGTTAAGCATTGTCGGCAAACTGTTTGGAACAAGCCTACAGTGGTAAGTCCAACTTTTTGATGTGACAGTAAACTGGAACTAATTTTTGTTTCCCTGGTAAATTTAAATGTTCTATAATCCATGCTTTCTGAACAAAGCAAACATACCAGCTGACTGATTATATTGGTTTACAACTAAATAGAGCTTTTGTAATACTTAGGATCAGAACCCAAAGCCTTTGGCTATGCACTTGCATATCTTTTGCTTAGAAGGAAAGGGGAGTGATGACTCGCAATATACATGCATATACACTGAACATGATAACTTGAGTTGAAAAAAAACTAAGTTCTTAGAACTTTCAAAGACCAAGGACAGGTCATCACTGAGCATAACTGTCCCTTTATGTGAAGGAACACACAATCTGGCAGGTTTTTGGTGTTATGCTCCATGTTATTAAATGTGACCCAATTTCTCTCTCATCAGCTACAGTTTATATTTGACTAAGAACAAATGTGCCCATGTACACTTTAAGAGTTTATTAAAACGGTTCCCTATTTTATCCAAACTAGGAAGCTGACTTGGAGAGTAGTGCTTTTGCCGCCTGATGTAGCCTACATGAAATTTATTGCAGATTTTTTTTATATCTCACATTTCTTGCCAATCCCAGGACAGGTCACTGTTGCGAATTCCTCGGGGCGCTTTTAGCAGAAACGCTCAGAGTCCCAGGGTTTTCCAGTGCAGTCTTTTTAATGTGAGCTATATACAGGTATTTACAAAAACAGTCCATACAGAGTACCTGCTCCTTAAGGCAAACGAATACTCTCCACCACAGCACCACCATACCACAGCACAGCCACCACAACCACTGTTGAACAGGCTTTCCTTTTAAAACAGGTGATAGCCAATCATATTCCTGCTGAGTCACTCTGACCCAGCACTTCACAGAGTATTGCATCAGCCTGTTGAAGCCTGCAGACTTACTCAGTATCCTGCGAATCCCAACAGTCACAATAACATAAAATCACAAAATAAAACAATAATATTCCAGTATTTTGTTTACAAGAGACAGGGATAGCTAAAATAACACAATTAAAACAACAATGTCTCCAACATTGTCACAGTGCTGCATAGTGAGTTCAACTGAATGTAGCAGTGCTGCCATATCATTACCAATACTGCCAAGAGATCAGGGAGAATCTGTTTCACTCCCCTATCCTTCTCTGACAGAGATCGTGCATCACGGTGACCAAGGGTGTTTCAGCCAGAACCCTGGTTATAATTGCTCAAAAGAATCAGTTTCTTCCAAAAGTATCTGAAGATGTCCACCACCCTCTTTAGCACCTTGTTTAAAAGGGGGGATATTAATATAAACTTTGGGTTCCAGGGAAAGCTTCTGAGGTTCTTGAACAAAGAAGTGTTTCACTGCCATTTGGATTCACCCAGTCAATCCCCTTCAGCTTCCTCTTGAAAGCCATGATGGATAAGAGTTGAGGCTATGTGTGATTGAACCACATCCTTGGGTTGCAGCAGCTGAATTTTCTCCCACGCAACCTGACTAGATGGTATTCTAGATCCTGCTACTGGAACAGTTATCAGTGGGTGGTGTCATGTTCCATGTGAATGATGAATTGTAATTTCTCTTAAGGGTAAGAGGCAATACTAGTGTAGTACTGGGCAATAGTATGCACATGTCCTTATTGATCAAAGCTGTATGTTCTCCTCAGAAAAGCATCCCTTGTGACTTATGCAAAGAAGTTGTAGCTGTGGCTGGCAAGGTCTTGAAGGACAATGCCACGGAGGTAAGAGTGGAGCTTCGGTGTGGTCTAATCTGATAAATAATTTGCAGGATGCTAGTTCAGTTGATAATGCCCCTTGCATAAAAATGTACAAAGCATTACACTTTCTAAATTGAAAATTACTCTGTTGAAATTGAGTGGTGGGGATATTGGATAACATATTCACAGATTATGAGCCTTTTAGGGACAGAATTATTGCAGTGTATAAAACTTTGAAGTGAGCTGCTCTGAGGCCTTGCAAAGGTGCAGGGATCAAAGTCAAATACAAAGTTTATCCCCCAAATAGCTTCTTTACTTAAATTCCAATTGCATTATCAGATTGTTGAAATCAATGTAAAAAACAACCACCTTATAACTCTACTGGTAGACAAAGGCTACCTGACCTTCCTTGTTAGCGAGGGAGTTACTACTTTTATTTGGATTCCACTACATAAGGAGCTACAGACTGCAAGAGTTGTGCCTTCTATTCAGGTTTTTAGTGCTAATTTTAAAAATTAGCTACAGGTACACTAATTTTAATGACCCTCTTTCATGGTTTGGGAATCATTAAGGGTTTCTTTCTGAAAATGAAAGGTAGGCAAATCTGTTCAGTCCTTGAGGTTATAAATCACCTATTTTCTGTTACAGGAGGAAATAAATGCCTACATGACTAAAGCATGTGAGTTTCTTCCTGACCAAGAGCTGGTATCTCAGTGCAAGGAAATGGTGGATGCTTACTTGCCAAATATTCTGGATATGATCAAAGAGGAGCTTGTGAGTAGTCTACTGAAATTGAAGCAATTTTATTTTATTCCAAATTAATTGGACAAGCTAAGCGGGTGAACCTAATACTTCTCTTTTTCAAGCATTTAGATGTTGTGTGGTGGGTGATAAACCTTGATGGCTAGGGCTAGAAGAAGGGTTAGATCTGGTAATAATAATTGTGGAGTGGAGCTTAAGCAAGTTCTGGCTGCTTAGTTCCTGTTGTCATTTCTACTTGATTCTTGGGGGTCAGGTACTTGTCTGGCATTTCTTCTTTGGAATTTAAAGTAGATAGAAGCAAATAAACATGAAGTATTGTTTGTTGATCTATAGGATAATCCTGAAGTTGTATGCAGTGCACTCACGTTGTGCCAGTCTCTTCAGAAGCATCTGGCAACATTGAAATTGCAGAAACAGCTTCAGTCTAACAAGATTCCTGAACTAGATTTCTCTGAACTGGCATCTCCCTTCATGGCTAATGTGCCATTACTACTTTACCCCCAGGACAAACCCAAGCAAGAATCTCAGGTGAGAATGTAGCATGTCAGATCTTAACTGCAATGGGACTGTACAACAAATGGGTTATTCCCATGGATAATTCTTAACAAATATAGCTTGACTGTACTCAAAACTCTGGAATACAAGCCTGTACAAAATAAACTTCTTTGGTTTCAGCATTAGCAGTCTATGTAGCTGATGCTTTTGGCAAAGTGTTCTACTGCATCTGCAAATTAAATTATCCAAACCTTAATCGGTTTATCAGCCTGTTTCTTTACCAAATCAGAAGTAACAAAATAGACGTTGTATCAAGACACGTAACTGAGAGGTCAGTTCTTCTCATGCAGAGTTTTTATCTTGCTGTACTCTGGAATAATAATGATACAACCTCTCCAGGACAAAGATAATTATTATTAATTATTATTTATACCCCGCCCATCTGGCTGGGCTTCCCCAGCCACTCTGGGCGGCTTCAAAAAAAAATATTAAAATACTGTACTACATCAAACATTAAAAGCCTCCCTAAACAGGGAGATGTCTTTTAAAAGTCTGGTAGTTGTTGTTATCTTTGACATCTGGTGGGAGGGCATTCCACAGAAGGCCGTCACCTTTCCGGGTCACCTTCAGAGGTAGCCCCACGTAGAGCGCATTGCAGTAGTCCAAGCGGGAGATAAGCAGAGCATGCACCACTCTGGCGAGGCAGTCCGTGGGCAGGTAGGGTCTCAGCCTATGTACCAGATGGAGCTGGTAAACAGCTGCCCTGGACACAGATTTGACCTGTGCCTCCATGGACAGCTGTGAGTCCAAAATGACTCCCAGGCTGCGCACCTGGTCCTTCAGGGGTACAGTTACCCCGTTCAGGACCAGGGAGTCCGCCACACCTGCCCACACCCTGTCCCCCAGAAACAGTACTTCTGTCTTGTCAGGATTCAACCTCAATCTGTTAGCCGCCATCCATCCTCCAACCACCTCCAGACACTCACACAGGACCTTCATCGCCTTCACTGGTTCTGATTTAAAAGACCATATCATCAGCTGGGTATCATCCGCATACTGATGAACACCCAGCCCAAACCCCCTGATGATCTCTCCCAGCGGCTGCATGTAGATGTTGAAAAGCATGGGGGAGAGGACAGAACCCTGAGGCACCCCACAAGTGAGAGCCCAGGGGTCTGAACACTCATCCCCACCACCACTTTCTGAACACGGCCCAGGAGGAAGGAGCGGAACCACTGTATGACAGTGCCCCCAGCTCCCAGCCCCTCAAGACGGTCCAGAAGGATGTTATGGTCGATGGTATCAAACGCCACTGAGAGATCCAGCAGAACTAGGAAACAGCTCTCACCTTTGTCCCTAGCCCGCCGGAGATCATCAACCAGTGCGACCAAGGCAGTTTCAGTCCCATGATGAGGCCTGAATCCCAACTAGAAGGGATCCAAATGGTCCGCTTCTTCCAGGCGTGCCTGGAGTTGTTCAGCAACCACTCGTTCAATCACCTTGCCCAAGAATGGAAGATTTGAGACTGGGCGATAGTTGGCCATCGTGGCCGCACGAAAGATGGTTTTTTAAGAAGCGGTTTAATAACCGCCTCTTTCAGCGGCTCTGGAAAGGCTCCCTCACGGAGGAAAGCATTCACCACCCCACGAAGCCCATCGCCCAGCCCTTCCCGGCTAGCTTTTATAAGCCAGGATGGGCAAGGATCAAGGAGACAGGTGGTTGGTTTCACTTGTCCAAGCACCCTGTCCACACCCTCGGAAGTAACAGGTTGGAATTGATCCCACGCAATTTGACTAGACAGGACTCTAGCACTCTCCCGCCCCGGCCCTGCTCCCACGGTGGAGTCTACCTCTTCCCGAATCTGAGCGACTTTATCTGCAAAAAACTTCGCAAAATCATTGCAGGAGATCATGTGGCCCATACTGGGCCCCAATGTAACAGGTGGTTCCGCTAAATTGCGAACCACCTGAAAAAGTCTCCTGCTGCTGTTTTCTGCAGATGCAGTAGAGGCGGTGAAGAAAGTCTTCTTCGCTGTCGCTACCGCCACTTGGTAGGCTCAACATTGAGCTCTAACCTGTGTCCGGTCAGCTTCAGAATGAGTTTTCCGCCACCGGTGCTCTAGCCGTCTCAACGATAGTTTCATTGCCCTCAGATCCGTGGAGAACCACGGGGCTGTCCGGGCTCCATGCAATCGGAGAGGGCATTAACGTAACAGGGTAAAATATTTATCGGTCAGCGTTTCACTAATCCTTTGTTGGTTTAAACAAGTTGAATGAATGAGTCTATAAAGGTATATGCTATGAATTGATTTTAATCAAGAGTCTTTGGCCCAAAAAAGTGACCCATCCTATTCTGGGGAGCAAACATCACTGCTTTTCAGGGCCTCTTGTATTAGAACTGGTTTATTGGAGGCCTTTTAGAATACTATATAAAACTTTGTTCAGTTCTTCTTTCAAAGATGTAATCTTACTAAGGTGTGCTAAATGCTTGTCATTGCAGGGAAATGACAATGTGTGTCAAGATTGTGTTAAGCTGATAACTGACCTTCAGGAAGCCGTGAGGACCAACTCAACCTTTGTGACTTCTCTCATTGAGCATGCCAAAGAAGAGTGTGAACAAATTGAACCTGCGTTTGCTGATCTGGTAATTGAATAGATATGGTTATGTTTATCTTGTGTCAGTGGGATAAGTGCTACAGTAAAGTAACGATTCGATTTTTAATGCCATTTTTAAAGACTAAGCAGTCACTTTTCTGAGGTAATAGTAAAGCTTAAAAGTCTTCTTCCACAGTGGCTCTAAACTCACACTATTTAAGCTCTAATTTTGCCCTATTTGGCAAGCCTGTGGGAAAAGTAGAAACAGGGAGACCAAGTTCAAATCCCAACTTGGTTATGATGCTCCCTTGGTGACATTGCCAAGATCACCATCTCTGTTTACTCATTCTTGCAACAAACTTGAGAGATAAAAGGAGGGGATGTTTGCATCCGTGAGTTCCTCTGATAAAGGATTGGATCAGAAGGCAATTTGTTGTAACATAAGGCAAATGACTTATTTTAGGAACAGTATAGTGGCTTAGATGATATTGTATATATGATACTGTTTACATTCCATCTCAAATCATCTTCTCTTTCTAATAGTGCAAGTCCTACATCTCCCAGTATTCAGACTTAGCCATCCAGATGTTGATGCATATGGTAAGAGGAATATTGTTTGTTAATAATTGCACTTCTAGTTCTGAAGGGGTCATTCTAATAGGTGTGATGTGAGGATTAATACAGTAAATGTATAGGATAACCATGATAGTTTGACAGTGTCATAATTGAAGTTTCTCGCTTGCAGTGGTTCTCAACCTTGGCTCCCCACATGTTGTTGGACTACAACTCCCAATATCCCTGAACTATGGCCTTGCTAGCTAGGGATGATGGGAGTTGTAGTTCAACATTTGGGGACCAAAGGTTGAGAAAGGCTGCTTTAGAGGCTGAATCTAAGCTGCTGCTTACAGCAGAATACTTGCTTGTTAAATGACCATTTTCTTTAAAGTGTGTTACCCAACCATGTGCAATCATTTTTGTATTAACAAAAGTTAAGTGAAAGATACTGAAGCTCCACCTCAGTTTATGGCAGCAAAGATAAATAGCACTTAGATTCATTACTGTTTATTTTATCTGCACTTGGGCATTTTCCATACTACTTTCAATGACCCAAGTATCAAAAAATGAATAAATGTTGACTTTTAAGCATAGCAAAACAAACAAAACAAATCTCACCCAGGATTCAGTCCCTGGCAAGATTTCCTGCCTCTGAAAATCTGTGCACCATTCAACTGCCTGGTTATTTTCCTGTTAACTTACCATGTCTTCCTTTCTCTCCATTTTGTCAACAGCAGGAACAGGTATGTGAGAAACTTGCTTGTGGTGGTGCCTTGCTTCTCTCCCTGCCCCCTGCCCCCTGCCCCCTGAAGCTGTAGTTTATAAACTCTTGCTTAGAGGTAGATGTGGTGTGACAGAATTCAGCTTTGACAGATTCAAGGACCAGACAGTGGCTTTGGAAAAATAGTAATTCCAAGTGCCGAATGAAATTTCATCTTGGCTATTCTGAACCAAAAGGGAGTCCCAATTTGTATTATCTTCCGATGTGTATTTTAGTAATGGAGCTTCAGAGGGCCCCATGAAACTCATATACTCTGCTTCATAGGGTACTACAGTGAATGGGGCTTTTGGAACTCCATAATGTTCTTTGGGCATAGCTGTTAAGTAACATTTCTAGGAAGACCTTGCGCCTGTCATAGTTTAGTGGCAATATGTGTTGCATGTGTAGTGCTGGTTCTAGTATTGTATTTGAGTGCATGAACGAGGGAAACACGAGGTGAGGGCGGAATGGGGAGAGGAAAGGTTCTTCCATATCTAACAATCGTGCTGAATTTTTTCTCCCCTGGCATATCTGCTCTTGCATGAGAATTCTTTGGGCAACAGACTTTAAAATGCTGAAGCTTATATGCCTTGCTTTATGGTAGCTTAGTTCTGAAGGAAAAGTGCATGCTACTACTTGATGTCCAGCTTACAAAAGGAAAGAGAAAATACCTGGTTTTGCCTGTGTTTAGAAATAGGGAGGACTTTCTCCATCAAAGGCTGTCTGGGTGGAAACACCCATACTAGGTAACAAAGCTTAATCTGTAGCAGGGAAAGCTTCTGCAGTACTTTCTGTTTATAAAAGCATGATTTTAGAATCACCAGGTGCTGTAGCTGTATAGTATTTGCAACTTAATGGACCAGTCCATATGTTATACTAAACCATGGCTACTGCGACAGAAACAAGCTGCAGCAAGCCTTGGGCTTCTGAATATTATATCCCACCCGCCTGTGACATGGCTGTGAGGAAGAGATAGGAAACTCTTGCTTCTGGTTCTGATTTTTTGTTTGTTTGTTTGTTTGTCCAAACCAAGCTTGTGTTAAGATGGTTTGTTTCAACATTACTGTAACTGAGATTAACCTGATTTTGGACATAATGCATAACCACAGTTTCCATCTCCTTTTCTTGGCTGTGCTAGAAGGAGTATGTTAGCCCAAGGTTAACTGCGATTTGTTTCTATCATACTAAGCTGTGGTTTATTGTGAAGTCCAAACAAACTCACCCTCTCTTAAACAATATTCAGTTTGTCCTCAGAGAAGCAGGATGCTGGCATAACTCTTGGAAAAGGTGTAGAAATGTTCTTAATTTCTGTTAATTTAGCTATATATGATGTATATTCCAATATCTTGGTACACGTTCTTTTTCAAATGGCAAGCAACTTGCACTGTTTTCCTCATATTTAAAAGACCAGTGGTCAAAGTGAACTAAAAGTAACTGCCACTAATTAAATAGCATATTCCATTTGAATATGCTCAGTAGCGTACTGCAGCGGAGAAGGAATGGAATGCAAAGAAGGAGGGTGTTCCTGGGGCAAAGGAAGTACCTTATGAAAGATTTATATAATTAAACAAGTAAACTAATGGAACAAGTATTTTCTATAAGGTATAAAACTTGCAGTGGTTATGGTAGTTGAGCATGGTATAAATTTTGCAATATCTGTAACAGTCTGCATGCAGATGCACTGAACAGTAAATTGCACGTAGGAAAGCTTGTGTCTTTCAGATACAGATAATATCTTATTTGAGTTCAGAAAAAGAATTCAAATTGTCCAAATGCAATTTTGGTTTTATCAATGGCTGGATCTTGTTCTTTTGTGTGGAAATGTGAATTGGCTACTACAAAACAGTTTAATGCGAACTGCTAATTAGTGTCATCCTAGAAACACATATTTATGCCTCCTGAAACTGGGCATAAATATGGTATCCAGCAAAGTGCCTTTTAGAGAATCAGTAATTCACTGGCACACCCAAGTTTTTCTTGAGTACTGCTTAAATGTAGCATCATGAGGTATGTTGAGCAAAGAAAGCATTGCATTGACTGTGTATCTGCTCTCCTTTGGATTGCCATTCTAAAGCATTCAGCTTTGAGGAAGAAAATCTTGTCTCTAGTCAACTTTTAAGCATTTTGCGCTGTGGTCTAAACCTTGCCAATCAGAAGGTCGGCGGTTTGAATCCCCGCAACAGGGTGAGCTCCTGTTGCTCGGTCCCAGCTCCTGCCAACCTAGCAGTTCGAAAGCATGTCAAACTGCAAGTAGATAAATAGGTACCGCTCCGGCGGGAAGGTAAACGGTGTTTCCGTGCGCTGCTCTGGTTCGCCAGAAGCGGCTTAGTCATGCTGGCCACATGACCCGGAAGCTGTACTCCGGCTCCCTTGGCCAATAAAGTGAGATGAGCGCCGCAACCCCAGAGTTGTCCTCGACTGGACCTAACAGTCAGGGGTCCATTTACCTTTACCTTTACAGTTGAATTACTAAAGGCAGTTCAATTATTGGAGAAATTCAAACTGAAAGCTCAAGTACAGCCGTACCTCTTGTTACGTCAGTCTCCGGTTGCATTTTTTCAGGATACAAACGCGGCAAACCCGGAAGTGTATACTTCAGTTCATGTGCAGAAGCACTCTATCGCGCCACGTGCATGCGCAGAAGTGGCACTCTAGTTGCAGACTTTTCGGGGTGCAAACGGCACCCCGGAATGGATCGAGTCCGTAACTAGAGGTATCACTGTAGTATCATCTGAAAGGCATTTGAAACTCCTTTCACAGCTTTAGTGTGTGGTGTGCTAAGACTTGACTAGTTCTCCTTCCTGCAGACTATCAGGAAATAATTGGAACTGTTCTTTATGTCTCCAGCAACCCCAGGTTCTTTGTGGCATGGTTGGATTGTGTTCTTCTCTGAAATCTGTGCCTCTCCAGACTCTGGTACCTGCAAAAGTTATCTCTCAAGAAAAGGTAGAACCAGTTGAGGTAAGATTTGGTGTTAAGCAGTCTATATAGTACTCTTGGTGTGGGATGACATTATCTGGTTCAGCCTTGATGCCACTAATGTCATCCAGTAGATTCTTGCCATCATAACCAGTGGTCGGCAAGGTTTACCTTGCCTGGGCTGGTTCACTCCAGCGGAGATCCCTCTGTGGGCCGGATTGCATGTGTACATGAGTGCACCCGCCTGCGATTGTCTGCGTCTGCGCAGACACAATTTCCGGCACTGCGGAAGTGAGTCCCCACGCCACGCTGGTTTAGCGCAACACACGGGGATTCGCCAAGCAGGCGGCTCAGTTCAGGGGCGGCTCGGGGGCCGGTTAAACAACCCCTCTGGGCCACTTGGGATCATAACGCTTACTACAATATTCAAGGAAGCATGTGGCTAATGCATACCTAGATGAATCCAGCTCTCCATGCACTTCTCGGCCTGTCAAACCCGCAGTTCAATTGGAAGAAAAGTTCTGGTTTCTAGGCACCAGAACCATGCTATATAGCTCCAGCCACCAAACTTAATTATTTTGTCTATGTGCTCCTTAACCAAAGCCTGAATACATATGTTTATTTGTATGGCAAATACAGGTAAATAACAAAAATATTCAGCCTTAGCATTGTTTTACTATAGTTATGAAGGCTTCTGCAGGCACTTAAGATTATATTTTTCCATAATAGTTAGCTGATTTCTGATTTTAAATATTTATATTGTTTTTTATGGTATGGCTTTCTATATGACTGTTTTAATACATAACTTATGAATAGTGGTGCATACATAATTTCATAAATAAAACATGTAGGCAGATACAATTGCTTTGTTTATACCATCACTTGACAAAGAAAACCATAGTAGGGGAGGAACCATAGTTCAGAGGTGAAAGAGCACATATTTTGTATGGAAGAATGTTCCATTTTCAAGCCCTGCATAGACCTTTAGAAGGGGTCAGGTAGAGGTGATGGCAAACACCTCAGCCTGAGACCTTGGAGGACTCTTGCCTGGCTGAGTAAATCTAAACTCAATGGCATTATAATCTGACCAGGTATGAGGCGGCTTACTGGGAAATGGATTAGTGATTTTGATAACTGAGTGTTATTTAAATTGCCTGGAATTTGTTTGTTCTTCCCCTCTCGGCACAAGCAGTTCCTGCTGGATGGCAAAATTGTGCTCTGTCTTCTCCCTCCCTGCCATATATACCTGGGCTTTTTTGGATTCCATCCACATGCTATAGTTGAATAGCTTGGGACCATCACCCTAAGCCCCTTGTCTCTGCACATATAATTCTGTAGTGGAGGGAGAAAATAAAAAATTGTGTTAGTCTTCTGCCTTTCCACAAGTAACAATTGGTACTCACTAAGCAAATTTTTTTTTGTTGTATGGGAAGAAAAGTAAAAGTCTAGATTGTCTAGTACTCAAAAGCATTCACAATTTGCCACAGCTAAGCATGCCGCCTTAAATGTTAGCCTCAAATATTGGATGCTGTCCATAGCATTTAAAAGTTACGGATTTCATTTACGGAATTGCACAGACTTTAGTCGATAGTAGAACCTGAAAATAATACAATTTAGGTTATTTTTTTCAGAGATAAGCAGTGGGACAAATACAAAGGATTTATGCAAATGTAATTTTAAAGATTCATGTATTCTGTAAACTCAAGCGGACTTCGAACCAAAAGTCATACCACATTTCATGTTTTTGTAGCTGGTGGTCTTCTAGATGTGTTAGATGTTTGAATGTTTTCTGAACTGCTGTATATGTTACTTATTCCAATATACAGAATAGCTTGAGTCAAACAGAATCTTTCTCTCTGTGTGATGCATGTACGATAATGGTAGAAGAGGTGGCCAGCCTTCTGGAAAGCAATAAGACAGAGGTGTGTATCTTTTACCTACGTATCTCTTAGGATAGGGACACTAAATACCTTTTCCCCTAAATACATCTTGCTATCTAGGTGCTGTTTGCTTTGATTGTTAAAGAAGTGTTAGTATCATAGCAATAGTATGCCTAGGTTTTTATAGCATAACTTCATATTATGCTTACACGATGTCTGAGTTTTTCCAACTTCTTACAGATAGTATTTGATGAATCAGAGTCCACATTTTCCTTTGTTACGGTTTTGTGTAATCCACATTAAATAGCTGTGTGCCACACTGAAAGGAATTAAGAGAGTGGAATAATAAATAGGAGAGGTATTGATATCTCTTTGCTAAAATAATGTATTAACTTGCTCAACACAAATAGCTTCAGATTCTAACTTGGTAAGTAGATGGTGTCCCTTTACAATCTCTGTAACTATTATCAAGAAAGTTACTTTACTTAACATTTTCATTTTGTATGTACTAGGAGGAGATGGTTTATGGAATGGAGAAAGTCTGTTCTGTGCTACCTGAAAAATACCGACAAGAGTGCAAGGACTTTGTGGATGTCTATGGGAAGTCTATAATTGACATGCTTTTGGAAGCAACTGATCCTAAAATGGTGTGTGTGATGTTGAGGTGTTGCTCAGACAATACTTTGCCTGCTGGTAAGAACTTAAGGAAACAAGTACTCTACACTAAGCACTCCTACATGTTTTTAGTTGGCGCCATACGGGTTTTTTTTCTTTTCAGTATTGCATATTTTAGTTAAGTGGCTATAGGAAAAAACTTTGAACATTGGACTCTTCTTGTATTTTCAGAAAAAATTGTTCCAGTGCAGCCGCAGGTTGGGGACATCTGTGATGTCTGCAAGATGATTGTTGCATATGCTGACAAGGAATTGGCAAAAAATGCTACCACTGCTGAAATTGAAGATTTTCTGGAAAGAGTCTGCCACTACTTGCCGGCGTCTGTCAGTGACCAGGTAAAATAGATAATTAGTATTAGACACACCTGTATTTAAAGCTTAAAACGTTATGTGTGACTAGTGAGCAACATTGGCTTCTGCTCTAATCTTCTGGTTGTATGTTGTAACCATGCAAGGCTTGACACATGAGCACAAGACATACTAGGTACTGTGATCTATTGTATTTCCCTTGCCTGTTGCATTATTTCTTTCCTCTGTGAGAAGGAGCAGAGCACTAGCCTCCTGGTGACCTGGCAGAATTAATCTTTCTCCTCCAGTGCCTTATTAACTAGTCCTTAACTGGGGTGGGATGCTGATTTGAGTGGCTAGTGGTCTTATTTCTCTCTCCTTCCCCATCCCCTATGAGATGTTTACGTGGAGTTTCACCAGCCTAAACCACAGAAATAACTTACTGTCTGCTTAGCTAGCATATGCAACTGTTTGAGCATTAAGAGCACAGCATATTGTCAGCTGTGCGGGGTGGAGGATCAAAAACGCATAAGCAACAGGAATGCTGAAGGATGCACAGAGGAGTGCATCTCAAACAGCCACAAAGAATACAATCACTTCAGTGTTTCACAGTAAGTTGCTGGCACATTGAACTTAGCACATTGTAGACCTGCAGTCAAAGAAAGGAAGAGCAAACATTTCTGCAAATCCCTTGTAAAACAAGACAGGTTGCTGTACCCACAGTTTATTGCAACTGACTAGGAAGCTGTAGTTGCTTGCATTGCGTAAGTGTAGCGCAGTGGCAACCTCTGTCCTATCCGTTCATTGAGTTTTTCTTGGCGAGAGCAGTCATGTGAGGACTCTGAGATCCAAAACAAAACCGGATGTGGACCATGGGTCAAATCATTTACCCCATGATGTATTACATTAAAAGTCATTTGCCACAGTTGCTTTTCATGCCAGCAACAAAAAATGCTTATCTGCATTTAAATGTAAAGGGGCACATGTGAAACACAGGGATGTATGCTCTTACTTGTATCGGTTAACCCCTTGAGCTGTTGAAATGAGTAGGACACTTGTCCCTTCCTATAGGTGATGTGTTGGCTCCCATTCAGCATTGACTTTATCATGGACAGAATCCGTGGATCCAACTTTATAGTGGGCATGAGTAGAATGATCCATTATTCCCCAGATTATTCTGTTCATAGCAGCCTGGGTTAATATTGTTAATAAATTCACAGTGAAGGTGCATATTTTGGCAATTAAATTACCACCTGGCAAATTGATTTAATGTTTGTACTAAAAACCTGTCAGTAACACATTCATAGTTAACATTCAGATAGTGCATACAAACCATGGGATGCGGTGGAGGGACATGCTTCAGTGCACTTTTCTATGGGAATAGTAGGTCTAGAATGGAAAAAGAGGTGTCCACAATAGTTGATATACTGGTGCTACCAGCGTTGTGTAAATCACCTCTAATGTCTCATTCTTTGGTAATGCTAACAGTGTAAGTCCCAGTCACCAAATGACTTGAATTGTATATTGCAAGTCCATCTGAATTTACAAGCTATGTGTGTTGTGTATGCCCTGCTTTGGGAGCCTGTGGCCAAAAGCAGCATGGACAAATAAATGTATAATGTGTGTACAATAGTAAAAAACACAGTAGGTAGTATTCAAAGCCTTTGTTCTATTTGCACAAGGACTTGTGCACTGGGATTTCCTCTCCCTGTGTGTCTCCGCATGCCCCGTATAGCTGTTCTGGGGCTTATCCCAGACCTCTTGTGTAGATTTGGGGAGGGGGAGAGTTCACTGCACAAACAGAAGTCATTGCATTAAGTGAAAGAGTAAACTGGATACCTCCCAATAGGTAGTATTCAGCCAAGTTAATAATTTACATTGATCATTTCAGGGGAATCTAGTGCAGGGGTCTGCAAGGTTTACCTCGCCTGGGCCAGTTCACTCCAGCAGAGATCCCTCCATGGGCCGGATCATGTACTTTCCGGCACCTGCGCAGATGCAATTACCGTTGCCGCAGAAGCGAGTCCCCTCGCGCTGTGCTAAACTGGCACAGTGCGGCGCAGGGACTCGCCAAGTTGGCGGCTCGATTTGGGGGTGGCTCGTGGGCCGGTTAAATGACCCCTGATCTAGTGCATACTAAAATCTTCCACTGAAACTACTGAGTTTTGCATATATTAACTTCAGTTGAGTTGCATTCAGTGCAAAGAAGTGGCTTTAGTTCCTTACTGTTTTTTAAAATCATATCCTTGATTAATTAGCAGGGGCTCGGGTCACATAATCTTTACTTTTCCTTTGTTTATCAACAGTGTGTTCAGTTTGTGGAGCAATATGAGCCAATGGTTGTGCAGCTATTGGCAGAAATGATGGATCCCACTTTTGTGTGTAGTGTAAGTACCACAGCTAGTATGGCTGTTCATATGTAAAGCTGATTGATACATTAATCCATGGGATGATACCCAGCTAGGACATTGTCTGAGAACAATCTTTGAAAGTCCTTTGATTTTAATGGGTCTGCTCGGTCCTAGTGAAACTTGACACTTTTATCTTGGGAAGTTATATGTGGCTTGTAAGAACTACTGGGAAGAACTAATCTATGTTTTTATCAAAATGGAAATTGGAGCTGCAATTAATTGTCCATCTTGCAGAAACTTGGAGTTTGTGTGACATCATCACATTCCATTTTGGGATCAGACGTATGTGTCCGGGGACCTGGTTATTGGTGTAAGAACATGGAAACTGCAGCCCAGTGCAATGTGAGTAAATGAGATGTTGGCATACTTTTATATTCCTGTGGGTTTCCCAATATTTCTGGCATCAGCTATGCTAGAATAATGACCTAATGAAATTTTTTAGCCATGTTGTTAATATTGTGGGAATTGAGTTCACTCTGACCTTGCCTTGAACCTCTCTTTCTTTCTCTCCTAGGCTGTTGAACACTGCAAACGTCACGTGTGGAACTAGAAGAGGCGCACTGGCTTTAGCCAAAACTTTCGTTCTTGAAGAAAATGAGGCGAGCATTAGGCTGGCAAGAATGAAACCTTGGTATCCTGATCTCTCCTCCTCTCCGCTTGACCCCCACCTCCATTGAAGTTCCTTTTTATGAATTTTCTGGTAGCCGTGCTACTACCCTGGAAGGATCCACAACGTTGACTTAATTGGAGTTTTAGTTGTTTATGATCTGTAAGAATAAACAGTAAATCATCAATGTTGATCAATTGGCCTGAGTGCCTTTGAGAAGGAGTGCTTACAGTATGTAAGTAAACGAAGGACACCACTGCTATATCTGGATATTAAACATAACGACTAATTTTTAACGTCGCTCTTTTTGGTGACTGGCTTGCTAGAATATGTGTCTTTAATGCTGTTCATTAAAACACCTGTTGAAACTATATCCACTTGCTTTACAGTTGATTGGTTGAGGAATTCCTTAAATTCTTTGGGCTGGGGCACAGCTGCATAACCCACACAGGAATACATTTCCTTCCACAGAAATAGTCCAAAGATGGAATGTGAATATGCCCATGGCTTTTGTGCAGCTATGGCTCTTAAGTCTTGAGACCATCATGGAATTCATTAGTGTGTTGCCAGAGTTGTGTTCTCATTAAGTAGATGGCTGATAGCCCATGTAGTTAATACGGAGTGTTGAATTCAGAGCCTATGGAGCAGGCAATACCAGTTGCTACTATGCTTTACTCAACCCAGCTTTACTCAACAGGTGTTCAGGATAGGTGCAACACATTTTTAAAATAAATAAAACTACTTTGGCTGCTTTGGGGTGGGGGGGAATATAAAACTAAAAAGTTGCCACAAGACTGGAAAATCAAGCTGTGTACCTAGTGTGCTTTGACTGACAATTGCAATGCATGAAACTAGCTCCCTAGATGAGGACAGACTTGCCACTCTGTTTTTTGTAGGAAGAGTGTCTGAATGTAAAATTCAGAGGAACCTTGGCAAAGTGGTATTGATAGTGTGGTTTGGAAAAAGTCGTATTTTTTCATTTGGGTTTTGGAAAAGCAGATCATTTTTTTAGTGTTGCCATCTATCATTCTGCAGTGCTGCTGCTATCTTGCACACTGCAGCTATTTGCATGACTAGACATTCTCCTAGATAGTGATAGCGCTAAGTTCAGAATATTTAGCCACAAAATGTCATGTGATAATAGTATGCATAATGACATTTGGTTGAGGACACCTGGTATGTGTGGACAGAGATGGCTCATGAAGCCAGTGATGGTAATCCAAGGCCTAGATTGCAGATGGTGCCATTTTCTAGTTTGTTTGTAGCTTCAATATATTTTTCCAAGTTTCATCCAAGCAGGTCAACTTAAAAGCTGAAGAACAGTACTTGGTGGAGGGGTGAGGACTATCCATTACACTTAGTGCCCCATAACTCTTGAATGCATAGTTTTCTAAACAATTTATTCAAGGTAGAAGATGGTAAATGGAAATTTTAAAATTCAATCTCTTTAGGGTTTTTTCGTTTTAGCGTGTTAAATGTAGGCACACAAGATCTTTGAAACTGTTTAGTATAACAATTGGTTTGGAATGGAGAGCAAACTAATTTTAATGGCAGGAAACTAATTGTTCAAAGTAAGCTGTTGACAATTTTCATGCAGCTTTATTTTATACATCCTAGATGTATTGAGGGCATTGTCTTGATTTTTATCCAACAGATGTTTATGTCTGCTCTTTGGCTCCAAGTTCTTGCTACTTGAAAATGAATATACAATTCAAAACAGCTGTTGTGTTTTGTTTTAATCTTACTGCAGATGTTGATGCTGGCATTTGCTTAATGATCTCATGCACTGATATAGGGTGAATATTTGCTGCCTCTTAGTAATGACCTTTCTTCCTTGGAGGTTGTCAGATTTTAACGCAGGGCTGCGTAGTGCAGTTGGAAGTAGACACAATTTTTTTTTTATTTTGGCTTGAATTTCTAAAATGTGTGGATCTCATAGAAGGTGATTCTGTAATGGACAAGAAGTCTCTCAGAACTGGGATCTTTCTTCTTTTTGTGTGTTCTAACATACTACATGTTTTCGTTCTAGTGGCATAAACCTTTCTACCTTCTAGGTATAAACTGGGGAAAAACAAGAAAATGCTTTAATAAACCACTTTTTCCATTAAAGCTTCTGTAATTCAAAATAAAAGTCTTAACTAAATAAGTCAGCTGTGTGTCTTTTTAAAGAACTGTAACTTTGAAGTTGGTGAGGCCTTGAACGAGGTCCTGATTGAAGGCAACCTATTAGTGTGCTCCTTAGTGTACTGTAGTAAACTTTGGAAGTTTCTAGGGTTGCCTAAATAAATAAATGTATAAATTTTTAAAAAAAGATTTCGCCATTCATTGATAAAAGAAACTATTCTAAACAGAAAATAGTAATTAAAAGAGAAAGAAGAGAAAAATACAAAGTCCCCTCACCAATATATCCTGTCTTGTATCCCGTACAGAGAATAATGTACCCTCCCAGCTCTCAATTGGGAGCAAGCTGGTAGACCGTGTAATGCAATATAGAAGCCTTTCCTCCTGCTTCCAAAGGAACTTTGATCCATTGGTGCCTATATTGTGGCTTGGGGGGGGTGTTTGCTATGGAGCCAAAAAGAGTTTAGGAGCAAAAAGCAAGCCCATCTGGCTGCTACCCCCTTTTCCCATATCAGTCTATAGGGACATATGGAGCCATTGGATCCCATGAAGACGAAGAATATGGTTGGGGCCCAATGGGGTGGGGTAAGACCAGAGCCTTGTCTTCCATGGGGGTTAGGCCTCTTTTTCCAACTCCTTTATTTTGCCCCCTGTAGGGTTTGTCCCCCTCTCCATGTAAACTGATGTAATGAAGCAGTGGGGAGAAGAAGAAATGAGGCAGGATTTCCTTTCCTTAGTGCTTTGATTTGGATTTTGAGTGCTTGGGAAACCGCAGATTAGAAGTTGGAAAACCATCATGGCTGGGTTGGACTCTTGCCTTCCAAGCTACCTGATTTGAATCTGGCAAGTTTAAATGACCTCTCACCACCCCTAATTTACATTACCATAGTAATGGGTATATTAAGGTGATTCTGGGAAGAAGAAGAAAAGGCTTCTCTATCCTTAGACTCTTGTAGGAATGTATTTTGATTTTAAAGAGATGTTGGCAGACTCACAACATTGCACAGCTTAGGTGCTTGGGACATAGATTCATAAAAGCACACAGCCTCCTGGCCTTGCAACTTTTAGCTACAGAGGAAGCCACATCTTGTCAGCTGGCAGAGATTAGGCTATTACACAGAAACTGGAGGAGCCTCTCATCTGGGAGTGCTCTGGCTCTTGCAGATCATGTGCATTAATTGCATTAACCTGAGGCTGGGTGTGGCAAATGGTACTTGTGAAACTTCAAGCGTGTGGGTGTTAATTTCTCTCCATCCTGCTGCCTTTCCCAAGATTGCTCATTGCAGACAGGAGGCATTCTCTCTCTTCACCAGAAGGATCCAGTAACACTGAAGAACATGGAGGGCTTATGGAAAGGGTGGGTGCTGCTGATAACACTCTATTTGGCTGCCTACCAAGGTAAGGACAACATTTTTTGTTTAGCTGGGAGACAAGCAGGGCATAGTTTGTATATCCGAACACAAGAGGGGGGGAGAGAGTGGCACCAAACTTATGCTGATGTATAAATAAAACAAGGTAATGGAAAAAGAAAGGAGTAGAGTTGGAAGAGGACCCTAAGGGCAGCCTAGTCCCCAACTCCCAGCGTGCTGTAAGTTTTCCTTCCTCAGAGAAACAACTTATTTGACCATTTGAGTGGAGAAGGCTTTGTAGAACACATGTGTGTTGCTCAAAATGTGTCTCTGGCCAAGAGTGCTGCATAACTCGGATACTTCTATCTCTGTAAACTTGTGCTTTGCTTGCTTAAATGGTTATACCTTAGCAGAAGGTTCTGAGACAGCTGTACTATAGAATTCCCCTGGTTTTATCTTCTCTAAAGATGTGATGGATGTATAAAAGGGGTGATTACATTCCATAGTGTGCAGTGCCCTAGATTGAGCTAGTATAAGAAGCTTCTGGGCTGAGGCTTTTAATATCCTATGAAAGGAACAATCAGTACCAATCGGCCTGATGTATGAAAACCCACAAATATCTACGTATTGTGCTATTGCATGTTTAGATGATCTGTAACTTTGCTCAGAACAACCTTGTTTCAGTTCTCATGGTGAAGCTGCATTTGTCCTATTTCTGTTGTTCTTCGCAGCCCCTTTGCTGTTTTGCAGCAGACCACAACTTCCTCCTCCTTGGCAGTTGAAAGAGAGGGATTGCTTTATTGCAGCAGAGCAGGTTGCACACACTTGACTTTAAGGCAGATAGGTATTTTAATATGGGGAACATATCTGTTTGCTAGCATGTCTGTTCTTGCTAATCCTAATTTCAAAATTGAAAGGTACCTTCATCTGAAGTGCCCGTCACTTGCCTTCACTTGAAGGCAGGACTTGCTTGGGTGAGAGGGAAGAAGGGAGAGTTCATATTGGTTCATATTGCAGGCCCTTACCCAATGAAATCCCACCCATTCAATTTATTTCCAACCTTTTACTCCAGCTGAAAAGGCTCCCAGGGCACCTTACAAAGACCAATAATAAAGCACACCTGTGCTTATGTTAGCTATCTAAAAGACACAGCACAAAAGGAAAAATATCAAGAGGAAGCAGGAAAACCCCAAACCCTGGCACTTGTTAAAAACCAACTAATCTAGAATGAAAACTGTCCTAGGAGAGGAGGCAAAGGTTGCTGGATTTTCAGCACAGCTGATGGTGGCTTTGCTTTCACTCTCCCCCTCTGCTATAGCCTGATTGAACAGTGATTACCAGACAACTTTTTGTGAGGGATCACCTGGTCCCAGATGGGGTTGTCTACGAATAAAGGCAGCTTTGTCCCTTGTTGGAAGGCATTTGTCATAAGTACATTGGTATTTGGTGGTTGTTTCCTGCAGCAGACTATGTGAGCAGTCCTCTCACAGCCATGTAGATTTCTCTGGGAGCCCTGATTAGGCTAATATTACTCAATGCACATAAATGTCTGTCCTTAAAAACCTGTCCATCGACACTCCCGTTTTTGAGAAAATGCAGTCACCATACAAATAGGATGTTGTGAAGATGTAGGCCTGGCCTTCAGCTGGTCCTGTCTGATTAGGAGTGTGTCTTAATAGTAATATCCTGCATGGCAAATCACCCTTGGGACAGCTAACTTTTTTAGCTCTCTTAAAAGAGCAGCTACAACCAGAGTACAGAGACAAACTACCAGACCTACTCCCTCTGAATGCTTGAAAAAGGACCTAGATCCTTTCTAGAATGCAAACAGAAGATTGGCCAGATGGGGCTACCCCGTAAGTGTAGAACCTGTGGCCCTACAGATGTTGCTGGACTGTAGGTCCTGCCACCAGCATGGCTCAATGGTTGGAGGTGATGCAGAGTTGTAGAACAGCAACATTGGTGGAGAGCCACACGTTCCCCATTCCTGGTCTAGACAAACATATTCTATGGTTACCATGCCTTCAGTGGCAGCCAGAGGAGAAGGTTCCCTCTCATGACAACATGGTGGTTCAGCTTTAATCTGGCTGTGAAAAAAATCCACATGCAAGAGCTGTTAAATCCCTTTTCCCATGCTGCTTCCCTGCTGCCACCCTCTTCTATGCTGCGTAGGCAGAGCATTGTGCAGAGTAGTTTTTCGTGCCTGACTTGCCCTGAGGAAGGCTTGCTGGAAAAGTGTGTAGCACAGTCATTCCTAGGATACTCCAAACTATCCAGGGAACGCCCCGACTCCCACATCATTGCACCATATCCAGCCACATTACTTGCAAGCTGGAGGAGACTCATCCCTGCCCCCAGGAGCTTAGCACCAGTCAGTCAAACACAATACCAAATCAGGTGAGATTAAAAGATGAAGGCTGAAACTTATATAATCAAGTGTTCTTGAAAGCATTGACAGTACCACTTAAAAGTAATAGTGTGTGGAACTTCAATCAGAACACGAGATACTGTAGACACTGATGAAAAGCCAGACTGTGAAAGCCCCTTGTTTCAAAAACCGCATGTTTAAGAAGTGCTGGTCTATCACCCCACCTCCCCCCCAAACTGAATCGAGATATCTCATCTGAAAGTATACCCCATATAATTCTTTGGTTGATAAATGGGTAAGGTTTCAAAGGTAGCACATGCTTTGGAACCGAGGATCCATCTTTTATCTATCACCAGTTTTCAGGTATCAACGGCTATATGAGACCTACTAGTGGAGAGGTAAAGCTTTGTGATAGTAGGGGGGCGTTATATTTAGGTCTGTTACACAAGGGGACAGGCCCATTGACAAAGTTTTCTTCTAGAGCTGGGAGTCAAATGCAGCGATGAGCATTTTGGAACTCACCTGGCTAAAGCTTTTCTGTCCGTAACATCTAGCATCTTTATGGTTGTATTATATGTTAGGTTTCATGATGCTTTTAAATTTCACAAATGCAAGCAATGCTGTGGGAGGTAAGGAAGATCCTATCTAACAGAAGCCGATGGGAGGCAGTCCAAACTAGCTGAGGCCTGCGAAGGAATAGAACAGTTCAAATCCTAAAAGTAGTTAAGTGTAATGCAGGAAAAGTAGCAAGAGAACCCATTAAGAAGCTGACTGTAGGCTGTTCTCTTGCAAATGGTTCTTACTACTACAATAGCTTGGCAGCATAAATCATGCTGATGGAGAACTCCATCATACATAATGCATAGAATTTGCTGTCACAGTATGTAATAATCCCTACTGGCTTAAGATGGAATGAAAGTGGGTTAAGCAAATTCATGGAGTGCAGGTTGTATCCATGGCTACTAGCCATGATGATATTTCCAGGTTCCAAGGCAACTGAATACGATTTGCTGGGCAGCTACAGTGAGGGCTAATGGGCTCTTGGTTCTTCTGCCTTTATAGAGTGGGAATCTCAGGCTAAATCATACTTGTGGTGCCCACTCCATCAAAACTGAGTTCTCTTAAGGCCAAGTTTAATGTGCGTTTTCTGCCGTCTGGCATTGACAGCAGTCTTTTACCCTGGCAATGCATAATATGTAAAATACCTTAAGGTTCAACAATAAAAGGTAAAGCTGATCCTTGACTCAAATTAAGCCCTCTTGTCAGTCTCAGTCAGGCTTCTTCAACATGTTCCGTCCAGATGGCATTGGACTTCAACTTGCATCATATGTGACCATCAGCCATGTGAGTGGTGGCACTGATGGGAATTGGTTGAGGAGGCATTGGGTCTAAACATTTGGTGCTATTTCAAGGATGCAAAGAAGTTGGCAAACTTGTCTCTAAAATAGATGCAACTGAACAATCTAAAACTATTTTTGTTGAGTCTTATGTTGCCTGATAACAGTGTGACTCTTGTGGCAACTGGCTGATGTCCTACATGGAGAAATTGCCACATGGCCATGTGGAGCTTCTCCTGCCCAGTGGTGGTTTTGTTCTAATTCTAAATGGAACTGTAGTAGGGGAGGCATCACTTGGAAAAGACAGCCAAGGAGAGTTCTGTAGTAACATCAGACTACCCAAGGTGGGGGGCATTGCATGCATCTAACCCTGCCTTTGGCTCCTGGAAAACACCATTGATTCTTGACACATACCCAAGGTCTTGTATATCAGTGCAATGAAGTAGGTATCAGTTGATAGTTGATTGTGTCCTGTGTGAAAGAGAAGTAGATGCTGTGCATTGTGCAAGTTATAACATGCAGCATATAGCCTATCTGATTTGTGCCATTTAGTTGAGTGGAAAAGTATGGAGGTGTTAGAAATCAAGGGAAGCTAGTGGCAGGCATGAACTCGAAAAGCAGAGACCAGGAGACAAGGATGAGAAAACAGGGATAAAGTCCTGTCTTTTGATCACTAGCAGATCTTGTTTGTGTCTTGCGTAGCCACACACCTTTAAGTCTACTTCCTTAATTGCAATAAACACCCTTAAAAAAAAATCAGATGAAGAGCCCAGATTGCTGGGTGTCTAATACTTGTTCTACAATGCATACACAGATTCAAATGGAAAATGCCCCTCTCTGGACTGTGAAGCTATAGGAACACTATAGCATAAAATCTCCATGATTTAATGCTTGCTCATTGGCAATGCTTTCTCCAGCTAAAGTAGGCTGGAAGAGCTGTTTAAAGGAATGGAAAAGGAATTTAATCATGGGATGGGTTGCCCAAAGCTGCTCCCTAGGGCTCAACAGCAACCAGATGCTTTGCTTTCCTCCCTTTAAAAAAATACATATTGAATAGCACCCATTGTATAAGACTGAATATTACATATTACTGAAGGTACTTATTGGTGAGGAATGTTTATTATCTCATTCAGTATAATTTTGGGAGCAATGCAAAGAGGAAGGTAAAGCTTTCTTCCTGTTTATCCTCCCATATATTACACTAAGAACGAAGTCACGCATACATGGCAAATGACTAAAATGAGGATGATTGGCTTGCAGTATGCAACAGCCATCAGAGATCAAATGGCATAGATGAAACTTCATTTTAGGTCACTGAACTCTTTATTTCAGACATAGTGCTTCCTCTGTGGCTGTTCCTTGGGTGGGATAGATCTATGTCACAATGTAAACCAGTTTGAAATAGCTTTAGCTGTCGTATTTGGTTCTCTTCCTTTCCTCCCCCGCACTTCACTGAGCAAGAAAACCTATTTTTGTACAGGTGTGGGGTACTCTGAGTTGGAGACCAGTCATGGTTCTTTAGTTAGGAACTCTGGGCCCAAACCACGCTTGATGTTTTATCCTGATACTGGCCTTTGTGTTTAAGCTTTTTCTTCCACAAATTGGCAGGCCTGGGGGCTGGGGAATATCTGGACTGCAGAAGGGATGGAAAGAGTTTGCAGCTCCACTACTCCCATGCCTATTTTGGTTGGGACAGTAACAATTTATGAAGGAAAAAGCTTGCGGTCAATGTCAAACAGCATCAAACATCTATAACTGACAGTGGAATGTAATGGTTTTCAATGTACACTGGAAGCAAGAGAGCTGAGACTCTTGTTATAGGAGTATGGCAATCATTCTGTGGATGAAGGAGAGCAAAGAAATGTAAGTGCCAGGCTTTTGTTGTCCAATGATATTTGCTTCTGTTGCAGTTCCTATTTTTCTAGTTCCTCTGTGTTTATAACTCCTTTGAAAAGCCAGCTCCATACCTAGCTAAGAGTGCCAACACTTCCCTCTGCAGCTGTAGGCCCTGTCTCATAACTGGGTGTGTGTTTATATGCTGTCCCAATAGGAGCTGAAATCTGATCTGTATAATTTATGCACAGCCTTCCTTGGTCTTCTATGATTTACTCTTCTGTTGTGGGGGACATACACCAAGGTATGTACATGTAGGAACCCCCTATTGAGCCCTCCTCTGGTTTTAGCTTGCCTTCACAGCTGTAACAGCTGTCATTATTATCATTTTCTTTAATACAAAAATTAAAAAGGGTACTCTTTTGATGCTGGGTTTTATGGGCAACATCTGATCCTGATGCTTGCCAAGGGTGGACCACACAATGGTTCATCTAACATTATTGTGACTTTGCTAGATAGCTGCCGTTACCCTGGAAGAAGTTAAGCCTTGATAAGCTCCGATGAGTAAAACTTGTGGCTAGACTCCCTGTTCTGCACAGATTCAAGCCATTCTGTAAATGATGTTTTGATGGAAATAAATGGGGTGGGGGAAGTTCTACCAAAGGGTTCTGCCATGTTCTAGAGCACCCTGGCCTTGAAAAAAGCTAAAAATAAAAACCCCACCCACCACCACTACAATGCTGCTGTTTTCTTGTGGTTGTGGCCTTTTGGAACAAGACGTTGACCAACATTTAACTAGAAACACTAACCCATAATGGCAGGGTTCCATGTATGTTGCTGCTACATGGAATGAAGGGATGCATCTGTAGACAATGACTTGGCCCAGTAAACGGAAAACATCAACCAATGCTGAAAAAGAACCAACAATTATTACAATTATTATCCATGTCTCCAAGATCTAGCTATCTCATATTTACAGTGTGTGTAGTAGTATTTGTAAACTGCTCTCAGGTTTTATTACAATCAAGTTGCTATATATATTCTGAGAAATAAACAAACAGTTCAGTCTTCCAAGGAATAGTTGGATGGGACTACTACTCCAATTTGCATAGTTCTTTGAACTTTTCTCTTCTTACTATTGCACTACTGGTGGTGGGGTAAGTGTATATCCAGGCAACCAATATGCTTCTGACCTTTTCGTTCGCTGACAATTTTGCTGCTTAGAATAAATCTGTAAAATGGACCACTGTGTTTCACTTTTACATGCAGTTCTGCTGTCACTGAGCACTGCCTTTTGACTCATGATTAGTAATGCAATTGAGCTAAGGCTGGGAAATGTGTTTGTGAGTCCATTCAGCTAGATGAGTGTTGCGGTTTCAAAGGTGTTAGCTGCAACTTGTGGGTGGGTTATAGGGCAATCCTAAACATTTCTACTCAGAAGTTCCATTGCATTCAATGGTGCCTACTCTCCTCCTCCTCCTGTAAGTAAAGGTAAAAAGGTACTCTCCTCTACATAGGTAAAGGAGAGCAGCCTAGTCCTATAATTTTTCCTCCCCTTGTCCGTCTTCCGCAGGTTGTCTTTGAAAATGCTCTTCCCTCCCACTCCAGTCCTCTTTCCCAGTCTTTGCTTAATTTTCATACTGATAAGATCAGAAGTGCCTTTAGGCAGGAAGCTTATTCTGTGGCTCAACAGCTGAGAAAGCCAGGTGCTAATGACTAGTGAGGTGGGAGACTGGCTTGCTTGTGGGTTATCTGACTCATTCGCACTTGAAATTTACGTATATGTATGCTAATTGCTGAAATTGCAGCATAGCCACTTGAACTTGCTGTCAAGTCATTTTGATCATTAAGGCTGAAAACGTTCAGATGTATGAATGCTGAATTTCTACAGCTGTGTTTTCAGTGAGCTCAATGTCCATTTGTAGGCTGTAAACCCACCTCGCACTGTTAACAATATGGCACTTTGCTCCAGCTCAATGATCTCCCCAAACGTGTCCCATCTAACCTCTTGGTGAGGAGTCTAGATAGGTACCAAAAGATCTCTGGGAGCGAGACGCTGTGCATTAAAAAAACAAAACAGTGTAATTTTTAATATAGCCACAGCTAGTGCTAAAAGTTCAGTAGTGATATTTTTCTTTTGCATCCAAGATTCAAAGGTATGTTAGGGAGGACAGCATTTTAGTCGCTACCTTTGTTAAAGGCCACCATTCAGGGAAGGGAGCTCAGAACACTGAACATCTTCAGGTCTTTTAGTCCCATCTGAGGGGCTTCCAAGCTGTCCCTTCCTAAAACAAAGAGGGCTGCAGTTCAGCTAACTTGAAGTGAGAGAACATGACCCCACCTATGTAATTAACACATAGGGTGGTGTAGCCTTTAGAGTGCTGGACTAGGATGTGGTTGAAGTCAGGTTCAGATCCCTGCAAAGCCAACTGTCTCCATCTCACAGGGTGCCTGCAAGTATGAAATGAGAACCCTCCATCTGTCTTTGGGCAGGAGCCAGGATATAAATATGATGGGTAGCACATAATGCGGTAGCTTGAGCAGAATAGGACCCTAGATGCCAACAACTGTTCTATCTTCTTCCTACTCCTAAATTGCAGGTGCATGTAAAGCCCTGTGTGGCAAGTACTCCTACCTTTTGCAGTGACAAATCAGACCCACAGGAATATGTTGAAGGACTCGAAAATAACTTCCCATTGCAGTCAAGCAAATATCACAACATGTGCATTATATCTTTCAGTAACAAAATACTGGCTTTTATACTCTATGAATTCCTCTGACTTTCTCAGAAGAATCTTGCAGATAGCTGTTTAGGGAAAGTGTTTGCCTCTAAAGAGATGGAAATCTCCAGATATCGGCAGGGGCAGGGCACAAGAACATCCCAGCTGAAAATACAGAGGCAGCTATCAGTACTGTACAGCTTGAACACTTCTTCTTGTCCACACCTAGAAAGCACAGACTCGAGAGGTGTTCCGCTTGTCCTGTGCTTTTAGGTGTGGGTCCGAGCAGTTTTCTGTTTGCCTCACTGCTTTCTCCCAGGAAACCCCACTTTTACTTCTGAATCTGAGCAAACATCGATCCACGGAAAACTTAATTGACATTTGTGCCGATTTAGCAGTAAAGAGTGGGTTTCTTCAGGGGGCACAATTAAAGCCATAATAAAAATTTTATGTGGGAGCATCCAAAGATGGCATCTAATGTACAGCATAACAATGTTATATGAAACAACAGTAATTTCAAAACACAAGAGTATCCGTGTGCCTGCAGAAAAAGTACTCAAGTATTGACTTGCAACTCAAGACATTAGCAGGATCTAGCAATAGTAAGACCAGATGACTTTTGTAGCATTTATCGTGTATGTTGTAGACATTGACTTTTGTCATTTGTGTTCTAATCGTATGCAAATATTATTTGATGCTAGAGCCAGTCACCCAAGTGCTGCAATCTGTGAAGTTGTCTATGTGCTGCCATTTCCATTCCATATAACAGTGGGATGGAAATAACGGGATAACACAGGGAACCTAGTGGTGAGACCTTTAGCATGATAAAAGGAAAGTCCACAGTCTACCATTGTTTCCCATTGCTTCTCTTCAGTATCGTGTAATGGTGCATGTGTAGGGTTTGGCCATATAAAGACTGAAAATGGTAAAGTCAACAGTGCCTAGTCAGAAGTCATAGATGTTCCTCACCCTTTGGAAATATTTATGCAAACGACCCCCTTGTGTTCAGCAGGGGTCAATCCAGAGCTCCCCCAACTCCCACTGGACACTTTGACAGGTCAAATGAGGATCCCAGACCAGCATAACTTGACCTGTGTGCTGCCAGATCCCCACTGCTGCTGTGGAGAATTTTTGTGGGCATTTTCTTCCCTTCCTCTGGTTCTTACCTGTGAGGTAGGTCAGGCAGAGAGCTGCTGACTAACCCTACGTCCCCTGTGAGCAGGGCTTTTTTTCAGCTGGAACTCAGTTCCGGCACCTCGCAGATGGGCGCTATTGCCATTTTAAGAGAACAAGGGAGGTGTTCGTGGCGAGTTCGGCACTACTTTCCCTAGAAAAATAGCCCTGCCTGTGATCTTCGTGCCTGAGAGTGGGGGTTTTGTAGCTTCTAATCTTCTAACCACCTCCACATTAGTTCGCTCTTACCTCTGCTGTAATACCATGGCTGGAGAGAGTAGCACCAAACAAGGAGGACACCTGAAATGATTTATAATATTAACTAAGTGCAAGCAGAATAAACTCGAGTGCATTTCAACCATGTTTTTAACTTGGGAAGAAGAAAACATATTCTTTAGTCGACTATTCCCACCCTGAGGAAGAATGTTTTAAAATGCATTGAAACTTATATAATAAGAACACTAATTGGAACCTCCTCCTTTTATGTAGATAAGCTTTAAAAGCCTTTTGCATAGAAAGGAAGGTGTGGCTGAGTCCAGGCTAGGAGGATTTTTATCTTGTCTTGAATAGGGTTTGTACAGTTCCACCAGCTCTGGCATCTCTACAAAGAGAAATATAATACAAACAAATCACATGGCAGCACCATGAAGGGGAAAAAAGAATTTGGCGGGGGGTGGCACAGGAGAGGCAAAGTATATCTCTAGGTGCAGGAGATGTGTCCCACAGTTTAAAATCTCTGAAACAAAAATACTAGCATGTGTAACGGCGATTGGCAATTGGCCCCAGCAATTGGCGGAGTGGGGGGAGGGGGAGTGTCTTGTTTGGGGTGTGTGTGACACCGCCGCCCCCCCCCCTCACAATGGTATTTTAAATGCACAGCTAGGCAGTATTTAAAAATGAGAAAGGGTGTGTGGAGCAGGGTAGTTGCCTTTTAATCTAGCAAATTATGGATTCTCCAAACATACACTATGCAGAGGTAAATGAATGCCAATGCTGTAATCTAATTGACCTGACCTTAGTTCTTAAATGTAGAGCTGGAAAACAGGTCACTCAGGTCAGTTAAAAACCCTTCTGTTATCACACACACACAACAATCTTAGTTTTCAGAGTGTGTGTGAAAAACAAAGTGACATGTTACACTTGCATTCCTTCAAATATAGCTTGCCTGTATTAGGGTTTTTTTTTTTAAACCCTTCCTTGTTGCTGCTTCAAGGAGTCTTCCCTCCCTCTTCAGAGACAGGTGTGTCACTTTGCTATGCAGAGCATAAATTAAAAAGCTAACCCAGCAAAAGACCGAATGATCCAGCTGGGAGTGGGTGTGACTGACTCCCAACTGCTGAGGCAAGGGGAACGGGGCACAGGAAGAACTCTGCAAGGGACAGTGACTTCCTCCTGGGATCTAGTCACTCCCAGTTCCGACGTGTCCAAGCCTAGTTGTATCAATTGTAAAATGTTTATCCTGTTGATAGGACCTGATTTTCATGTGTGGCACTGATCCATCTCTCCCTTTAATCTGCTTCACTGTGTAGAGTTTACAGAAAACTGAAGGTTCAAAGAGTAGCTCTGGGCTGCTTGTAAACCGGCTTTCAAACTGGTGTGCACTGCAAAACAGAGCAGGATTTCGCTCCTGCTGAGCCCTGTTGCTCCAGCTGCATGTGTCATTTCCCGGCAGGGGAACTGGCATGCAGCCAACACAGAATGGAGTCCTGCCTCCTCGCCGCCCCAGCAGAGCAATGCCAGCTGATTGGCAAGTGGGCATGGTTTTATAATAAATGGCCTTGCATGCCAAATTGTCCCATGGGCCAGAGCTCCTCCTGTAAACTGCCCCTCATTTCTTTCTATACTTATGCAGAGCCACTGTGGTGCAGTGGTTTAGAGTGTTAACACTAGGACCTGGGATAACAAGGCTTAAATCCCCACATACGCAAGAAGCTCACTGGGTAACTTTGGGCCCATCATTGGATCTGATGATGTGGGTTTTGGTGTATACAAGCCAATGCTATATAAGAGGTATATTTTAAAGACTCTGGCCACTCTGGTGGTTTTTAATGAGTGTAGTTACCCCTCTGGGATTGTGTAACATCGCATGACTTAAAAAACTTGACATCAGCACAATACTATTTATGTGAAAAAGACATTCTCGTTAAATGGGGGCCAGGGGAGAGGCACATTTTCACCTTATCACCATCTGCCTGACAACCTTTATCCTTCTATGTTGATAGTATGGTATGATCTGGTCCTGCCCACACTTTTCCCTGAGTAGGAGATGGGAGATGATCAGTACTGCGAGGAATCTCATATCTGAATCATTTATTCAAGTTGCTAGGATGTTCTGAAGCAGGGAATATTTGGTGGGGAGGGATCCGTATGAGCAGCTATAGTAGGTTAGCAAATGCTCTGGGTGTAGACATGAATCTAGGACGGCAAACAAAGGTTTTGTTGCTAAACCTGTTTGTCTTTTGTAATAGCTTCTGCCTGGCACATTTCAGTGCTCTGGGCTTACACAAGTGCGTCTCACAGAGGCCATTAACTCTCTGCTCATTCCTGCCCTCCTGTCATAGGTTCTGCGGGAGTTCTTCCCGTATCACCACATCTGATATGTAGATTGCACCAGCTAGATAGACCTGCCAGCACCTGTTCTTCCTGCAATCACTAAATGATGACAAATTCTGCATCCAACTTACGGAATATTATTAAAGAAGGCAAGCAGGACCAGCAACAAAATGTTGCAGTGTGGCGTGATTCTGTTCAAGATTCCCATCAGACCTTTTTTCAGGATATGCTATTCTGTTCCCCCTCTAGCTCAGTCCTCACTGGGCTAACTGGAATCTCCACCCCCCCCCACTATCCACCCCCCCCCCCCTAGTTTTGTGTGTGCTGAAAATCTTGGGCTTTCCAGAAACTTTCTGATAGCTCTCTAGTATGCTGTTTTGGCTGCATGTTGACCATAGTTCATAGAATGAATTTGCTTTTAGCATATAGCAGTGGTTCTCAAACTTTTTTCTCTGGGCCACACTTGCAGAATAAAAATTTCCTTGTGCCACACCAATTTTTTTAATTGATAAGAAATACACTGGAAAACAAAAAGCAAACTCCTAGCAGTGCTTGATTTATAACATAGAACCTGCCATGTGTTTGATAACAGGGCAACCCTAAGCAAAGCCTCTTGACGAACTGAGGTGCCTTGTGTCCTCAAATGATTTACCTTATGGAACAAAAGCAAATCTTTGGACTGCACCGGAAAACATCATTCAGCCTGGACACTGAGATCCAGCTCCGAGGGCCTTCTGGCGGTTCCCTCACTGTGAGAAGTGAAGTTACAGGGAACCAGGCAGAGGGCCTTCTTGGTAGTGGCACCCGCCCTGTGGAATACCCTCCTATCAGATGTCAAGGAAATAAACATCTATCTGACTTTTAGAAGACATCTGAAGGCAGCTCTGTAAAGGGAGGTTTTTAATGTTTTAAATATTTTGTTGAATGCCACCCAGAGTGGCTGGGGCAACCCAGTTGGATAGGCTGCATATAAATATTAAAACTATTATTAAAAGTTATTATAACATATAATTGGAGTGCCATAATCCAGTCTACTTCCTCTGGCTAAAACCCGGTAAAAACCGTGTTTGGAAGTAAGTGAAATTTCCATTTTCAAAGGCATCTCCAGAAGTGTTGAGGGTAATCCAAAAATCTACTTGTTGAAAGACAGTGGAAGTGGGCATCTCAGTGTCTTGAAATAAGAAGGTGTATTGGAAGCCAAGTTTTTTTTTGAAACATACTAATCAATATCCTGAAGATGACAGGTCCTGCCAGACTGACGGTTTTGTGTGGGCGTATTCTGCAGCATGTTCTTGACACTATATAGTTTATCCTTGACTGTCTGCACTCCATTCGGCATTTTAGTTGTTCTGCAGTGCTTCCTTATGTTTAGCTGCCAGAAGGGAGGAGACAGAAGGAAACTTTCCATGGCTTATGGCTTCCTTTTATAAATGTGACGAAGGATCAGACTTGAGATATTGAACTTTATTATATTCATTTTATATGGTTTTATAATTTCCCTTCTGTTTTCATGATGCACCTTTGCTGTTCCTTTTTTCTTCTCTAATTTATATTTAGGTTTCATTATAGGAGTGAATAGCTTAAGCTAATAAATGGCTGTGGAAACTTTTTGTATTAAGAGTGGTACCTCAGGTTACATATGCTTCAGGTTACATACGCTTCAGGTTACAGACTCCGCTAACCCAGAAATAGTACCTCGGGTTAAGAACTTTGCTTCAGGATGAGAACAGAAATCGTGCTCCGGCGGCGCGGCGGCAGCAGGAGGCCCCATTAGCTAAAGTGGCGTCTCAGGTTAAGAACAGTTTCAGGTTAAGAACGGACCTCCAGAATGAATTAAGTCCTTAACCCGAGGTACCACTGTACATTCTATAGTTGTAGTATTTATTATTCTTGGTTTTGAGATCATCACTGTATAAGTCTGCTCAGAAGGAAGCCCCACCAGGGCTTACTCCCGGGTAAATTGCTGCAACTCAGCAAGACAACTTTTGAGAAGAGAAATTTTCCTCACTGCTATTCCCTCCTGCTAGGTTCCCTTTTAGACTCTGGCCCCGAAGTCCTGCACTGGGTCTCCACACTGACCTGCAAGCTCACTTCACCCATCCACAAGTCTAAAACCTCTGCCAGAATAGCTTCAAGTTCTCTTTTCAATTTATTACGTTGGCTTTGCCTCGCACACTGGGTTTTTCCACAACTACACCAATATTGATCTGTACACCACTCCTTTATTCTTCCGCTGCCACCAATTTTGTGGAAAAAACACAGGGATCCCTGGTGAAATATTGAGTCTCAGTCAGGTAGAGTTAACAATAAAGATTAAAGTTTATTTCAAACACAAACATGTTTTAAAATATATTCGAAACACTGTCACTCTATTCTCTCTCAGTCTTGTCCCTGTCTCTAACTGACTCCTCTATCTCCCCCCCCCCCCCAAAAGAACCAACCGAACTAACTGTCAAAACCTTGGGCTGAGCCTCAGAATCAAGCAGGATCCTCCTCCGGGCTTTCTTATTGGTCAACCTATTAACCCTTTCTCTCCCCCAATACAAAGGTATCCCCAAAGAATGGGCAAACGCCACAGTATGCATAAGATTACACTGTTACTCTCCTTAATAATGCTTATTAATATTTGTATTTCAGGTTAAATCTAAATTTCAGTTTTATGTAGCCATGCACTGTATGCTACAGCTTTGTATTTAATACTTTCTAAAAGAAAAGAACACTCTCTCCTCCAGTCAGCCTTACTCTATTTACTCGAGTCTAATGTGCCATCGTATCTAATGCACGCCTCAATTTTCAGAGCCTTGAAACAAAAAAAAGTATTTGCTGGCGAATGTAAATGTGCCAACAAATCTAATGCGCACCTTAATTTTTGCAACGTAATTTGTCCAAAAAAGGTGAGCATTAGATTTGAGTAAATATGGTATTTGTATGCATATATCTTACCTATGTGGCTGTGCCCTGGAGCACAGGCTGGGATCCAAATAACTGCATAGCTGGTTCAGTGTGCCCAAGGGGACATTGGGCTTATGTTTCTCAGGTAGCAGCCCCTCACCCCCATGCTAGATGGCAAATTGCTTTTGAAAAAAGGAGAATTGGAAATGCCAGTTCCTGAAGTACATCTTGAAGCATGGGAGCCTGTTGTTCAAATGAGGTGGGCAGAGGGCGTTGGGGTTGGAACTCTTTCATTGCCCTGGCTTTGTATGTAATTATAAACCATGGTTTACTAAGCTATAGTTCGATAAACCATGGCTCAGTGTTATGTGTGTACCCTGTCCAGTGTCTTAGCTATGGTGTGTTAGCAAAAACAAGCCATGGTTTGTTATTACCTTACTGACCATAACTACGACGTTACACATGAACCTGGGCACTTCCTTGACTATAGTTTTCTTGCTTGCCTACATAAATGCTCTGCCAAGCCACAGTTGCATTATTATTCCTTTAAAAAAATAAATCTTGCTCTTCCTCCCAAGGGATCCCAAAAATGAAGCTCCTTGCATCATTTTGTGGCTCATGCTGATACTTCTCCCAAAGATGAGATCACTCCTAATTCTGCCTTGCAATTGCTGCCTTGTCCCACCCAGTCATTGTCTTTAATGCTGATGTGCTGCAAAGGAGATGGAAAGGGACCGCTCAGCCCTCTGAATACTCTATCATCCCTAAAAGCATTTTTAATGCTTGAGACTATTTCCTTGTATGCAAAACAACCAAAAACCCCGCCACCCTTTTGCGTAGGTTGTGCATGCCTCTGCCTATTTGCTAACTAGCATCTATTATTGTTCAAGGTTCCGGAAAGCAATTCTTGCAGTCTGTTGTCGACACAACAGTCATGTCACAATCCCTGCAGTGAATTACATTCACCCCTCCTGATCTCTGCCAATTTCTCCCTTGTTGTCTTATCCCCCTCCATCCTCACCCCGAGTTTAGACCCCCACCCCCGATGATGCTAACCTTGCTGTTTGTGTCCACATTCTCCCTGAGCTACAGTTGAGGCATGATCAAGTCTTGGCAAGGGCGTGTGTTTGTATGTGCAGCTTAGTGGAGAATGGGGGTAGGTTCTGGTGTGTCCACATTACCATTCACTGTGGCTCCACTGCTGTTTTCCCCCCAAGCCCATTTACACACAACATTGGCAGCGATCCATTTCTATCCTGTGGTTTCTTTAGAAATGATGCTGTTTGATGCATCTTCCCTCGAACCAGCTTCCATCCAATTAGAAAACGTTAAGTCACACTCACTTCTTGGTCAGGCTGAGGCATGAACATTTAAGACAGCTGTTGCACATGCTCAGATGGCAGCTTCGTGATTGGGAGTTGGACGGTTGCCGGCGCATGGTAGCGAAACAGGTAAAACACATCAGGTGGAGACAAGACATGGAAATACAACCTAAAACACAGCAGGACAGAACGACTTCACTGTGTTTCAGCCATTAATATTGTTACAGCAGTTGGGTGCCACTCCCACTCTCTCCCGAGCCATAGCAAGATTCCAGGGGGGTTCCAGGCACTCCCCCAGGCTCTGTGCTCCTTTGGAGAATTGAAGATGCAGTAGAGCAGGCATAGGCAAACTTGGCCCTCCAGATGTTTCGAGACTACAGTTCCCATCATCCCTGACCACTGGTCCTGTTAGCTAGGGATGATGGGAGTTGTAGTCCCAAACCATCTGGAGGGCCAAGTTTGCCTATGCCTGCGGTAGAGATTGTCATAGATATAAGAAATAGGGTTTATTTACATATTTACACCTTCAGTCTGCATGGAGGGTGTGTGTGTGTTTCCAGATCTTACAGCAAGGGCATTTCAATAGGGGCTTGTTCCCCACTGGAGTCAAAGTGAAGGATGCATAGATTGTTGTGAAATACATAATGATTTGCGTGTGAAAGGTATGTTTTGCCACCTCCAAAGCTGGGAGAGACCGTGAACCAGAAGCTCAAAATGTTTGCTCTTGATCTCCTTTTGTGCTCCACCCGTGACTTCCTCTGTGGTCATCGGGGTCTGCTCTGCTCCTCCTCTATCGGCTTCCCTCCCTCCCTTGCTGCTTTCCCTCCTAGCCAGTCTGAGCCAGAGTGAAGAGGTGCAATCCCCCCCCCTTGGGCCTGCACCCTTGGCAGGGTGGGCAACCCCTAAGCACACCCTGCATACTAGAAAAAGTGAGATAGTGCAAGACAGATAGAGGCCAACAGCATACTCTTCTGCTTGAGAAGGTGAATGATGAAGTGTGCAAAACAACACAGGAGGGACAGCACCAGGCTGTGGTTTTTACATGCAAGGTTGTCAGTGCCATCTGAGGACAAACAGTAATAGGGTGGGAGAGCACAAGTATAGTTGTGTGTGTTGGAAACAGAAGCAAAACCGTCTGATGCACTCGTGCAAACACCAGGGGAAGTGTGCATGTTCAAACTGGCAAAGAACATGAGAAAAGTGTGCAAGGGGTGAGAGGAATATTTGCATATGAGGGAAGCATGCATGGGCATGTGAGCGCTTTCCTTAACGTAATTGGAGATCCAAGACAGATTAACATTAAAAAGGGGCGGAGGGGGGAAAATAAAGCAGATTAAATTTCCGGAAGCCGGGTGGCAGAAAGAAAATGTTAATGGGCTACTGACTCACTGTAAAGAATGTGTAAAGAAGAACTCTGAGCAGCTTTCTCCACACCCCTCTTTTGCAGCTGGACAAATGCAAGGAGGACATCCCATCATCCCTGACCCATATAGCAGTGCTGACTGGAATTAATGCAAGTCCAATAATATATTGTGAGCCACAGGTTCCTCATTCCCACCCTAAACAGCCATGGGCTTGTGTGTGTTCGCCACTCTTTTAATCTGCGTGGTCCAAATGATGTTTCCCTCAAACAATGCCATCTCAATGCACTTGTAAATTCAGGTTTACCCAATATGGGAATAATTTGATAAATTGAGGAAAACAAGGCTCCAAATTGCTCCACTCAGGGTAGGAGGTACCTAAATGGTTTTGCTGTTTTGTGGGGTGGATGGCTCAGTCATCCCTTTCTGCTACTTCCCTTTCCATGCCGACAACTTCCCCCTCTCCCTGCTGTGGTTGTAACTATTTCTGGTGTGTTCCTGAGCACAGGACCACCCCTCCACCTTCGGATCCCTCAGATTTGCAAGATCCAGAACACTGAACAAGAAAACCATGTTAAAATTTCTATACCAAATATATTGGGTAGCATCCAAAAAGTGTGCTCTCAGAATTTACAATTGCTTTCATCTCTTTTTCAGTCTCCCAGTAGCTGCTCAAAATTCACAGTTGCCTGAATGTGTGCTTTTGCACATTTGTAGAGCTGAGATTTTTTTTTAAAAAAAATAAAAAATATAAACAAGGGGTGTGTGCGTATGCAGCTATCTGTGCTTCTCAGTTGGCACTTAATTAGCATAATTGAATCAGCAAATTAGAAGGCAGGGATACACTCATTGGTATGAGCAGGAAAGACCAAAATCGCTCCTTACATAAAAATTCTAATGTGTGCAGATGTGGATTACTCTGCTTAATTCGAGTGGGGAAAATGTGGATTAACAGCTAAATAATGCCCAAATGTGGACAAGCCGTATCTTTGAGCTATGATCAACACAGGCAGATGAAAACTATGATGTGGATAAAGAATTTACTACCATAGTGGTAGGTGTAGATTTAAAATAAAAATAAAAATTGGTGAGATGTAGCATCCAGAATATAGATAGATGTCAACTGTCCAGGGAGGAAAAAACTTAGGAACAACTTGATTTGTAGAAACCAGTAGCATGGAGATAAAAAAGTAGCCCTATTTAGATTATCAATGTTTAGAGTGGTGGTGCTGACAGTGGGGAAGCTGGGGTTACGACCTTGTCTGTCCTTGCCGTTGACTTCTAGATGCTCAACTGATTTTCTGTACAGAACTGCTGCATGAACAGCACATCAGATCTGTGCAATGTGCAGATCTGGTCGTCAGGGCAATGCAAACAGATCTTCTCTATGTGCATCTGTTGGTCATCTAAATGGGGAAGAATAATACCAAGCTAACGCAAGCACATCCAAGTTGCTATTAAAGGCTCAGCTGTAAGAGCCGCCTGAAAAGCTATCCACCCTACATCTAAAGCATACCCACAGCATAAGGAGAAGTAATCCCATGAACCTCTTTGAAGATGTGAAATTACTGGGTTAAAAGTCTCGGCCTCATTCATTGTACGAAGCAGCACACAGAAGCTAATAAATAGCAAACAGTGATTCCCATTCCTCCCAACACCAAACAGAATAATGTGACTATGGTGGTAATTGTGGGGTTTGATATGAGCAGGAATAGTAGGAAGGAAAACTCATTTGAGGTGTCAAAGGAAGAACCTCAACAAAATTTTAAATTTTAAGTTCTTAAGGCAGCCTGAGCCTTTGCCAATTTGCTTCCCTCCAACCGTTCTGATCTCCTACTTCCATCAGTCCCAGGCAATCCCCAACTCATGGGAAATGTAGATCAAAACAGCTGGAGGACACCACGGGGTTAGGGAAGGCTGAGTTAAGGGGATATTCTGCACATGGTAAAACACAAAAGCTTTTGGCGAAATACTGACTGTTACAACATCTCAGAACTTTAGATCACAGTAGAAAAGAACTAGGCTGATAAAAAGTTTGGCAGGGTGCTTATTTAAAGACAACAACAACAAGGACAAAACCTACACGACAGTTTCATGCCCTACTGGTCACATACTAAGATGCTAACAGTAATGGCCTACCATTGCGATCATGAAGAGAACGAAATAATTTCCTAGATGTAGCTGAGACGTTGCAGCAGTTTGTGAATTATGTTTCCTAAACCTGGTTGCCAACTAACCACAAAGGCCTGCTTCTGTGCCTTTAACCCTGACCTGATTTGCAGAAATCAGTGGCGGCTGAAGCTTTTCACGACTCTGGAGCTAAACATTTGTTCCTTTATATTTGCAAAATCTCCATACTGCACTTCATTGCTCATGGTGATCTCAGGGCAGTTTCCAACACCGGAAATTATGTTCAACCTAGAAGAACAATACAGTGAAATACCTGGACTTATGGTTAACAAAATGCAGTCAAAATGCAGGGGGCAGGGGAACCTTAAAAACATTGGAGAGTGTGAACTAATTCCCCTCAAGGGGGAAGGCATTTTTGGTGGCTAACAGAAGCCCATCTTTTCTGCCATCTGTGTCTCCAGGGGCTCCACAACAAGGGAGGGGGGCTTCTCCTGTGTTCAGTGGGCCAAAGAGCTCTCCTCCCCGGCCCACCCTGAGGGTCCAAGATGGCTGGTAAGGGAGCAGGTGCTCTGAAAAATATGCATTATCACTTGCTAATGTCTGCAGAACAAACCTCTGTTGCAGGGATAGCTAGAATATTTCTGCTTTCGGTTCTGCAATGTAATGCAAATACTATATAAATAGAGATGTAAACTCACCAGAGTTTCTGTTCAAAGTACACACTCTGTGTTGGTCCAGTTTCAGTTCCCCAGGGCTGGCTGAGGTCGAATTACTTGGGGTGGGCAGAATAGTCCTGGTTCCCCTCTTTTTTGTGATCACCAACTTGGCTATACTGCATTTAGAACTGGCGTAGGTAACATGGTGCTCCCCAGATTTTGTCAGACTACGATTCCCATCCTGCAAATTGAGCACTAATCATTGGGTCAGGCTGTAGTAAATGTTGTATCATAATAAGGCTATAGCTATGCACAGACACATCCCAAGTGATTTGAAGTGATTGCAACAAGATGGCCACATTTACCACAGTGTGAACAATCCTAATTCTGGTGTGACTGTTGTCAGCTATGAGGAGGATACGACATTCATTAGAAGACAAGGCTATCAACGGCTGCTAGCCTTGTTGGCTGTTTTCTGTCTCCACACTTGGAGGCAGCAGTGCTTCTGAATACTGTTTTCTGGAAACTGAAGGAGGACAGAGGCCTCTTGTGCGCTGGTTCTGCTGGTAGCCTTCCCATAGGCGTCTGGCTGGCCCCTGTGAGAACAGGATGCTGGGCATGGCCTGACCCAACAGGCTGCTCTTAACATGGTTTTCATGTGCTACAATTATGCATGAAATATTGAAATTGTTTATTCCTGGCACGTAGAGGATACGATGGCTTCAACGGCAGGACTGTCCATTTTTGTTAAACTGGCCTTGCTCCAGCAGTGATTAGAAAAGCATGGTTTCCTATGAAAAGGAAATACAGTATTTCCAATGCACAAGCTGAGATGAAAGCTTGCAAATAAGCTTGTGGACATAGGGCCAAAACAGTGAAAAATCCAAAATATATTATTTGTGTGTGTGGTTTAACGATCATAAGGTTATATAGATAAGCTTTCAGACTTTATCATGCTTGATGCCACATATCACTGTTGTTCCCATTTTACAGATGGGCATTTGTGGTAGCAGTATTTCTCCAAGGCTGTTTCCTCTGAGTGGCCGAGCTAGTGGGCAGGTCCTCAACTCAGCTTACTTATCTCTCAAAATCAAATTGAGATGGCTTAAATAGAAGGTAGAATCTGTCAAAGAGCTTTTTTCGCTGTGTAGCTGGAAGCTAACCTTTCTGTTCTTCTTTTGGGCAGCTGCTGCAGGCCCCCTGTCTTGGGAGAAAGAGTGTGCAGAGGGTCCGGAAACATGGTGTCGGGACTTCCCCACGGCACTGAAGTGCGGGACTTTGGACCACTGTCATGGGACTTTGGCGATCAACACCCCTGTGGTGAGTCCATGTGATGGCAGAGTATGCACTCCCTGCCCACCTACAACATTCATGTCCTTCAAGGCAAGGGTTAATCTGAACAGGGGATCACAGGATTCATCCAAGAAACATGCAGTGTGAACCAATAACCAAAATGAAGTGCTCTGAACAAGCACAGAGAACGTTTTACCTGCCGCTGAGTAATGAGGTTGCCCCATGACCAGAAAGAAAGCACGACAGTGGCTACAAAAGTTGTTTTAGATGAATAAGCTTTTTTGCAGGCTTCTGTCCTCAGACACGTTCAAAACCACTTGCCTCCACTCCTGTGGCCTCCAGCCCAGCTGCAACACACGTTCCTGTATTATGGGCTACATACTTGCTTCGGTGACATTCTTAGAGTTCCAGATGCTGCATTGCATTGCAGTTGCAGAATACCAACCAGCAAGCCCCTTAAGCACAGTGTCTAAAAACAAAACAAGACTGAAACGGCTATGAAAACCATATTAGGTTTCCCCCCTAACTTTCTTTTTTGAGTGGAAATGGAAATGCCAGTTTAACGGAGGATTTCTAGACGGCACCAGCTGCTCAGTCAGCTGGCCTTGCTCCACTTCCTTTCTTTCACGAGCAGAACTGAGGCCAGAACTGCCATGTTACATTAAAGACATTTCCACCGCCATAAACAGCAACCACCCTGCTCTTAACATACACACCAACTGACTCAATTACCTGTGTCCTGGATTGTAGATTTCTACCCTGCCCTTTTTGCCTGCACCAGCCACTGCATAATGTAGGGCACAGATGCCTTTGCGTCAGGGCCACACTTTAAAGTGTGGTTCTGTCCTCAGAGTGCCAGCTTGGCCCTGCGACTGTGGGTGTCCAGGACCGTGGGTGCCATGAAGTGTGCAGGGCCCTGGCACTGAAATTTGTGGGTGCCCGGCCTCTTCATGGGGAATTTTGTGGGTGCTCGGGTACCCAGGGCCCCAGGGAATTTGCACCTATGCCTCAAACCCTTATTTAGCTGCACCATACAGCTCAGGGGGAAAGCGCATGTGTTGCCTGTATAAGTGTCTAGGTACATTCCCTTGCATGCACCTTTGGGTCAGTGGCCACATAGCTGCTGTCAGATAGAGCAGGCTGGGCAAGGTAAAGCAATGGTCTGCCTTGATTTAGATCCTGAACCAGCCGCATAGAAAGAGGTCATCTCAAATTGAAGTCCCGCTGATTTCAGTGGGAATGAAGTGCAACTGACCTAGTTGTGTACACACCATACATGCAAAACACACAAACACCTGAATCCTGGGAACTATAGTTGGTTCGGGGACGGGGGTGGCATTGTGGTCTAAACCACTGAGCCTCTCAGGCTTGCTGATTGGAAGGTCAGCGGTTCGAATCCCCGCGACAGGGTGAGCTCCCGTTGCTCGGTCCCTGCTCCTGCCAACCTAGCAGTTCGAAAGCCGTCAAAGTGCAAGTGGATAAATAGGTACCGCTCCGGCAGGAAGGTAAACAGCGTTTCCGTGCACTGCTCTGGTTCGCCAGAAGCGGCTTAGTCATGCTAACCACATGACCCGGAAAAACTGTCTGCGGACAAACACCAGCTCCCTCGGCCTATAGAGTGAGATGAGTGTGCAACACTGAGTCGCCTACGACTGGACCTAATGGTCAGGGGTACCTTTACCTTTTTATAGTTGGTTCAGGGTGCTGGGAATTGTAGATATGCAAGGACTTGACTAGTCTCATGGATTTCATGTCCTTCAAATATATGGCAAGGAATTCAAATTCAGTGTTGTGCTCTTCTGATGGTTTCCGTGGGACAATCCCTCCCCACTGTGGGCAACTCTGGGGTACTCCTGACCCCCTAGAGCCGATTCAGGGCAGGACAGGGGGAAGCCTCATGCAGTACTAGTTGGTGTTCTTGAGCTGGATTCTGCCAATGGAATTGGGATACTTAATAATAATAATAATAATAATAATAATATTTTTACTATTTCTTTCTTTCTCAGAAAAGTCTCAAGTGTGGTATGTGCAAGCTCGTTACAGTAATGATGGCAAAGATCATGCAAGACAATTCCACGGATGTAAGTATTCTGGAGAGGATTCTAGGATTTTCATCCTTCATTTTGTGAACAACTGAGAACACAGAATTATCTCTCCCCCGCCCCCCTGCTCTGCCACAAATAGCCTGATCTGTTATGCGTTTGACTAATTCTCGAAAATCAGTAGGTGTGGACAGACACATTATTGTCTATCATTGCCTTCCAATAATAAACCCTGGTGGTGGGGGATGGCTCAGAAGTTGGCAACCCTAGGCATAAACTGAAAGTATTTTAGATGTGTTGCAATTTCTGTTTGACTGTAATGTCATAACGTATCATTATTATATTCTTCTTCTTGTTTTTATTACTATTAATTGTTAGTTGCTTGTTACCCAGAGCTCTCCAAGCAGTTTACAGCATTGTTAAAAACAAAAAAATATATATTACACCATAAAAACAAAAGAAAAGCAACCCACATATGATCACAGGAAGCGTTGGCAGCTAATAACAAAACAATATCACCTCAGTCTATTGAAATCCAAGGTAGAAAAGTAAGTCTGCATCTGCTGCCAAAGATGTGTCAACAAAGGTTGACATGTGTCTCTCTCAGGGGAGCGCATTCCACAGAATGGGGGCCACCACTGAAAAGACCCTTCTCTTGTCACCACCCTCCAAGCTTTCCTCAGAGTTGGGGACTTGAAGAAGGGCCTTAGACAAATATCTAAGGGTCCAGGTAGGTTCATACCAGAAGCAGCATTCTGGAAAGATATTAGAGCCCTGAGCCTTGAAGAGCTTTATCAGTCCAAACCAGCATTTTGAAGTAAGCTCAGAAACATACAGGCAGGCCACATAGCTGAAACAAAATTTGCGTCTTATTATCTATTGCTCTCAAACCTGTCAACAACTGGGCAGCCGCATTCTGCACTAATTGAAGTTTCTGAACTGTTTTCAAAGGCAGCCCCACATAAAGAGCATTGCAATAGTTCACGTGGGGGAATAGCATTAAGCGAGGAAAGGCTTGCCTTTTGAATTAGCTGAAATGACCTTTGAAATCTGAAAGTCAAACATACTTTTTTAATTCTGAAAGTCAAACTAGCCACGATAGCTCTGCTCTGCTTTTGCAGTCATAGGCAATAATGCTTCTGCATACCATTTGCTGGAAATAAATTGTATTGTTGTGCTCTGGTCCTGCTTGTGGATTTTCCCACAGGCATCTGCGTAGCCTCTGTGAGAACAGGATGCTGGATAATGTGGGCCATTGGCCTTGTTCAGTAGGCTCTTCTTATATTCTAAAATGCTCTCGACTGAGATGGTACCCTCTCTGTGCTACAGGACTTGTGGAGACTTCATTCAAAGTGTGACTCCCCACCCCTTTCCATAAATTTCTGCAGCCCTTCCAGAAAATATTGCAAGTTGGTATAAAACCATCTCATAATGCTCCTCTTTCTTTCTTTCTTTCTTTCTTTCTTTCTTCTATTTATTTTCCTCAGGAAAGAATCAGTCAATTTTTGGAGAAAGGTTGCCAGTATCTCCCTTTCCAGGACTGGTCAATCCAATGCAAGAAGATGGTGGACACAGGAGTTATCATTCTGGTACAACTTGGAAAACAAGTGCAGGTAAATAGACTGAGATATTGTTGGTACTGACACTTTCAACCATGACTTACACGGACCAGATCCAAGCCAGTCACACTGTGTGGGATCCTCTCTGAGGATGCATCTATGCTATGAATAATGTTGGTTTTATTTATATTAGTTTTCACAGGCCAGCTTTTTAGTTTCATTCTTGTTTAACTCAAAACATAGTGATTTTTTTTTTACACTGGTTCTGAAAATACTTTTATACCAGACACATGTTTTTATTTCTTTTCTTTGTCTTCTTCTGCGAGTCAACCATTTTAAACAGAAAGAATTCTTAATTAAAAACTAAGACTTGTTGAATTGTAAATATTTTCCACCACCCACTCAATATAATAGGAAGTTATTATAGAGTTCAATATTGTCTCCAATTATTATGGGTTTGAGCCAAGACTCCACCCTTTAGCTTGTTTTTATGGTTAGTTTCATAAGAACAAAAGTTTACAATCTCAGCAGATTTATTTTCACTTCCTTTCCTAATGAACCCCAGCGTGGAATTTGCCTTTTTCATGGGCACCGCACACTGGGTCAACAGATTCATTGAGCAATCTATTATTGACCCCAAAGTTCTTGTTGCTGGTCTGCCATTGCCAGTTCAGAACCCCTGAGTGTATATGTGAAATTCAGATAGTTTTGCTCCAAAGTGCATCATTTTACACATATTTACATTGAATTGCATTTGCCATTTTACTGCCTATTCACTCAGTTTGCAGAGGTCCTTTTGTAATCCTTTTGCTTTAATAAGCCTGAACAATTTGGTATCACCAGCAAACTAGGCCACCTCACTGCTTGCTCCTAATTAAAGATTGTTTATCAACAAGTTTGTTTTCCTAAATTGTTGTGTGTTAGCTGGTTCATCAATAAACAGCCTCTTGTTGTAGCCCTAACAAGGTGAGGGACCCTGTATTATATTAAACCAGTGCATTTTGGGGGTAAAAAAATAGGTGCCAATATATTATTACTATTAAAAATTGTATGCTACCCTATGCCTGCAGGTCTCTGAGTGGTTCACAACATAAAATCACAATATAAAAACCACACAATAATTATAATTATACAGCCAAACATATATTGATAAAAGTGCTGTGGGTGCCAAAACCAAAATGGCTGCCATAGCCAGAAAAAAAGTGTTGGTATGTCATATCTGTGAGTGCTGTCACGAAAAGGGCCCTGTATTAAACAAATAAGAAGCTAACAAGTACAAACTTTCCTATGAGTGACTCTGTACATTTGTAATTCTGCAAGACAGACCTAAGGGAACAGACACACACACAAGTGTTTTCAAGTGTTTTTATTTCTTTTCCTCCACTTTAAGGGCTGACAATATTCTCTCTCTCTCTCTGTTGCTCTTTCTAGGATAGGCCTGAAATAGTATGTGGTGCCTTCAGGCTATGCAGTCATCTGGTACCCTTGGAAGGAGCCCTGAAGTTCCAGAAGCCATTCAGTTCTAATGGAATGCCTGATATGACGGATTTCCCCGAAATGTTGGCTCCCTTTATAGCTAACGTGCCCCTTCTCCTCTATCCTCAGGATGAGCCCCAAACTGAGTTTCTGGTAAGGAATTCAGCTTGGATGGAGTTGTCTCCCTTTGCTCCAACAGCCACACACATGAAAGCCAGGAACAATTTCTCTCCAGAGACCATGAGACACCCTGCCAACTTCAGCTAGAGTGAGCTGGATGCCATTTTGATTCACAGAGCTTGCTTCTAGCATTGGCTGTATACACATGTTATCTTCAAAGCACATTCTTTCCCTCAAAACATTCTGGGCGGTGTAGTTTACTCATCACAGGATTACAATTCCCAGCAACCTGTAATAAACCACAGGGCCCAGAATTCTCTGAGTGGGAGAATTTGTTTTTTGAGAGTCCTTCAGGCTTGGACCCATGCCAAATGTGTAACCTTCAAAGGGCTTGCAATGTGCATAGGCCTCACTTGCGCCATCTATTCACCCATTTTTACAGTGAGAGGACAAGTGGCTTGAAGGAAGCCTGTTTACATTGGCACATTATTTTATTGATTTGACTGAGTTTTTATATGGCATCCATCAACATAGGTCCTCTGGGCAGCTCACAGAACCAAAGGGAAACATACTGTTCCATAGCTTGGGTGCCACTACAGAGAAGCCTTGGCTCCCATGAAAGGTGCTGTGGTAGGAAAAACATAGAAAAACCCCAGGCTCTCTTCTGCGTCCTTCCCACAAAGCCTTGATAATTAAATTGTTTTGCTTAATTGTTTGTTTAATGACATCTCCCTCAGTCATCCATCCACTGCCTTGTTTTATGTTTACGTACTGGGTTTGTGTTTGTCCTCAGCAGCACACAGTAGTTGAGGGAAAAGGCAGAATAGACTGACTGTGTGACTGCAGGTTATCAATAGAGCTTTCTCTAAGAAGCAAAATAATGATGTTTATTTCTCATGGAGGAAGGAGTGGATGCAAAACCTAGAAGGGATGAGCTGAGTCTGTCATTTTAGCTTTTAAAAGGGCAGTGAGTAATCTGCTGCCCTACCCAACACATTCCTCCCCCTCCATCCTTACAGATCATTGCTTTTGGCTCATTTTGTCCAGCCCAGCTCAGCCATTTCTGTTTTTTGTTTTTTTGTAGCAGGCTGGGAGAAAAATGCCTGAAGTGATGGGCTGCAGGGGAGCTAAAATAGGGAAGGAAAAAAGCTCTTAGCCTTTGCCCTGCTTCTGATGTGAAAAAAAGATGTACACACACATCCTGTTTTGTATACAAATCAGGGCAGATGTGTGAGCACCAAACATGGCTGCCACCATTAGGCCTAGTTTGGCTATAAGCTACACACCAGCCTATCTGTGAACTGGAATTTCACGTCTACCACAGGGGAAGGCAATTGCATTTTGGAAAGAGGTTAAACTAGGGGTCAGCAAATGTTTTCAGCAGGGGGCCAGTCCACTGTCCCACAGACCTTGTGGGGGACCAGACTATATTTTGAAGGAGAAAAAATGAATGAATTCCTATGCCCCACAAATAACCCAGAGATGCATTTTAAATAAAATGACACATTCTACTCAAGTAAAAACACTCTGATTCCCAGACCGTCTGCAGGCTGAATTGAGAAGGTGATTGGGCTGGATCCAGCCCCTGGGCCTTAGTTTGCCTGCCCATGGGTTAAACTGTAGCTGGCTTCTACTTCTTAGAGGATTTTGGCTTGGCCTATAGGTGACACTCAGTCCCATCTTACAGGAAGACTAGGGAATTGCCCACCAGTTCAATGAGTTATCTTCCATGCCAGAAGCAGGGCATAAGTCAGGGATGTCACACTGCTTCTTTTGTGCAGACAACCCTTTTGTGCAGACTGTAGAATGCACTCCAAGGAGTTTTGCAATCATGCACAGGATTTTGAGGCATGCTCAGAGGGCCATACTGGATGTAGCATGAGTTGCATTAATGACTTGCTTGTAAATGGCATTCCCTGGGCTTTTAGATCTTAGTTTGAACAACAACTACCAGGTATTTGTGGCCTCTTTTAATGAGGTGAGATCTGTAAGAAAAACCTGTTTTTTTTTAATCTGTTCATGTGTGTTTGGGGATTAGGGTTGCCATATTTCAAAAAGTGAAAATCTGGACATAAGAGTTGAGCTTTTCTGGGCCAAAGGTGTTGAGTTTTTCAGCTATTTTAAAGAAAAAAATGACACTGCCAACATGGGTTGCCATATATCTGGATTTTCCTGGACATTTGTGATTTCTGCCCAGACACTGCTTCCAACTGCAGTATTCTGGCTATGTCCGGGAAATTCCAGATGTATGGCAACCCTATTGGTTGCGTTTGTTATAATTGATTTTAGTGTTTATACTGTTTTTGTAGGTCACTTTGGGTCGCTTTTGTGAGGAAAATAATAATAATAGTAATAATAATAATAATACATTGGTAAGCCAGAGCAGCCTCTGAAAGCTTACCCATGTGTTTGTGGGGGTGTGCTAGGGGTGATTGGGGAAGCGGAGTGGAATTTTAACTTTTTCCCTCCCTGCCACAGTCTTAACAATCCTTCATTTCTCCCCCTCCAACATTTTTTCTGAGTACGTTTCCGAGCACAATTCAAAGTGTTGGTGCTGACCTTTAAAGCCCTAAACAGCCTCGGTTCAGTATACCTGAAGGAGCGTCTCCACCCCCATCGTTCTGCCTGGACACTGAGGTCCAGCGCCGAGGGCCTTCTGGCGGTTCCCTCGCTGCGAGAAGCCAAGTTACAGGGAACCAGGCAGAGGGCCTTCTTGGTAGTGGCACCCGCCCTGTGGAACGCCCTCCCACCAGATGTCAAAGAGAACAACAACCACCAGACTTTTAGAAGACATCTGAAGGCAGCCGTGTTTAGGGAAGCGTTTAATGTTTAACCGACTATTGTATTTTGGTATTTTGTTGGAAGCCGCCTAGAGTGGCTGGGGAATAAATAATAAATTATTATTAATTATTATTATTATTCCCTAGGAGAAGGAAGAAAATCCTTGCAGAGACTGTCAACAAGTAATTGCTGAAATGAAGGAAGGTTTCAAGAGCAGCTCTTTCCTTGTCCAGTCCTTTGCTTCTTATGCTGAACAATACTGTGAACACCTGGGGTCTGACTTGGTAAATGAGGTAACTGGATTTTATTGCTTCACACTAATGATAATGATATATATATTCAGGACCTGTGTCTGTCATCTGGTAATCAAAGCAAAGGATGGATCTACACAACTATATTTCTTATGTCTTGTTTCAGACGTTGTCCCTCAGCCTGTGGTCACACGTTTAACTTTTCCAAGTACTGTAACAGATTAACTGGGGAAAGAAGTGACCTTCCTTGCATATATATATATCTGAAGTCGCAGAAGAGTAATTACATAATATTTTGCCTCTCCAATTCAGGTTAAATTAGAACGCCATTTGAAATCAAACCATCCTCATACACTTGGAGTGGCTAACTTGCTGCTGGACTAAACTCTCCACATCTTTGACCACTGAGACCATGCTGCCTAGGGGCTAATGGGTGTCCGACAACACTTGGAGGGCTACAGTTCCCCATTTCAGCTGTCATTGGTTCACTTCGTTCCACCCAAACTGTGATTTAAAAGTGATGTGGAGTTTGTGAAAGAACAGTTTACCCATCAGGGCTTAGAAATACCTGATACATGTATCTCATTTAAATCAGGTTCCTGGTTCCTGTGTGAAGGCAGCATTGTATGCATAGGAACTGCAGCCCAATTTAAGTGTGACACGAGCCACAAGTCGTTTCATATGAATAGGTTTTCCTTGGTGTGACCAGCAGTAGTTTGAAATATGTCCTCAGTCACAACAACAAAAGAAGTCAAAGCAGAAAATGCCCTGCTTTGCCCTCTGTGTCACTAAGTTAAGTGAGGTGCTGGGTCTTAGGCAACAACTGGTCCTGGCAGTACCTCTGTTGTACTGTATATCATCGATCAAGTTTGAAAGGATTGCTCCTATGAGCATTTCGAAACAAAAAGGGCGTGAGAATTTTGCATGCTCCGGAGATAGCATGGAGTTCTCCAAGTTGGGTGTGGGTGAAATTAATGGATTGATCTTGTTAGTAATTATTGAAGCTGTTTCTCTCTCTCCCCCCTTCCCTCCACAGTGCAAGAAATATGCCTTTGAGTATTCACATGTTTTTGTCCGATTGCTGACACATCTATTGGTAAGTTGATTGAGGCAGACATTTACACTCTAGCCTTTTCCAGGCAGAGAAGCATCATCACTTCAGGGCCAATTTTACGACAGCAAAAGCATTGTAATATCTGAATTCAGGCTTGTAAGATATTCTAGACATGTGATTGATCATTTTTTGTATAAGGCATTACATACTGACATAGGAAAGCAAGTATCAGGAGATCTGGGTAAAATTAGCATGCACAGTGGGAACAAGGTTTGAAGTCCAGAGCTTAGTTTGTCAAATGCTGTCCAGGAGTGGGGAGATTAATATGACAGGATGCTCCCCCTTCTGGAGGCCAGATTTGTCCCAGGGGGTTCCAGTTGCTGACCTTTATCCCAAAGCACCAGTGTGACTAGACATTATCATTCAGGCAATGAAGCCATATCCAGAATGGCAAATACTTCATTTCATGCCTTAAGTTTGAGAGCAGCTCGGCTTTGACTTCTGGGAGTGGGAGACTTTGCCTTTGTGGAAGAATTGCACCTTTTAATTCATGATAGCATGAATAGGCCCATGAAAAGCACCTGTTACACTAAACAGAGTTGTTGGACAAGGAAAGTTTACACAGCTAGTTTTGCAACGTAATGCTATCGGGTGGGCGAGTTTGTGGATTAGCTAGTTCAGGCTGTAGGATTTACTCTCTGAATTATTTTCTCATGATTTTAACTATTGGTTTTCTCCCTCTCCCCACTTCACAATTCGATTGACTTTTTGCTGATCACAGGAGGAGGTACGTGAGAATGTTTTTCATTTCTAGGTCAACTCTTGCTGATAATTTGTGGGTTGGACAATTGAAACCACCTTTGCTTGACAGAAAGGAACTTGGAGGTTGAAAGGGAGGTTGATCACAACGGCAGTTTTTATACACCCTGCTTTTAATGCCAACTGGAGAAGTGAAGCTTATAATAATTTTATTTTTAAAAATTATTATTTATACCCCACCCATCTGGCTGGGTTTCCCCAGCCACTCTTAAGGCTGCATACACACCTTTTGTTCTAGGATCAATAGAGTCCTTGCTTTTTCTACAGAATGCACTCCACATACATTCTAGAACTATTGTAGGGTTGCCATATTTCAAGAAGTAAAAATCCAGACACAAAAAGTTGTTGAGCTTTTTAAAAACCTGGACATTTTGACGATTTACCAAAATCCCCCCCCCCCGATGCTAATTCCATCACTGAAATCCCGGACATGTCCGGGAAAATCTGGACGTATGGCAACCCTAAGCTATTCCGTATTTTTTGCTCCTGAAAAGCACCTCTTGTGAAACTGGTTTCATTCTGAAAATAAAAGCTCATTGTAGATTTCCATTTGAAAACAGATCTAGTTGGTCCTGACAAGGGTGTGTGTTTATCCACACTTGCCCAATGATGTTGTGGGTGGGTGCATACAAATATCACAAGCACAGTTTCCTTCTTCATTTACCTGTGGCATGTGTAGGCATAGGTAACCTTAGCAAAGGGAGGGTTTTTCCCAGTATGATGTGGAATCCCTCCCCCGTTCCCCTCAGACAACATCCACAACCTTCCTGTAGCTCCGTGTTAATTTATGGTAGGAAGAGAAAACGAGATTTGTTGTCCAATGCAACTTTTTTCTCCTCTTTCAGCAATCAAAGACTGTCTGTGGCGCCTTCTGTGACTCTGAAAAACCCGAGCCTTTTCATGCATTACTGCCAGCTAAACCCCTTGATGACTTGTCTACAGTATCGGAATCTGTAGAGGTAAGAGCAAAAGAGCCCCCTCCTGCTCTGCCAGGGGGCAGGCAGAGGCTGAGAGCATTGCAAGATGGGCAGAGCAGAGTAGCTGCTGAATTTATTTGTGCCTAAAGTCAAATGCAATGAGGCTCTGGAGACTCCTGCGTGGCAAACATCAGAGGAATATCAAAGGGCGAAAAATGAGTTTCGATAGGAATTTTTAGCAGTGTTAACCTGTACATCAACACTAGGGAGACACTGAATTTTGCCAAAAGCAACTTTCATGCAGAATTTTGAAACTCCCCCTGAGGAAAAGCAGGAGAATTGCAATTGTTTTTAATAAGATTAGTGTACCTTTTCCAGGGTCTGCACATCCTTAGCAAAAGAGTTAATGGGTGGCCCCTGTCTGGGAGATTCTTTGCATGGGCATTAAATCATAGAATTGGAAGGGACCACTAGGATCCTCTAGTCCAACCCCCTGCAATGCATATTCTCATTTACTTCACTGTGACTCATCTCTCTTTAACTGGCACAATCCAACTTTTAAATTCTATTGATTTCAATAGGAAATATTTAAGCAAAGGCTCCCCAGTGAATTCAGAAAATTTTAGATGAATTGCGCGTATTATTTTTAAAGTGGCAGTTTGAAAAGTCATGCCTTTTCTGGGGATATATCTGGCATTCTTTCTGGGGATATTTCTGCATGTTTTCCACCTTTTTTTGGTACAGTTTCCCCCCATTTGCTGCTGCTTTGGCACAATTTGTTTTCCTTCTGTTTACTGTTCCCAAAGTAGTCACATGGAGAATCCTAGCCAACTAGGGATCACTACGTAAATGGGGTGACATCATGAAATTAGGTAGTCAATCATATGTGACATAATTTCAGTGTAAAATGAATGCCGGTTGAAAATTTGGACAGTTTGTTCTACATGGCTGATCCCAGACAGATAAGAACATTCCATGAACTGGACAATGTCACTGCCTTATGTAGCCAGTCAGGTTTGGCTTCATGCTGATGTCACTGAAGGCAAATGAAGTCGATTCAGAATGAAGGCATTGCTTCCTTGAATAGGCAGGGGTTTTTTGCGCATTTTTCCAAAGTGATCACTGAAAAAGGGGGTTTGCTGCATTCCACAGAAAATGTTATTTTGGCTAAGCTTGAGTTAACAATGTTTTAGTATTCTACTGTTGCTTGTCCTTGAAAGTTGTGCTTGATTTTTTCTTCTTGTTGTTCTTTTCTTTAATCGTGTCAGAAAACATCAAATGCCGAAAGCCCCGAGTTTGCGTGTGGTTTATGCAAGAAAATAGTAACCATTGCAGAGGGCATGATGGAGGAGAATGTCACAGAAGTAAGGCTGAGGAAACCTATTGTCATCTATCGGGTGATGGCGGAGGGTTCGGGAGGGGGCTCTCTTTGGAGGTTTTTTCCACTTTTGGAGACCTGCACCACTGCTACTGTGAGGGAAGTTGGGATGTGAGAGCACTGCCTAGTATCGCAGAATCGTAGAGTTGGAAGAGACCCCAAAGATCATCTGGTTCAACCTCCTGCAATGCAGGAATCTAAACTCTTAGTTTCCTCATTATGAGAAGTTGAATGAATGTCTCATTTCAAACTTATAGGATGCCTTTCTTCAGCACTTGATATGGAAACATGGGTTTGGAGGGGACTAGTTGAAACATTAGAGGGCTGCATAGAAGGAGAGGAACAACTGAGGAAACTGCCTGTCTCAGTTTGTCTCTTATTACCAGAAAAGGGAGTTCATGCAGGTGCAGCTTTTCTTACATCTGCATGAGAAACTGCACCTGTCAACTTGACCTCCTTCTACCCAACACTCAAAAGGACCCCATATCTCCTTTGCTGTGGTTACCTTGGTTCAGTTACTAAGATCGACAGTAACGTCTGCTCCTGCTTTTCATAGAGGAAAGAAGTAATGGTCATGGAGTGGTTTGATGCAGAGGAATGGGGGGGGGACCAGCTGGGGAACCCCCAAGGGAAGAAGGCTCAGAGCCTGGGGATTGGTGGTGGGACGACAATGAGAGGTCAGAGGGAGCAGACTGGGGGGGGGGGAGGGAGAGGAGGTGTCAGAAGCTGAAGAGGTAACAAGGCTGAGTGAGCAGGAAGTATTTGTGGCAGAGACGTCCAGAATCAGAGGGAGAAGCTGAAGCAGGAGAGAGGCGTGAGGGAGGCCAAGAAGCAGAAGTATGTCAGGCTGGTGAAGAGGCATGGGGGTCTATGCCTCCTGGTGTGACAACCTCCCTTCCCATCTGGTATCCCAGAACCTGGAGAGGTATGAAGAGGGAAGAGAAGTTAGTTTCACAAAGGCGTCGTCTCAGTGCTTGGGGGAAAACACTGGAGAGGAGAGGACTTAGGCAGCTGTGGGAAGGTGGGGACCTTCAGTCCTTGAAACTGCCTCATAGGTGCAAGGCCTACTGAATAAGAGTTGCTGTGCTCATTAGGCCTGGCACTCCTGTGCAGATCCTGTTTTTCTAAGAAAGAGTTAAGTTCACCTGCCCGTTGTGATTTACTGCTGGCTGGCTTGCTCCAGCCAGTAATTGACATCTCCTTCCTTGTTAGCACCGACTACAGAATAAGTTCCATCTTCCTCCTTAGCATACCTTTCTGCTTTTATGTTTCAGCAAGAAATAGTCCACCAGATGGTGAAAGTCTGCTATATACTGCCCCATGAAATCCTGGACCAATGCAAAGACTTAGTTGATTCCTATGGAAAGGCTATTCTCTACATGCTCCTGGATGCAACTAAACCTGAAGCTGTGTGCATGAGGATTAGACTTTGCCCCAGAGATATCTCTTTGAGCTTTGGTAGGTAATGGCATTTGCTTGCACTGTCATGTTATGTGGCCTGGGCGTGGGGCGGGGGTTAATTGCAATGACCTGCTCCTATATCAACTTGCCTGGTCTTACAAGATTTCTTGTCAGGCCTTCTAACATTCTGAGGTTAGACCAGAGATGTGGCTGCCTTGTCATGTTACCCAAATTATGATTGAATGCTCTTCCCAAAGACAAGTGGCTGCCACCTACCTTCAGCCTTTAGGAACCAGACAAAAAACCATCTTGTTCTCCTGAGCATTCAATGGATGGTGCGTTTCCATCTGCCTTTGCTAGTTTCTGTTTTTATAGTTGGTTTCTCTTTTGTCCTAATTTATATTGCTTCACTGCTTCTGTGTTTTTAATGGTGGTTTTAACTTTTGTTAAGAGCTGCATTCAGGAGGCATTCAGTGTAAAAAGAGTAATAACGATTTGCAATAAAAATTATATATAAAAAAGTAATCTTTCCAGGTTGATAACTCCCAAACTTTGTTTCTCCTCAGAAAGGGAAGCTCTGGAAGAAGGATTGAAACCAACCAAACCCAGTGAAAGTGAAGTCTGCCATGTGTGTACACTCATCGTTACATATGTTGATCAAGAGCTGGAAAAGAATCAAACGCAGGAGCAGATTGGAACTATGCTTTCTAAGGGTTGCCAGTTGCTGCCAGAAGCTTTGGTGTATCCCGTAAGTACGCCAAATGGCTATTGTGAAAGGGAGATCAAAGTGTTCTAAAAGGAGAGAGGAGGTCAAGGAGCTGAAGATCTCTGTCTTGTCTTCCTGCCAAAAGTGGTGGGCATTTTATTGGTTTATCTACATAGAAGCTTTATCCTGCAAGCCAGAAGAAATATTATCTTCTTTAATTATTTCTAGTTTGAAATGCATCTGAAGCAAATGTTGTACCCCCCCCCCCACCTTTTTTAGAGTTGCCACCAAATTTTGCTCATAGTAAAAAAATTGAAGCAGATACAGAAGTTACTTCTTGGGCAGAACTTCCAAATATTTTTTGACATAGTCATAACCAAAGAGAGCTGCCTGTTTAGGAGTTTTGTAGAAATGAAGACGGCTTGGATAAGACTAATGAGGTTCCTTAGGGAGCATTCTACCTGTCCTGAGACCTTGCAAATTCAGCTTAATCAATTAAATCCAGAAAACAAAAGATTTAGACCCAGTTGCACCCTTGGGGGGCTGTACCTAGGAGAAAGGCTGAGAGTCACTTAACTTGTTTTTTTTATTACAGTGTGATCAACTCGTGGTGCAATATGAGCCAGCTGCTGTCCGTCTCCTGGTGCAGGTCATGGAGCCAACCTTTGTGTGTGCTGTAAGTCATGTTCTAAAGTAATTGCTCATTCTTGAGCGAGATCTCTGACAAACAGCTTTGTCCGCAATCCAATGGATATGTTTACCTGGGATATTTCTTCTGACATGCATATATGATTGCACTGTTATTTCCTTTGCAAATAACAAAACCACAAAAATCCCATAAATATCCAGTAGTCTCACTATTCACAAGGAAACTGAACCTGTAAAAACATGGGTGGGTAACCTGTGGATGGACTCCAGCTCCCATCATCCCTGACCATTGGTCCTGATGATTGCTGGACGGGGCTACACATTGCATCCTTGCTGTGAAACAGGGGGCAGAAAAGCCCCAACCCGCCTGTTGGGGGTAATTTGGTGGGTAGGACAACCCCCTGTGACGCTCTCTTTCTACCACCCACTTTTTCTCTCTCCCTTCTTGCACAGCAAGCTTCCAGGGGAGGGGCCGATCATCCTTGCCAGAAGTCAAATAGCTGGCAGATGGCCCTTTTGAAAATCAGTCTGAAGATTAGGGTTGGCTGTGTGTCCTACTTTACAGAAAGGGCAGCCCTCTTTTTGAAAAGGGTCCTCTATTTGAATGGCTGCCCAGTCCAATTTTTTTTTTTTAAAAAAGAAAACCTAGGAAAGAAGAGCAGCAAGGACCTTCAAGCTGCCCCCCTAGTTAGCACCTGGCTAGCAAGAGTGAGCAGGCAACACAGATCACAATGTCCCCCACCATGGTGAGACGTCTCATAGTTCTTTTTAAATTATAGTGGTTTCTTCTGAACGTCCACATAAATGAGCATGTGCAAACTTTACACATACCCGTGTCCCCCTTTTTGGTACTGTGTACTTGGCTACCCTGCTGAGGGCCACAGGCAGCCCTAGAGCTACAGGTTGCCCATCCCTGCTGCAAAGCTACCCTGAGTCTTACCGCCTGCTTTGAAAAGTGGGGAGCAATGTGAAGTTGAAGGAGGCTTTGGGGAACTTAAAAAGGAGTTAAGAAAGGAGGCTGATTCTGCATAGGTGTAATGGTCCCTTTTTGTACTCTTCTGCCCCACAGAAAATAGGAGCCTGCCCCTCGTCCCACCTTGTGGGCATGGAAGTTTGTGTCCGGGGCCCTAGCTACTGGTGCAAGAACGCAGAGACTGCAGCTCAGTGCCAAGTAAGTAGGGGTGGTGGTGGTGGCAAGAGGGGAATGTCAAGCTTTCCAATACAGTGAGATGGAGTTGATAAAAAAAAGTAATTGAACACAGTTAAAAATGGGAGCACTCTTTGCAGCATACAATTCTGGGAATGTGACGCGATGACCGAAATAGGAGCAGGTGAAATGACTCTATGGAAGGCGATAGTCTTTGAAACGAAAACCCTCTGTGCTACCGAAGATCTAGGTGCATATTAGTGATGTGGAATATAGGATTGGGGGAGTATGTTTAAATATTGTGTGCAGTTGTAATAAGTTAACTCGTTCTGCTTCCAAGTGCTTAACTCTAAAAACATCTTACGTGTGAATATACTGGCCCTTATCCACCTGTAGCTGTGTATCTAGCAATCCTGCAGTAGGGATATCCATTCACTCCTTATCAATGGGGCTCGATGAACACCATTATGCACATCCAGGTATGTAGCTGTATTGGCATTGTCTCAGTGTTCAGAATCTTATGGTATCTGAAGGGCTTCAGGTTCCTGATCCCTGGTGTGAAAGGTGACAGCAAGATGAATAGGAAATCTTAGATACTCTGAAGTTTTCCTATATAAGCCCATTTTCTTATGAGTTGTGCTATGAATGGAGAATGGCCTTCCTTGAGTCTTCCTCTCTTTTCCCCATAGGCCACTGAATACTGCAAGCACCATATATGGAACTAGAGGAAGCCTTGCCAGTGGAAGAATGTTGGCTGTGGTTTTACTGAATGCACCCTGGAATTTGGCCGGGTGGGAAATGGTGAAATATCTAAACACTGGCAGAACCACACCTTCCTTTCACACTTCTGCAGTGTGGCTGTCCGTTGGGTGGCTATACTGCTGAAAAAGAAAAAAGCAGGGGGACTGTTTCCTTTGCTTGTGATGCTCTGAATTACCGTACATTTAGTTTTACTTTTAGATCCATGGTGGGGAAGTGACACGGGTAGGGAAGAAAAAGGCTGTGGTGGGATTTTATTTGAATAGCTGAGAATTTTGGTAAGACTCTTGTTTTAAAATGTGTAAATTGCGTTACGATCATTGCAAAACTGGCTGCTTAAGTTGGCATTTTCAGATTTCCAATACCTTCCTTCTCTAGCTAGCCTTTTAAGGTACAGCTATACTATACATTTAAACTGTTTTAATATTTCATTGCTTTTCTTCAAGGGGTGCTGGGAACAGCCAATCAGACTGTTGGGCCACTTAGTCCACTGTCTACTCTGGCAGCAGCACTGCTTCAAACAAATATATTTTCCCAGTCTTGTTATTTGAGATTCTTTTTACCTAGAGGTGCTTAGAATTTTCTTTAAGACAGGTCAACTGGCACAATAATTTTAATTATATGGAGGGATTTCAGCTCTCTTAAATTTCTGGTGTAGACAGAAACAAAGTCTCGAAAAAAAGGGGCTACCCATTTGCTCATGTTAAGTACAGGCAGTTACTGGGTACTTATACTTTTACCTGTAGAACTTAAACTTGGTGTCAGTTCACATGTACCTAACCCTGTTCTTTCTGAATGCAGCAGCTAGGGTCCTCAAAGGGATATGTATTACAATCAGCATGAAAGGCTGATTAAATGGTTACATAGGTACAGGACACAAAACAATTTGCATGATCAGTGGTTTGCTTATTCCCTTGCTGGATTGGTGTAGTTAGGTAGACTGAATTTTAGACTAATTAGCACATAAATCCATGGCTGTTACTTACCAATAGGTGGGTTGAGTGCTGACCTGCGAACTAAGGAACAAGTAATTTTAATTGTGTTTTCTCTGTACTTCAGGAGTAGCGGCAAGTGCTCAGGATAATATAGAACAGGCAGCATTAAGCAATAGCGTCTTTGCTCTACACCTCAATATGACATTTATCAAAATGTGTCTAAATATCAGTTCCAAAGCCATTGACTCTTGTTGCAGCTTGCAATTAGAGCAACAGCTGAGAGCACTAATGACGCTTGAAAGCCATGCAGATGCCATATTTGTTGGTAAGCACAAGATAAAATTTAACAGGTACAGTGATGCAGAGGTGAATTGTTGTTGTTGTTTTTGCAAGGCACAATTCCCATGGCTGAAGCACCTGTGTGTGAACCTGTTCAATATACATGCTGAGAAATTATCCAGTTATTCCAAAAGGACATTATAATGAGCATTTTACCAATGCTTCTGTAGTTAAGAAACATTAAACAATTCTTACAAATTTGACACTGACTCTTGGTTTTTGTTAAGCAAACAAAGTGACCTGTTGTAAACCTGAATAATAAAAAGCAGAATGATGTTAAAGGTTAGCTTAATGGGCACAGTTTATTCAAACTGCAGACCTTTCACTGTGTGTGTATTGCATCGTATACACACTTCTGAATAAGAAACACTTAGCATTTTCCTTCTTGATAGTTTTATGGAGAGAGAATGTACATGCTGGTATATAGATGAGCACAATGACCACTCTGATTCCTCAGCCCCTACAGCAGTGTGTACTTAACCCAAACAAGCACCGAACCCTGTGCCCAAGCTGGGAGAGAAAGATCAAACACAGATTAACTAAATTCATGGATTATGTATTTCTGGTTCCTTTGACAGACCATTCAAAAACGCTCAACACTTTACTGTTTGAAAACAAAAGAAGAAGAAAAAAAGGAGTACACACAAAACACTCTACGTTCAGAACCTCAATTAATATCACTCTTGTTTCTTTTGATGCTGCAGTGTTTTGGTAGGCCAGCAAAATGAAGAAATGGCTTCAGTTTCTCCCCACCCCCTGCTTTCTAGAAAGGTGAAAACAGATAAATGCCAAACAGATTTATGGAGCTTCCTGAAGGTTATCACACAATTTGCTCTGTGCGAGTTGATGGTCGTAGCATCTTAGCTGCAGCTGGTTAGCAGCCGTCTTCTCCCATCATCACAATCTCCACCACTAGCCTGATGGTGGAAGAATGTAATTGGTGCAACCCAGGACCTGTTGGGAGAGCCTGGTCATCTCCACCGATGGGGCATCATGGCACACCGTGGTTATTGCAACTCTAGCCTTAAGTCTGTGCCTCAGGGCCTCCCCATTGCTCTTTTTAACACTTTATATTTTAAAAATAAAATTTAAAAAGTTATGAGTTTAATGATGTGAGTGCCTGGTAGAAGCAAACAGTCCTGAGAACCTTCACCCCGGGGGTTAGGCTCCCCAAGGCTGCCCTAACAGCTGTCTTGGTCAGGTTTCTTCTGGAACAGGTGGTGGCCAGGCACAAGTGACTGAGGCCTCTGGATTTTCTTCTGCCCCTCTTGTCCCTTGGTCAGTGCTCTCCTCTGGCGGCGGCGGCAGTCTACGTGGGGCCAGGCTTCCTCAGAGCGCTACACCAGCGATGCCACTTCTAGTCATAACTCTGTGATTTCCAGTGGGCTCTCCATGATCACTTCCCTCATTTTGTGCATAGGGGTGGATTTGGCAGACTCGGTGCGGGCGTTCTTGTCACAGAACGCCCCACCGTCGGCAGTCAGTGTCTCCAAGGAGCGGCCCAGCACCTTCTGGTCATCCTCGGGAAGACTGTTGAGGTCAGAGGTTAGCAGAGTACCTGTACTCCCGTGGACCACGTGGATTCCATCAGGTCCCTTGAGCTCAATGGGCTGCTTATGTCGGAAGCGGAGGCTCCCTTGGCTTGGACTCCTTTGCTCGTCGTCGTCGTCCAAATCGTTCTGGATCAGCTGGAACAAAACCCAAGTTGAAATCAACACCCCGTAGTGCTCCCCGTTGCTTAGGCAGTGCTGTTTTCAGCTGCAGTTACATTCCCTTCCTGAGCTAATCTGGGAACAGGATAAAGGTCCCCTCTCAACCTAAAGACCCTGATTATATCTAGAGTTTGATTACCCCACTCAAAATTCCTATGTTTATAACACTCAAGCAGTTGGGTGACCTAGCTGATTCCAGTGGAAGTAACTGACATGCACCGAAATGCACATGGAACCTCATTCTCCATTGAAATGACTGGAGAAGCTGTTTCAGGCTAGGAAATTCTCTGCATATACTGGAGCTCTCACTCCTCAGAAGAGTCCACTGGTTTAGGGCTTTAAGTCTTCATTGCTGGGGAGTGCACGATTCTTGCCAAGCCCTTACTCTTTGCACTGGGGGAGGAACCAGATGTTGCCTTGGGAAATTCATTTTCCTGTCTTGTTTGATGTATAGGTCTCTTTAGATCAGGCTTCCTCAAACTCGGCCCTCCAGATGTTTTGAGACTACAGTTCCCATCATCCCTGACCACTGGTCCTGCTAGCTAGGGTTCATGAGAGTTGTAGGCCAAAAACATCTGGAGGGCTGAGTTTGAGGAAGCCCGCTTTAGATCTTTCCTACAAAGAGCTTAATATTGGCCCTGAATAAAATGCATTCATTATATACAACTTGAGACATATTTTTGGATTGGTTCTTGCACAGTCGCATCTTAAAATCTTAATAAGGCAAAGATGGCAGTTTCTGCACAGTGAGATGTCACAGAGTAGATTGAAAGGCTGAACTATCGTTCTGTCTCCAAAGGGAAGTGCCTTCAGGCTTGGCTGCTGCTTAGATGGGAACCAGCCTGAGACACCATACAGCCCATAAAATCAACAAACCACAAAGAACAGGTATTTAATACTGTGCTTCTGTATAATGTTGTGCATTATATGTTTCCGATTTTAATAAGGTGGGCAAGGAGGGTCTAACCAATGGGAGAGCAGGAAGAAAGAGGATGCTAAGAAGCCTGAACCAGCTGGAGAGTATTAAGAACACCAGGTTCAGGTAGAATACAAGCAAAGGCAAAAGGAAACCGGATTAGACAAAGATTGCAATCAAGCACAAAGCATTAACTGGTTCACCACTTCTGTGCACTTGGCTCAACTTACTGGGCATAATAAAGCAAACAGAGAGATTACAGAAGAGAAACAAAGTGCTCCCTGAAAGTTCTTCACACTCTGGCTACAATCCAGCAAAGTAAACTTTTTCCAATGTGCTTAAACATGTAGTTTCTCCCCAGTGTATTGCTATCTGTTTCACTATAGCCTTCATAAACTGATGTGCAAGGAATGTCCTGTTACTATCCCCCCCAATTCTTCCACAAAAATCCTTGCAGCTACAGTTCTTGATGTTTAAAGACCATGTCCTCCTATTTTTCATCTCTCTGTCTCATGCCTTCTTCCTTTAGAACTTTTTTATTGCACTATCTTCATCCCTCATTGCTGTGAGTCTACGAGCTCCCCTACAAAGTTCTCATTTATTAGAGAATTGCAACTTTCCTTTTGTGAACAATTGACCTAGAGTTTTCTTCTCTTATCTATATATGCCCCTTTTGGAAGTGTGATTACTTCACAGTGGTTGGCAAGGGATTCTAATGCCTAAAGCAGAGGTTTTCAATCTTTTTGAGTCCCACGGTTCCATTAACCAACTACATTCTTTCTGTGGCACCCTGTGGGGTCAGGGGCCCAGTTATGTCACCCCTTGCCTGCAGAGCTGGCAGTCTCTCACCCCTTTTCGAACACCCTCCCCTGTGGAGTGTTCCTTAAGCCTCCTCTCCTCTCCCGAGTCCTCTGGCAGCTGTTCTCTGAGCTGACACACACCCCCCCTTGCCCCAGAGAGAGGTGCCTCCCAGAGGCACCATTCGCCTGTGGAACTTATAGCCACAGCTGCTGCAATAAACAGCTGTGCAAGCCTTTGGGACACAGGAGGGCATCAGAGGAGGGAGGGGAGGAACAAGAGGCCAATGTTGCCCTTGGCACCCCTGACCTGATCATTGAAGGCACTCTAGGGTGCCACAGCACACTGGTTGCAAACCAGAGGCCTACAGAATGAATTAGCACTGCACATTAATTCAGTACTACACTAAGAACATGAATAGACATGCCTAGCATGAGACTTTCAGTGCCCAGGAGGAGTTAGGACACAGAAAAAGTAGCTAATTCAGTGGGATGTGTTTGGGCAGAACAGGTCTGGGTACCCTGTGACCCTGCAGAGTTGGCTTGCAACAAATCCTTCCTGACCGTGAGCTATGCTGGAGGCTGCTGATGGGAGTAACACCTAGTGAGACACAGGTTGCACAGTCCTGTGGTGGAGAGGGGCTCCTTCTGCCTGTTTCATTGAACTCCTGCGCTCTTGTGCTACAGAGGGAAATAGCTATGAGCACCACACAATCAATACTGAAGGGTACAGTTCTGAAAAGCAAACACTACATCCCAAAGGGCACAACAAGCATTTTCAAGAACTCCCATGCACAAGCAGATTCTACCTCAGAGACTGAGGACTGGTCCCCATGACTGGTGGTGGCTTTATGCACCATCCGCTGAGCAAGCAGTCTCTTCAGTCGCATGTAATCATCCAAGACTACCTTTAAGAGAGAGCCCTGGAAGGAGGGAGGGAATGGGCAACAGGAGAAATTACACTCGGGCCCTTTGCCACGTTGTGTCGAAACTTACTCTGTGTAGGGAATCCCCGTGAGAAGCTACTCTAAATCCAGATATCCTCTCCATTAATAATAATAATAATAATAATAATAATAATAATGGCTGAAACATTTATCCTTAAACCTTCTAATAAATCCTCTTGAATCACACCTTGTATAATAATCCTCATTAAAATGGGATTCTTGCCACATAGTGCATTCTGCGTGACTATCCAAAACAACTGCATTCCAAGACTGGATTGCAGACGAAACATGGTGCTGAGAGTTCTGTCCTCTGGCCAAGCAGTGCCACAAACTTGAACATTTTACTGAACTGAGACTGAGAATAATAGAACATACCTTGATGGGCCCTTCTCGCATGATCTGGCCTAGCTTGGCAATGTTGTCGTATTCCTGAATGGCTGCTCTCAGATAGCGATCTTCTTCGGGTTTGGCAGCCGAAGGCTCTCGGCCAAATGTTCCCTAAAAAGAAGAGGTTTTTAAAATAGCTTCTCTCTCTCCTTGTCTCTCCAGACCTGAAGGAAAATCCATCTGGGAATCTTTTCCTAATGCCCCTTGCTAACATTTGTCTACAACATGCCCACCCCCCGTTGCAAAATTTAATTACTAAGCAGGGCATGCGCCATGTTGAACAAAATCTCATTAACAATGAACAACAAGTACATGCTACATGACTGACTCTAATTTTCCATGAAGTGCATCATAGCAACTAATCTTAGACTAGGAAGCGCTAAGGTTAATGTAGCAGCTACATTGCTGTTGATATGCCATTGCTGCGGCCTCTTCCTACTGGGCAACAAAGGTGCAGCTGGATTACTAGGCCTGGACGAGAAAGGAGTTAAGAATAGATAAATGAGATATTCTAGCACAAGGGGATGGTGATGATTGACAAATAGTGCCAATTCTAATTTATGCACACAATCAAAATGCCTTCTTTTGCTTCACATTAATTTGAGTTCCCTTTCATGCTGGCATAGGCTACAGGCTAAAATTAGGACAATGTTGACTATACTGTGGCTTTAATCATAGTATAGCAAGCAAGCAAGCAAGCAGATGCTCTCTCACGTGAGTCCTGGCTGGGCTGTTCCACAGGTCTGTTATTTCACTGAGGTTCTCCGGCAGGTCATCCTCATGCTCAGCTTGTGCTGCTAGCTCCAGGTTTCTGCAGAAAGGGTCCAGCCACACAGGGTTGGCTCTAGAAAGGATACAGGATGCCTACAATAAACAACTGCAATGGGAAACCATCCAAGAAAAATCCACCAGTTTGGTCCACATACTTGTCAATATACTATCTCAGATAACTTTAAGCACTCCTTTTCTTTAAGCTCATGTTTTCAAAGATTGCGCTATATACAAAGATTGTGCTGTTAACAGCCACCTTCAAAAGTAAGAATCATAGGTGCCAGAGGCCAAGATTGTCTTTAATTAGGCATGGTCAGCATTCGGATAGCCTCTTTTAGCCAGCGTTAAACCTTTCAGAAATTGTTGACAACTCACCCATCAAAGGAATATTTATTTGTGTTTGGCATATCCATGATGTCCATGAAACCTCGGTTACCTGAAGAAAGCAATGTGTCAAATTTACCGAGAATCATTCACATCTGTTGAGTTTAGAGTTTGACTTATAAAAAATCGTTTTTTGTTGGCCCCGTGCTTCTACCAGCAACGAGACACACAGAAACTTATCAGCTAAAGTTTTCCTCACTACTTATCATCACGTCAAATAAAGTTTCACAGTTTAGCCTTTGTTAGTTTGCTTCCACACAAGCAGTTTAGTCTAGAATTTACATCCTTTATTTATTTACTTTTTAATGGAGTTGTCATTGGAGTGCAACAGGGTGGCAACACAACATCAATTGTTTTTCAGGCTTAATTAATTTCACTTCCAGTTGACTGGAAAAGCAACACTTCACCAGCACCAAAGAGTCAAGGACTGGAAGCAACCTAGGCCAAGCTGCTGGTCTTATTATTCACCGTATGGTGTTATGAGTGATGGCTATCTCATCATATTCTTCAGTGTCTATTTCCTTCCCAATGGGCGAGGGGGAAAAATGGATCTTCCAAGATCTCTTACCTGTGGAACCGGCCACAATTGCTTTCAGTTTTCTTTTGTGCCTGCAAGACACAAAATAACTAAGGGGAAAGAGCACAAGAATTGTATTGTGAAGTCTGTTCATCATACGTGTAATGTGATTGGCCCTTTAACATCCTCTCACATACTGTTCTGAACCAGTAGAAGACTATTGGTTGAGAACCTTTGCTACTGAGTTCTTTTGCTGAAATTGGGTTTCCTCCCCCCAAACCTTGAAGTAATTCTCTATAAATCTAAACATCTTTAAATATATTAGAGAGGCTATGTTTTAATCCAGTTCAGTCATGCTCCTTGAGATATACTAATATACCTAATATTTTAAAATAAACAAAATATTGTTCCACTTCTCAAAGGAAGATTGACACCAGAAAACAGATTTCTCTCCCACTGAACATGCAAAGACCTGTTGCATGTTTCCTCATGCAACTCAGCTTACAGTTCTGATGCAGAAATATTTGAGTAAAGCAGCCAAATCCCTTATCATGAACTTGGAAGATGAATCCACTTTTGGCAGCAGAGAGAGTGTGCAATTCAAAGGTGTCAGCCATAAATCACCAAAAAGGGAAATTCCCTCTCTGCAACCTGGGAGAAGGGCTGACAAACTTAGTACACGCACTTCACCCTCCCACAAGGCTATGTTCTGTGGTGGAAATCTACAGCCATTACTCCTTTTAGAAATCCCTGAATCAGAGCTTCCTCCTCTGCAGTATGCAAGGGTTTGATGTCAGCTCCAAAAATACATTATTATTATTATTGTGGCATCTGAAATACTCTGCCCTACACAGTGCAAGTGCTGGAGGCTACTCACGCTGTTCTGTAGTACCAGTTCATGAGGATGAACAACATGGCTGCCAGGAAGAGGAGAATAGCCAGAATAATTATTGCCATCTAGAAATGGTAAGAAACAAAACAAAAACAAAACTAACTGTTACGGCAGGGATAGGATGTCTAGGAAATGGCTTGGCTACTGACCCAGTGTAAATTGGGGTACGGGTCTAATGAGGTCTGCCAGATTTTCCCATTTGGCCTGCTAGGCCATTCTGCCCAAGCTGCCCATCACCTGATGTCATATATGATTACAAAGAGGCTGGACCAAAAAGATGGCTTCTGGAGCACCGCCAATCAGCCGTTTGATGGGACTTGAAAGCAAAGCACAGAGCTCCCTGTGTGGTGTGCTCTGAAGCCCTGATGCCATTGTGAATTCAAGTAATTGACAGGCCCTCACTACCTGATAGACATGGCCTGCAGGGGTAGGGGAGATAAGGATTTGGTCCACCACCCCCTCCCCGGGTAAATATTTGCCCTAACGATGAGATATCGATAATCTGACTCGGTGATTCCAAACTGCATTCATGCCCAAGTCACAGGGAGAGAATATAAAAGGAAATGAATGGTGAATCCACCATTTAATGGTCACTCTAATAAAACGATGGCAAAACCCAACATCTTTTTGATACCCACCACTACAGATTCCTTTCATGAAAGCTCTTTTCAATATGGCTTTAGGACTTGTACCTGCACTCTTTTCACAAAACAGTTAATATAAGGTTGCCAGCTGCTTTCCAAATAAGTCCTTTTTGTGTGTTTTTAATAGAAAGAAGTTCAACAGGTGCATTTGTATATCTTGGCAGCTGCATGCTTTTTAAAGAATCATGAACTTGTTGCAGCAAACCTAAGGAAACAGTTTATGAAGGGGTAGTTCCTTTCAATGCAGCCAATTCCGAAGAATGTGGGGGACCTCCTCCCAAAAAGCATGAGAGCTGGAAGCAAAGTAAGCTTGAGAGAGGGAAGGACCCCCACCTCCATCTTACCTGAAGCGCTGACATGTCGTCTGGAGCCCTGGCAGTGATTGCTGGTTGCACATCCAAGACATTGTAATTCCGGAAGAGATTCCGCAGCTGCTCCTTATTCTCATCAATCATCTGTATTACTCTAGAAAGAGGGTTAAACCTTTATTTATGGATTCATCTTCCTAGTGTTGAAAATACACTTTTAAAAAGTGTTTATGGCCAGAACGATCAACCCTCACCTCCCAGCTATAATTTCCAACTCAAGAGATCCTGGAAGCAGGAACTCATTCCATTAAATTGCATCAGAAGAGTCATGAAGCCCATCATTCAAATTCTTTTTTTTAACATAGTTGGGGGACCTGACACCTCCATGTGTTGATTGACTCCAGCTCCCATCAGCCCCAGCCAGCATGGCCAAGTATGATAGGAATTGAAGTCCAGTATCACCTGGAGGGCTGCAGGTTCCCCATCCCTGATCTTAAATCAGGTGTGAGACTCACAAAGGAATGGGACTGCTAGATTAGCAAGAAAAGGCTTTGCACAAATCTCTGCCATAAGGCAACAACAACAAAAACCCTTTCATGCTGAAGTAATCATTATATGAACTAGAAGGGCTGTTTCAATTCAATATTGATTTTTAGTTATGATCAGCAGAGGTTGCCGGGGTTGGCTACCATTGCTTGAGGGTCTTTCTATCTAATATAAATACTAGTATCAGATGCCAGCTGACCAAAACATTGCCAAAACACTAGGACCTGGGTCTAAGACTCCTCGTGCTTGTGACAGGAGAGGTTGTTATATCCAATGACATTATGCAGCCTGCCTCAATGTGACACAGTGCAAAGCATGGTTAGACCCATGTTTTATATGAGCAGCAGAACTGAACGAATCTTTAGCTGTCTATCCAACAAAAAAGTCTCTTCCTAACTGCTGAGGCAAAGGCAACTCTGTAGAGGAAGAGCCATTATGGTGCGATGTGGCTAAAAATGTTCGTGGGAAAGTCCTCAGCTCAAATCTCACCTAAGCCACAAACCCATTGCTGTGTTTCTTTCTGTGTTCAAATCTAAACCTACACAGAGGAGACACACGGCATCTTTACCGTTCTACATCCAGAATCCGGTTGGTTTCCCGGTTCACCACGTGGATCAGCAATTCCGTTTGGGCAAAGTTCACACGGCCTTTTTTGTCAACGTGGAACTATGGGAGACAAGAGAAAAAAAGGTGTCCCTTCTCCTATCCCATTCTTACATTTCCCTGTGACTAGATGGCTCCAGGGAACGCACCCCCAAAGGCTGGTTTTGCCAGGAAATTGCCCAGTTTTTCACCTCTACTTCTTTGACTGAGAAAGAAAGATCAACTGCTTGTTAAGGAAATGAATGTGTTGCCCCAAAGCAGCAGTTACCTGAACGTCATCCGTATTGACAATGGCCCCCGTGATGTTTGACAATAGGCTGATGAACTCTTCCTCAAATTGCCGTACTTTATCTGGGATCTCGTTGATTATAATCTTCACCCGTTGGTCATCCCGCAGGATATAGATTCCCACAACCGCAGTGTCGTTATGACCAGCCAGGTCTGAGGCCATGACATCCACCACAAAGTAGCCAGGGTTGTAAGCAGTGAAAAGGTCAAAGGTTCGAAGAATCCCGTCTAGGTTACCTTTGAGAAGAACCAACAAGTGACCCTGCATGGTCAGAATCATCACATGATGCAGCCATGTTGAGATTGTGCCACTTGAGGCTGCGTGTGGGAGACAGCATGCTTCTCCATGTAAAAACCTTCCTGAACATAAAAGCAGCACAGCAGGTTACAAGGTTTTAGCCTAACCACCTCTCTGAAGTGCTAGTTTTCTAAATGCTTGTGATATTTTTTAAAGAAGAGGGAGCATCCAGTCATTGCAGCCTGAAATGGTATATACCAAACAGGACTGTACCACCTGAGTGCTCCGAATACATGTGAATTAGCCTTTAGTTTAACTCACTTCCAAGACCAATTAAACAGTGGCTCCCTTGTATTTGCAGCAACCAAGATCTACTTAAAGAGGAATGAAGCAGGCAGAGATTTTAAGTATAACAGAAAGACTTGTTTTGTCCTGTGACACTTATACTCAAAAACCTGCCACAGTATAGTGCAAAGTTTCCTCAACCTGGGTCTCCAGCTGTTTTGGGACTACAGTTCCCATCATCCCTGACCATTGGTCCTGCTAGCTAAGGATCACAGGAGTTGTAGTCCAAAAACAGCTGGAGACCCAAGTTTGGGAAACCTTGCTATAGTGTAACCTCCAGCAAAGAGATGCTGAAGATAATATAAAGCAGTCTTTGTTGTATGGCAGCATCCCTGTCAGCAACTTTTCTCAAGCATGACTGATTAGCAACCTTATGGATTATATGACCATGGCTCTATTAGCACACAATGTTTTGCCTTTACGAGGGCCGGCCCACCCATGAGGCAAGGTAAGGCGACCACCTCAGGCGGCAGAGTCCACAGGGACAGCAGATCCTGATGTCTATATTTTCTTCCCCCCTTTGCTCCTGATGTTGATCTTCCCTCACCCATTCTTCCCTGACAGGGAAGTGGGCACCATTTTGGGGTCCGCCTCAGGTGCCAAAATATGTTGGTCTGGCCCTGGCCTTCACTATGTAAACTTAGCAGGGCTAACCAAATGCAGCACAAACAAGCGAGACAGTTCACTCGGCACGGGTCCCTCCCCATGCATGCTGTTGCCTCTCTTACCAATGCTGAAAATGTTGGCCACCTCCTCAGAGTCGTTGGAATGTTGCTTGATGTAACGGATACCCAGAATGCTGTACAAGACCAGGCTATTGTTTCCCACATCGGCATCCAATGCAACAAGCTTGATCAGTTCGGAACCCACTTTTGCATCTGTTGCTACCCCTTTCGGAAAGGGAGCAGGGTGGGGTGAGGCAGAGAAGTAACAAAGGAAAAGCCCCAGAGGGAGAAAATAACAAAAGTAGAAGTCATTTCTTGGGAAATAATACCTACATCAAGGGTGGCCAACCTGTGGCCCTCTGGCTGTTGTTGGACTACAACTCCCATCAGCCCTGGCTAGCATGGCCAATGATCCGAGATCATGGGAGCTGTAGTCCAAGCCAGGTCAGCCGCCCCTGTCTTAAAGATCCCATTGTACATTGTGGTAAAGAGAGGTCACTAGTCCTCCATTCTGAATGCGCTTATGCACAAATCACATACAGTTTTGCCACTTCACAAAACAGTAGTAAAGATTTTTACATCAGTCCTAAAATTGTACTTATTATTTTTCCTTTTGCAAATTGGCTTTGCCCAATTTGCCTGATTATACTAAAATAAACCCAGGCTGTAAAACAAATGATAATTCCCCCCCCCTAAAATTGCAGTAATTCAATTAGAATGGGCATTGCTCAAGTGGAACCATCCCTACCTGCTGTGTATTCTGATTTGGTGAACCGGGGAGGTTGGTCATTAATGTCATCCAAAAAGATCCGTACTTCTTGCAGAGTAGCATCAGTGCTGAGATCCATGGCTTGGATCCTGGTTGCCCGGCGACCCTGGGGAGGTGACCAGTTCCTATTGCTAGAGGCTTTGACAATGATAGAGTAGAAAGCTTCTTTCTCTCGGTCCAAGTCCCGCAACACCTGCAATTTTCCTTCCCGACTCAGCTGGAAATTATTCTCTCTGTTACCAGCTAGGGAAAAAGAGAGAGAACTAGTCAGTTCTGTTTTAAATTTGTTCCTCTCTAAAACGAGATTTCTGTAGTCGTATTAGTGTGGGTGGGTGGGGAGGAGATAGACACAGAAATTCCAATTAGGTTTCCTCCAATTTTTTTCATCCTTCAATCCCATTATCTAATGTTCACGGGCTAGTCCTACCAGGTGGGCACTCAGCAGTGCAGCTGTGGAGGTGAAAGGTAAATGACTAAACCGCTTCTGGTGCAACAGAACTCTGTGATGGAAGCCAGAGCGCATGGAAACTCTGTTTACCTTCCTGCAGCAGCGGTACCTATATATCTACTTGTACTGGCATGCATTCGAACTGCTAGGCTGGACGGAGCTGGGACAGAGCAATGGCAGATCACCCCAGGGATTCGAACTGTTTATCTTCTGATTAGCAAGCCCAAGAGGCTCAGTGGTTTAGACCACAGCACCACCTGCTCCTGCACCTGTGGAATTGAGCTTCTAACCACATATACATGAATACATACATACAGGCAACTCCCCATTTGCGCACAATCGGCATGCACATGACTGCTGCTGCACGTGCCATTCTTGGCATCGCAAGGGGGTGGCAGTGGAATGGGATAAATGGGGAGTTGCCTATCTCTCTCTCTCTCTCTCTAAAACACTGGATGGTTTGATACAAGCATAAGGCAGCGTGAAAACCATCAAAGGACAGTCTCGAAAAAGAAATGAAGTCTACCTGCAATGAAGTAATAGACGATAGCATTGGAGCCCTCGTCAGCATCTACTGCTCCAGTGACATTGCCCACCACTGTACCAGGACGTGAGTGTTCAGGCACAGAAAGAACCTGATAAGGGGGAGACCCTTTCTGCAGGAGATGTTGGGAGAGATGGGGAGATAGAGAGGGGGGAAAACCACATGTTAAAAGGTAGCAAAAATAAGACAAGCATAAAGGCACAAATGGTAAACAATGTGCAATACTAACAACAACTGACTGAATGAATTGCATTTGGGGGTGGGGGACTGCAAGCAAAATATTTTTTTGAACCTCAAATAAAATTTGAGGTGCGACCAATAATACAAGATATATAAAGACAGCTAAAAGAAGCAACCTAACTTTTCCCTTTGCTCTTCCTTGAAAGTCTTAGCTATTTTCTTTCTTTCCATTTCAAGAGCTTTTTTAAAAAAATCCCCCCACCTTTACTAATTTTTTAAGGAGTTAAATTGTCATCCAAGTACAGTGGTACCTCGGTTTCCAAATGTCTCCGTAGTCAAACGTTTTTGTTTTTGAATGCCAAAAACCCGGAAGTAAGTGCCTCAGTTTTTGAACGTGCCTTGGAAGTTGAACAGGAAACACGGCTTCCATTTTGAGTTTTCCGTACTGAGGCTTCCGGTTTGAGGCTTCTGGAACAGATTACTCAATTTCTTGACTTTAAGAAAGCCGACTTCATAAAACTTAGGGAAGTGCTGGGTGAGATCCCATGGACAGTAATACTAAAAGGAAAGGGAGTTCACGATGGCTGGGAGTTTGTTAAGAGGGAGATAGCAAAAGCACAACTTCAGGCAATACCAATGAGACGGAAACATGGAAGGTGCCTAAAGAAGCCAGGGTGGCTATCTAAAGAACTTTTAACTGAGTTAAGATTAAAAAGGATGTGTACAAAAATGGAAAGGGGGGAAACCACCAAAGAGGAATTCAAACAAATAGCCAGCACGTGTAGACAAAAAGTCAGAAAAGCTAAAGCACAGAATGAACTCAGGCTTGCTAGAGAGGTTAAAAGCAACAAAAAAGGCTTTTATGGGTATGTTCGTAGCAAAAGGAAGAACAAAGAAACAGTGGGGTCACTCAGAGGAGAAGATGGTGAAATGCAAACAGGGGACACAGAAAGGGCTGAACTCCTCAATGCCTTCTTTGCCTCAGTCTTCTCCGATAAAGAAAACAATGCCCGACCTGAAGAATTTGGAGCAAATGATTCAGCAGAGGAAACACAGCCCAGAATAACTAAGGAGATAGTACAAGAATACATGGCTAGTTTAGATGTATTCAAGTCTCCAGGGCCAGATGAACTGCATCCAAGAGTATTAAAAGAACTGGCAGATGTGATCTCAGAACCACTGGCAGTCATCTTTGAGAATTCCTGGAGAACAGGCGAAGTCCTGGCAGACTGGAGGAGGGCAAATGTTGTCCCTATTTTCAAAAAGGGGAAAAGAGAGGACCCAAATAATTACCGCCCAGTCAGTCTGACATCAATACAAGGGAAGATTCTGGAGCAGATCATTAAGCAAACAGTCTGTGAGCACCTAGAAAGGAATGCTGTGATCACCAATAGTCAGCATGGATTTCTGAAAAATAAGTCATGTCAGACTAACCTGATCTCGTTTTTTGACAGAATTACAAGCCTGGTAGATGAAGGGAACGTAGTGGATGTAGCCTACCTTGATTTCAGCAAGGCATTTGACAAGGTGCCCCATGATATTCTTGTAAAGAAGCTGGTAAAATGCGGTCTTGACTATGCTACCACTCAGTGGATTTGTAACTGGCTGACTGACCGAACCCAAAGGGTGCTCATCAATGGTTCCTCTTCATCCTGGAGAAGAGTGACTAGTGGGGTGCCACAGGGTTCTGTCTTGGGCCCGGTCTTATTCAACATCTTTATCAACGACTTGGATGATGGACTCAAGGGCATCCTGATCAAATTTGCAGATGACACCAAACTGGGAGGGGTGGCTAACACCCCAGAGGACAGGATCACACTTCAAAACGACCTTGGCAGATTAGAGAACTGGGCCAAAACAAACAAGATGAATTTTAACAGGGAGAAATGTAAAGTATTGCACTTGGGCAAAAAAATGAGAGGCACAAATACAAGATGGGTGACACCTGGCTTGAGAGCAGTACATGTGAAAAGGATCTAGGAGTCTTGGTTGACCACAAACTTGACATGAGCCAACAGTGTGACGCGGCAGCTAAAAAAGCCAATGCAAGTCTGGGCTGCATCAATAGGAGTATAGCATCTAGATCAAGGGAAGTAATAGTGCCACTGTATTCTGCTCTGGTCAGACCTCACCTGGAGTACTGTGTCCAGTTCTGGGCACCACAGTTCAAGAAGGACACTGACCAACTGGAACGTGTCCAGAGGAGGGCAACCAAAATGGTCAAAGGCCTGGAAACGATGCCTTATGAGGAACGGCTAAGGGAGCTGGGCATGTTTAGCCTGGAGAAGAGGAGGTTAAGGGGTGATATGATAGCCATGTTCAAATATATAAAAGGATGTCACATAGAGGAGGAAGAAAGGTTGTTTTCTGCTGCTCCAGAGAAGCGGACACGGAGCAATGGATCCAAACTACAAGAAAGAAGATTCCACCTAAACATTAGGAAAAACTTCCTGACAGTAAGAGCTGTTCGACAGTGGAATTTGCTGCCAAGGAGTGTGGTGGAGTCTCCTTCTTTGGAGGTCTTTAAGCAGAGGCTTGACAACCATATGTCAGGAGTGCTCTGATGGTGTTTCCTGCTTGGCAGGGGGTTGGACTTGATGGCCCTTGTGGTCTCTTCCAACTCTATGATTCTATGATTCTGTGATTCCATGATTCTACGTTTGAAAAACGAGGTACCACTGTATCTATATGAACACTACTCATAAGATTAAAAAACTGCAGATGAAAAAAGCCTTGAGAGCAGGGTGAACAGTGCATAGCTTGATGCAACGGCGTTGTGAACTCCTAATATCATAGGTATTCGCTGAAAACCTCCCTGACATTATGCCAAAAACTACGCTACCATCCTTTCCCAAATGTCTCCCATGCATAGATCTCAGGCAATGGGTATTTCCTATTTGTCTGCTGTCGTAGCAGAAATGAAGCAAGAAGAAACTTTCCCCTACGAATAACTGAACATTTCTCTAAGATCAAAGAATTCCCAGAATTTCCAGGGACTCCAATAAACTATTACGCAGAACGCATTCTGCAAACAGCATCCTGCGAGGTGGAGGTAAGAACAACCGTTCCCTGTATTGCTCCCGAAGGAACCCGATTGTTATTTTGGGACCTGGTATTCCACAGCTCCAATGAAGTCCAAAAGGGGAAGGGATAGACCTGCTTACAGGCGGCCTCAGGAAGATGGGCTCGTTGTCATCTATATCATCCAGAGCCACCTGGAGGGGTTGCATGGTCTCGTAAGGTGGTTGGCCTTGGTCACATGCCACAATGATCAGCTGCAGGAGGAACACATACAAAAAAACAACACCTGGTCTGTAAAAGGGAAGCTCAAAAGTTCTGGAAGGAAACCAACATTTATTTTCCCCTTTCCTCCCCATGCCAAAGGGAAGACTCTACTCCCTAGCCAGTCCTTTGAGTCAGAAAGGGGAAATAGGCAACAGGGGCATTTCTTAATTTAGGATATAAAATGAAGAACAGAAAGCTGGTTCAGTGTCTCAGTTCTGCGTCTGATGGCATTACATGGGATTAGAACTAATAAGTAGTTTAATTTCTTCCTCATTTTAATAGCCTGACTGGCTACCATCGGGAGGTGGCTCTGATCCTGATCAGTTCCTACCCTCAGAGGCCAAATTGGACAGGTGGGCCGCTGTATTACGATGTCAGGTGACTGGCAGGTGGCGCCTTGGTGCTGCACTTCCTAAGCCGCCGGCAGCTGGGTGCTTGGGAACTGTAGTGCTAGGGTGATTTGCCTTGCTTGAAAGCACTAAGCAGCGGGTGGCCAACCTACTTTCTGAGGGGGCCAGATGTACAGTGGTACCTCAGGTTACAGACGTCTCAGGTTACAGACGCTTCAGGTTACAGACTCCGCTAACCCAGAAATAGTACCTCGGGTTAAGAACTTTGCTTCAGGATGAGAACAGAAATCGTGTGGCAGCAGCAGGAGGCCCCATTAGCTAAAGTGGTACGTCAGGTTAAGAACAGTTTCAGGTTAAGAACGGACATCTGGAAAGAATTACGGTAACTTCTTAACCCAAGGTACCACTGTACAGTCAACCGTGTTGGTTGTGCAGTCAATCCAACAGACTTGAACCCACTGTCCGTCAGCAGATGGACAGTGACTCCAAACCCACTTTCTGCAGTGATTGGCTGTGTGACTGAGTTCCCTACGGAATCCAGCCGTGTTTCTGTCAGCCCCACATCTGAGCTCACATTGGATGTCAGGTATGGGACAGGTGGGCATGGTTTGGGGGAAATGGCCTTGTGGTCCAAATCGGGACCAACCTGGCCCTGTGGGATGGAGACTTCCCACCCTGGCCCACATTAACAGGTTGAACCTGTGACAGCATTGCAGTAGACCCCTATAAGAGGCTTGTGGAGCCATCCATGGATTAAAGAAGAAATAGAAGCCACAGAAAGAAACAGAGAGAGTTAGGAAAGGAACTGAGCAGGAAGGAGCTGGCTTCACACTTCCAGACCACATCTACAACATCTCTGCACCTGGGACGGGGGAGCAGTGCTCCTAATCTTTCAGACCTACCTGTGGTCTGTGCTGATGGATCCCTATGTATGGGGCAGCACATAGCTTGAGAGGGGAACTGACTGAGCACCTGGAAGGCTGCACTAGCATGCTGGTTCTAGGCCTGGTTTAAGCACACATCTTTACTGCAGCTTCACCACATCCCCAATCATGTTCCCATGTTTGTTATGCTTGTCTGAGTTCTCCACCTGCCCCTGGGCACCATTGCAGCACTGGGACACATCTTTGGCAGGCTGGACTTGGCAGCCTTCTGAGCAATGAGGGCCACAGCTGTGGACAAAGAACCACATGGGCTACTCCTGTGAATGTCCCAGCATTCCTGACCAGGGGACTTACGCTGTACACAGCTTGCTTCTCTCGGTCCAGCCTCATTGCTGTCTGGATGAGCCCGCTGTTTGGGTCGATGGTGAAGTATTCCCAGTCTTTGTTCCCTGCGCCGGTTTTGAGGAAGGTGTACTGCACAGCTCCATTGAGACCCTCGTCCTTATCTGTGGCGTAGACTTCATACACGTTGGATCGGAGAGGGATTTCCTGTTTGCAGACACAAATATTGTATCACCTGGGGAAGCTTTTAAGGATACAAGTCTAGAAGCGTCTATTGGGGAACAGTATGTCCTATGAACCATAAATCCCTACACACACACACACACACACACACACACACACTTCCCTTCATTAAAGGTTCGTCAAAGCAGAATGGCCTGCCAAACTTGTACTTAGAGCTCTTGCAGCCAATTCCTTTAAACTTCTGAACTTAGAAGCCTATAAGCTTCTAAGCAGAGCCCCTGATGTGCAGGAGCACCATCATGTTCTCAGGACAGCTCACACATTACTTTAAGATCAGGTTTGTCAGTACTCGCAAGTTGTATAATACAGAGAGCAGGTGAAAGTAAGATGTCATCCTCCTCCTGTTCTAGCCCAGTCTGAGGTGCCATGTTAGCTCATCACTTTTATATTTGTACTCGGGCACCTTTCTCATCCGTTTGCATTGCTGCCACCTGATGGACATTTCAGTTCTAGTCATTGCTTTGTTCATAAAGAAAAGCAGAATTTTGATTTCCCCCCTCAATAGTGCAGCCAGAGCAACTGTGTGCATCCTAATAATATCCAATTACTTATTACTGTACCTAAGATTGAGAATGATCAAATATGCTTCTGTTCAGGAAAGCAGGTGAGAGACAAAGCACGGATCAGAGCAGATATACTTTTTGCTGTGGGAATCTACACCATTAAGTCAGCTGGCTGCATAAAGCTACAGAAGGCCAACTCTGGACTACTGTATCGTTTATCGGAAGCATGAGAAATTCTAAATAGGGATTCACCTCTTTAATGTGCAAGATAGTTCCATTGGGGGGGCGGATAAATAACGGACGGTTATCGTTGATGTCAATAACATCTACTTGGAGCATAGTTGTTCCCCAGAGAGGTGGTCTCCCTTTGTCAGTGGCCAGAACTGTGAGGTTGAACCTCTCGTAAGACTGTAGGCGCCTGCGAGTAGTTATGAGCCCTGAGTCCTTGTGAATTCTGAAGGCCTCTACAGGCAGAAGAGATGGTACAGAGACTGCATTAATTATTGCACTACGGAAACAGACCTTTGCAAGTTTACTTCAATAAACTTATTCAACAAATAGCAAAATGGAGAAAAAGGAATGTGTGTGAACAAACAATAAATTCATTCATCTTCAATTTATTTGCTCCCTAATGATACATCAGACTAAATAATCGAATCCAGACAGTAATAAGTTTAGTAGCAACAGCACATATCTAGCTCACGCAGCAAATTTCATACTTTTAGGGCTGCCTATAAAAAATTCTCAGAAGTGCTGACGTTCCTGTGGAAACTCAGAAATCACTGCTACTTTTTAAAAAAGCAGATAAAAGGCTAAACAGCACTGAAAAGGTTAAAACTGTTATTTTTAGTTCTCTCCTTAAACAAGTGGGAATGAGGATACAAGTTTCAGAAGAAAGGCGATTTCCCTTTGCCTCAAATAGCGTAGTGGTTAAACGAAAACCTCGGAGACCAGGGTTCCAATCCCCACTCAGCCATGAAGCAGAGAAGGAGCTTTCAGTATTTCCAGACCTGGGATCTACCTTTAACCCAAACAAGCATTTGGAGACCTCTTTCTTTCTTCTCATATGATGGTGCTGCTGCTATTGCAAGCTGTTAGTGGGTTTTGACCCACCAGTTGAAGACCAACACTCTAGCGCAGGCTTTTCCAACCCTGGGTTGCCAGCTGTTGCCAGACTACAACTCCCATCATCCCTAGCTAACAAGACCAGTGGTCAGGCATGATGGGAACGGAAGTCCCAAAATAGCTGGAAGTCCAAGTTTGGGAAACCCTGCTCTAGAGGAATTTTCCTGTTGAGTTACTATGGGCAGACCCACCACTGGAGGGAGTGTAATGAATATTCAAGCCAAGCAAGTCTGATCATGAGGTTGTCACGGCTAAAATGGCCGCTGTTTCTTTAATGCGAATAAAGCTGGGTCAGCATGACTCAGCAGCCTGCAGCAGGTTGTATATATAAAGTGAGAAATGTTAGTTTGTGCTGAGGCTGGTGTTTGGGTTGGTTAGTGCTGGTGTGTATAGTTATTCAGTCGTGTTTTGCTCAAAGCCTTTTAAGAATAAAACTCTGCAAGGATATTCTCGTGGACTCTTTTTGTGCCGACAAGGGTCCGAGGACCAGGCTGAGGAGACAAAGGGAGGTCAGAACCTTTTCCTCCTTTTTTTGCTTTTTACAAATACTGACAGAAGTGTGGTATGGTGCATTCCTGCTTCAGAGGAGAAAGGCAAAAGGCTTTGCAGCTGATATTGTGCACCTCTGGGGACACCCTAGCGGTTGTCAAGGCAGCAGGTTTAGTGGCACTGACACCAATTCTTCTGTGACTGCTCCTTACGGGCCTGGTAATAATACTTCCTTGCTTTTCTCATTTTTTCCTTTCCCTGCTAGACCCATTGCTCAAAGGAGAAGAAAATCTGTAGAGAGTGGACGTTAAGCAGAAGAAAAAGAGGAAGAAGTGTACAGTGAAAAGAAGGGACAAAATCTAAGAGGGGGAAAAATTGAGAAGACTGCCAAAAAACTGGTGAGGATGGAAAGCTTTTCTGAACCTGGGTGACGCAGGGGAGGGTAGAGTCTCCCCAGCCAGCCTATGTCTTCAAATCTATGTTACCTGACCCTGCCTACCCTGGGCAGTAGGAGGAAGTGACCTATATCCGGATGCCTTCTTCCCACCTGACAGAAGAAAGACGAAGCAAAAGCAAAAGCCAGCATGGTCTCCCGGAGAGATCTGGATTCAGGATCTACCTCTGCACTGACACTTCAAATAATTAAATGGGAATAGTAACCCAACACACAGGATTATTGTGATGGTAAAGACATTACAAATCATTTTGCCCATTGCAACTCCTATGTGAAACAGGTAATAATTAACACCAATAACCAAGAACATCATACAAAGCAATACGGTACATATTGTCTACATCTACACAGTGATCAATTGCCTGCTCGCTCCCTCTTTTGTAAAATGGAAAGAAAGCGAGCCTTTTTGTGCTTTTGATGATTTCTGGGATTTTAACCCGTCCCGCTCTCTTTCTTCCCACCTGTCTACAAACCTTCTCTGTTCATGAAGCTACATACCTACTCCAGGTCCTTCAATATTGTAGGTCACCATTCCGTTGTCTCCCTCGTCAAGGTCAGTAGCAGTCATCGTGATCACAGAAGTCCCTCCCGGCTCGTTTTCATACACACTGGTGCTGTACTGTTTTTTGGCAAACTGGGGTCGGCAGTCATTGATATCCAAAACTGTAATCACCACCTGACATCAAAGCAAACCAATAATGTAGTTGTGGGGGGGGGGGGAGAAGCCCCTTAGAAGACTGAAGCACATGAACATCACAATCCTCCCATCACAATGGTGCACACACCGTGAATACGAAAAAACCTCACTTAGCTGGCTCATCTTTTTTTACGGGTATTTTTCTATGAATCAGCCCCTACAGCTTTATCTTCCAATCTGATCAGAAGAAGTGCTCTAGTCCGCTATACAGAGTGCAATCTCTAAAGAGCAGAGTACTTTATTTCCTGATTGGGAGATAAAATTCCTTTGCCCAATCTTTAGGGCTCCTATTGCCAGTGCTGACTGTGAAGCATCACAGTGTTAAGATCACAGATAAAGACCTCTCCCTGCTCTTTAAGGCAGCATTGCAACCATTCCAGAGCATGTGCAGTTTGTGTTATGTGTCTGTGGTCTGCAGGCCTCTAGGCTGTGTACAGATGCATACACACATATACTTTGGCCATACCTACTGCTGGTGATGTGGCCCTTGGAGGGGTGGCTGACCACCAATGCAGGCCTTGGGCTGCAAATATTTAGCCAACCCCGATGCAGATGGGGATCCTTGCATAATGGGAGTGGCATTTGTTGTCCTGTTGCACATGGCACTGAAAGAAGAGTCCATGTACATTGGAAATGTCTCAGTAATCCTCCCCTCTGCAGTTCAGCATCTGATACTGGTATGGTTTTCCTTACCTGATCCTGCCTGTGCCACGTGGTTCCTATGTAAAGCATAAAGGTAAAGTAAAGGTACCCCTGCCCGTACGGGCCAGTCTTGGCAGACTCTAGGGTTGTGCGCTCATCTCACTCTATAGGCCGGGAGCCAGCACTGTCCGCAGACACTTCCGGGTCACGTGGCGAGCGTGACAAGCTGCATCTGGCGAGCCAGCGCAGCACACGGAACGCCGTTTACCTTCCCGCTAATAAGCGGTCCCTATTTATCTACTTGCACCCGGGGGTGCTTTCGAACTGCTAGGTTGGCAGGCGCTGGGACCGAACGACGGGAGCGCACCCCGCCACGGGGATTCGAACCGCCGACCATGCGATCGGCAGGTCCTAGGCGCTGAGGTTTTACCCACAGCGCCACCCGCATCCCTTGTAAAGCATAGGGAGCAGTGATTGTGATGATTCCCATATGCATTTCTCCCTCTTCCCATAACATCTACAGTCATACCTTGGGTTACAGCCACTTCAAGTTGTGTTTCTTCGGGTTGCGGACCGCCGAAACCTGGAAGTACCGGAATGGGTTACTTCCGGGTTTCGGTGGTCAGGTATGTGCAGAAGTGCTAAATCGCACTTTGCGCATGTGCAGAAGCACCGATTCACAACCTGCGTGTGCGCAGACGTGGGTTGTGAACACTGCAGGTTGCGAACGTGCATCCTGCATGGATCACGTTCGCAACCCGAGCGTCTACTGTATTTCTCTTTCTCCATGCTTTCTTTGTTTTGTTTCTGACACAGTCTATGACTTTGTTTTTATTTTTATTAAATCTCCCCTCCTGCCTTGGTCTTCCATGCAGTCACAACCTTATGCACATTTGCTGTTGCTGCACTTAACTTTTCTTCTTTTCTGTACTCTTAGTAAAGTTTGGAATGGAAATACTGGGTGTCGCTATAAATGAGCAAAGCAGATATGGTGATACTTTGCCTCTTCCACAGAGGTGCATTTTCCAAAACATGCAGTGAAGCCTCTATGTCACTCAATTACCTGCACAGAGTTCTCTCGGCGGTCACTAGAAATGGCTCCTGGATTGTCTCTAGCTACAGCAGTCAACATATAATGATCTTTCTTTTCTCGGTCCAGGGTTGACATAATGTAGATATCTCCCTGGAACACACAAAGACCTTCAGAAAGTTATTGGATGCATTCAGGCACCTTTATGGAAGCGGTGCATTTGCTAGACGGAGCACATTGCTTTTCCTACTTGGGCATCAGCAGGGATTCAGTTGGACAGTAAGTTATTTTCCTATATAAAATGACATTTGCAGTCAACTGAAGGTACATCTGCACTGGGACCCCAATGTTGCAGTTTTGGGGGTTGGTCTCTTTGGGTCTTCGTAAGGTATAGCATGTGTCAAGGATATGCGACACAGTTGTGACAAAGGTAAAGTCTGTTGGGAGTGTTGCGGGTATCAAGGAGTTAACACCGTGCTAGGGGGAAATGCTGACTCAGTATCACGTGATGAGTCAGCATCATGAGACATGGGGCGTTGCCTACTTGGTCTATAGCAAGCTAGTATAAAGAGGTTCGGTTGACTTCCCCATGCTGACTTCTCCCCTGTATGTAATCCCTCCCACGTATACTGATTCCCGGATGTAAGAGGACTGCTTTATGATGACCCAAGACTGCAACTGCCTTACTTAAAATGCAGCTTGACTCCTGTCAAGTGGGGCATTTGTACGTTCCAACTCAGTTTACTATTGGTTTAAATATAATCTGAATCGTGCGGTGGCAAGAAGCCCCCTTGGGGCAGTCGGATGACTGTTCTGGAGCTTTTCTAAAAGAAAACTTCTTTTATAAAAGGACAGAGGGAAGGCTGTAGTCCTTGGACTGGCTCATAAATGGACCCTCTTGACCGTAAGTGTTAAACTGGGCCCATGATCTGAAGTGAGTCATGAGAGCCAGTGTGGTGTTGCTTAGAGTGTTGAACTAGGACAGGGGAGACCAGGGTTCAAATCCCCACTTGGCCGTGGAACTCACTGGGTGACTGTGGGCCAGTCATTGCCTTTCAGCCTAGCCTTCCTGACAAGGTGGCTGTAGGGATTAAATGAGGAATCATGTATGCTTTGGAGAAAAGGTGGGGGGTCTAAATGAAATAAATAATAAAACAGAATAAACATCTGCCTGGACTGAATCACGTGAGTCCACTTTTGAATCCAGGCTCTGTCGAGTCCATCCCTAGCTGTGGGTATTTGCACCCAACTCTGCTACTCGCTTCCTGGCAGCATATGAGTTCTTTATACATGCACTTCTCTTTTTCCACCACCTGCCCTCTGATAGTCAGCGGATCTCAGGCAAATGTGGGAGTGGCTCTGCTATCCACTAAATTGTTAGTAGTTGTTCAGTAGACCTGAATACAAGCAGGGTAGAGACGAAACTCAACAGAGGCTTGGTTAGTCAAAGGCTTGCAGGCTGGCTTAGTTTATTACCGTGTTGGGGTTGATCCCAAACTTGCCCTCCCCATCTCCCAGGCTGTACTCGATCTGGGCAAAGCGTCCCGAATCGGCATCTGTGGCACGGACCCTCAGAATGACAGTGCCTAGTGGGACATCCTCAAAGACAGGTTTCTGTAACAAACACAAGAGAAAATGATGATGTCAGACATTTTGATTGGTTCTAAAGGGGTATCGGACCCAATGCATGCCACAAACTGAGTGGTGGAGCTGCCTGTGTATCACCGATGACAAAGCCTAATCTGTACAACAAATAATCAGCTTCAGGATGTGTTGATGGCAATTAGGTTACATTCTTGGAAAAAACATAAGACTGATTCACAGAAGATAGGTCTATTAATGACTGCAGTGGTGCCCCGCAAAACGAATGCCTCGCAAGACGAAAAACTCGCTAGACGAAAGGATTTTGCGTTTTTTGAGCTGCTTCGCAAGACGAATTTCCCTATGGGCTTGCATCGCAAGATGAAAAACGAAAATGTCTTGCAAGTTTGTTTCCTTTTTCTTAACACCATTAATACAGTTGCGACTTGACTTCGAGGAGCAACTCATAGAACGCGGTGTGGTAGCCTTTTTTGAGGTTTTTGAAGACTTTGGTGATTTTTGAAGCTTTTCCAAAACTTCTTTTGCAGCCATTTGGTAAGTTAAACTTTTAAAACCTTTTTGGGGGTTTTTGGATTTTGGGTTGGGGTGTTTGGAATTCAAGGACTTGGTGTTGGGGAGGGGTTTGCAAGAATCTGGAAGCTTGTGTGGTTTTTTCCTGAATTTTTATGATTTTCTGTGACCATTGGGCCACTCTGCTGTTTTTTAAAAAAATTCTGGATTTGAATTTCTGTGTGGTGGGTGGCTGGGGGAACAGTTGAGGAGGGGGTTCTTCAGCAAGAAGCAAAGCGTGGAAGAGGAACCTTCTTCGAGTTGTCCCCCAGAGTCTTAGAAAATGTACTGTACACTTTGTTGATTTTTAAATGTTTTTCTGTCATGTTTAGAAACTTAATTTATTGTTCCTTCAGATTTTGAAATGCTCTTTCCAGTATGTGTGACTTTAAAGAGCACTTAATAAACTCTTGTTGTACCAAATTTGGCTTTGTTTGGACTTTTTTTGACCATAGAAACACATTAATTGAATTTCAATGCATTCCTATGGGATTTCGTGCTTCGCAAGACGAAAAATTCGCTAGACAAAAAAACTTGCAGAACGAATTAATTTTGTCTTGCGAGGCACCACTGTATTAGCCAATAAGGTTAAACAGAGTGCTCGTTTTCAAAAAGGCAGTAGGACTCTGAGGACCTGGTGGAGCAGGCAGTCAACAAGGAAATGCTTCGCCATCATGTCCTTGCTAGTGAACTTCTCAGAGATATTTGTCTGGTCAGAGGTAGATTTCAGACTGGATGGATAGAACATAAGCCTCATCTAACCTTGCACCCATCTCACTCCCCACAATATATTGTGAACCAGGGGCTACCAACCTTTTTGCACCCGTAAGCTTCTTTGGATTCAATCTCTTCCTAAATTACATGCGGTTATACGGTTAGTTTTAATGTGATTCTTATCACGGAATCCCACACCACAGGTGGTATGCTGTCCTGAATGTTACGCTCCATAGAGCTGTTTCAGACACTTAATAATATTTCATAGTAGAGGAAATTGTTTCATCTGATCCTGCTTCCCAAGTCCCCGTCCCTCACCTAGACATCATGTTTCAGTTCACCTGGTAGGATGGCTGGCTGAAGATGGGGTTGTTGTCATTGATATCCACAATTTCTAGGTGCACTGGTATCTCGGCTGATCTCCGGGGAGATCCGTTGTCGGAGGCCCGAACAGTGAAGTTCAGCCATTGAACTTCTTCATAGTCCACCGTCCTGTTGGAAATTACTTTCCCTGAAAGAGAAGATTATGACTGCCATCTTGACTGATGCTAATTTTTCTCCCACCTCTCTGCAGCCTTCTAACAAACCATTCTGAATGGGCATTAAAAATAAAATGAAAATGACATGCCCGCGGACGGCTGGTTCTACTATTGGAATGGCAGACAGTTAAGACTCTCTTGCGGCCCTTGGGACAAATTTCAAAATGCTTATCCAGAAACATATGTCCAGGGCCATTGCTAATGAAAATCCTAAGGGTCTGGTGGTCATTTCATGCTAGGAATGAAGCTCCACTTGGCTGGAGGCAAACAACGCTTTTGATAAACATTATTTATTTTATTATCTACTACTTAATTACAACTGTCTCTAAGTAGGATACAACAGAAATAAAAGTTGGTTAAAACTGTAAAATCAGAATTCAGTTAAAATGCTTGCTGGAATAAGCAAGTACAGTCGTACCTTGGTTCTCGAACGGAATCCGCTGCAGAAGTCCGTTTGAATTCCAAAACATTCGGAAACCAAAGCGTGGCTTCTGATTGGCAGCAGGAAGCTCCTGTAGCCAATTGGAAGCCGCGGAAGCCCTGTCGGACATTTGGGTTCCACAGAATGTTCGCAAACTGGAACACTCACTTTCGGGTTTGTGGCGTTCAGGAGCCAAAATGTCCAACTACCAAGGCATTCGGGATCCAAGGTACAACTGTATTTCATAGGTACCTGAAATGCAACATCAAGGGGACCTGTCTGACCTCCACTAGGGGGCCCAGAACAATGAACTCCTGGCTCCTGTTGGGTATGAGCCATGAATGTGAACCAAAGGGGACCACAAATAGTGATTCTGCGGAGAGCTTGCTGAACCTCTGGTGGCCATTGATTCTTGCATTACAAGCAAAGAACATGCAAGCACAGTCTTTCAGAGATCCCAGACTGGCTGTTTACAACACGGAACAATTTATTGAACACTCCTCCAGATAGTGCCATACAGAAGTTATACGACACTGCCAGCTAATGGTTTCTTACTGGACTTTTTTTGCAGTTAGAAAAGTGATGGGATCATTGCACTAGAAAGTGAAGGATAACAACAAAATTTTGTGCCAATAACGAGCCCACCTGAAAGCACCTTTTGTATTGCCCGTCTCCCAAAAAAGTTAGGTCCAAAAGCCTAAATTTAGTTTGTAATCTCCTTGGGGGCAAGGACACGTTTGTTGGGTTTTTTGTTTTTGTTTTTGGCTTATGCTACACTGTAAAGCCTCCTGCCAACCTAGCAGTTCGAAAGCACGTCAAAGTGCAAGTAGATAAATAGGTACCGCTCTGGCGGGAAGGTAAAAGGTGTTTCCATGCGCTGCTCTGGTTCACCAGAAGTGGCTTAGTCATGCTGGCCACATGACCCGGAAAAACTGTCTGAGGAAGCGGACAAACACCAGCTCCCTCGGCCAATAAAGCGAGATGAGTGCCGTAACCCCAGAGTCGATCACAACTGGACCTAATGGTCAGGGGTCCCTTCACCTTTAACTTACACTGTAAAGCACCATGTACAGTGATGGCACTGTGTTAAATAGGTCTTCATAATTAAACAATTTCTACAAATTACGAAGGAAACGAACGGTGCAGGATTCTTGAATGTACAGGAGGTATGTTTAGTTCTTAGCTAAATGAACTTGGCTATTGAGGTCAGCCCTAGCAGAGACCTGAGTGAAGTAGAAAAGGTTTCATACGAACTTTTTTTTCATAAGACTGCCCAAACAATGAAACTTCCTGTGCCATTGGAAAAACAATGGGAAATAAAATGGTACATTTCTCCTCCCCCATAGGGAGAAGCTTCTTTAGGGATCCCTTAGGGATTTCCTGGTAAGAACGGGGGAGAGGGGTCCCATGTGTCCCACCTACCTGCTGAGCTGTCTTCCAGCTGGACATATCCCTCAGGTGAAAGGTCGAGTAGCTCATAAGTGATCTGACCATTAGCACCTTTGTCTGGATCTACAGCTGACACGGATATCAAGGTGGTCCCTGGAGTAGCCCCTTCCAGGATCCTTTCCTTGAAAAACAGTGCCCCGAAAGGGCGGAAGCGAGGAGCATTATCATTGACATCCAATATGTTTACTGTCAGCTTTGCTGTGAGAGGCAGAGAGGGGAGGGGAGAACAGGAAAGAGTAAGGTTAAAACACCTGAACGTTTACCAGACTGATACCCTCTCCTTTTCTGATCTCAACACCATCGCGTGACTCAGTTTAATGTGAAAATTACAGGAATTGCCGTACCGTTTGGCACACTAACTGAGCGGTCCACCACGTCGCTGGCATTGTCGTAGACGGAGATGGTGACTTCGTAAGTGGCTACCAGCTCCCTATTTAGAGTGGACTTAACTTTCACAGCACCTGAAAGTAAGAAAAGGAAGGGGGCAAATTCAAACTAAATAGCATACTCAAACCATGGGAGCAAGAGCTTTCACAGGCCAAAGAAGTATGATCATCTACCAAATGTTTACAAGCTTCTTAGTCTCTTTTCACCTATATTCTCCCTAGCCAGAAAACCCATCTATAAACACACAGCACATCCAGATTCCTTTGGTTCAATCCAACCTAATTCTGTACCATACATTATTTAATATTTTTGGGTTGTTGGTTTTTTTTTACATTTCTTTTGTATCCCACATACTTTTATATTACGAACAAGACTTGTATTTCTTCAACGAACCTGGATACTGAGAGGCAGTGTATTTTGTGAGAACAATGACTCACCCTAAGTTAAATAAGTTCAGATATTGACCAGAATATGCTTTCAGTTCTGAACAGAATGTGTATCAAGGCATACTTGCTGAGAAAGGGTTTCCAAATAATCTGAACAAGGCTTCAGTCCTGAACACTAATACTAGGAAGTAGACCCTATTAAACACAATGGGATTTCCTTCTGAGTAAAAATGTACAGGATCGCTCTGTTAATCTGGCTCCTGTGGCCTGCTAAATCATGATGTGGCCTCAGCACACCTTTCAGGTCTGTCTCCTTTCTGTGACACTCATGGTCTACCTTAGCATAGCAAACTTATATGGAGCCACAGCACTGCGTTCATGAGGCTGCACGAGGAATGGATAAAATGCTGGCCTTGTGCAGAGAGAATTTAATCTATGATGCCCCTTGGGTGACTATGAGTAAAACACTATCTCTTAGAGCAGGCATAGGCAAACTCAGCCCTCCAGATGTTTTGGGACTACAACTCCCATCATCCCTAGCTAACAGGACCAGTGGTCAAGGATGATGGAAATTGTAGTCTCAAAACATCTGGAGGGCCGAGTTTGCCTATGCCTGTCTTAGACTACCCCCTTCTTTGCAAGATTGCTGTTCGTATAAAATGAGGTAATAAGATTCATACAAGTCTCCCTCAGCTCCTTCAAAAGTTGGATAAGAAAAGTGATAAAAGAAATTGCAAGCTGACCACTGTGGGCCTTAAGGGTCAGAACACCAAATTTGTGTTACACTGCATTCAGGACTCCTTGCTACCTTGCCCTATCCACCAAAGAACAGGACGGAAGTTCACTTACCCTAAAAAATCCTTGCCCCTCCCACTCCCTAGCAGCTAGGTGCTTCCGAGGAGCTTTCAGCATTCAGTCTGTGAAGGCTGTGACACAATGCATGGAAGGCACGTTTTGGCTGCTCTTTGCCAGCAAGACACAAACCGGCACTGAACCAGGGATGATGAGGATGAGAATGGAGGAGGTGTTGACTGAGATGGAAAGAAGACACTGAGCACACACATAGAAACAGAAAAACCAAACCTGCAGGTCTGAGAGCCGTAAGGGAAATAAGAAGATTATAGTTAGTTATAGTTGAAGTGAAGCAAGTAGCCATTCAAAAGTGTACAGAGAAAGCAAAGGGAGAGTCAGAAAGGGAAAGGCAGACATAGGAAAAAAGGGAGAAGAGCAGGACGTGAAAAGGAAAGAGAAGCAGAGGTGGGAAGAAAGTAGAAAAAGTGGGAGAGAAACTTCCTCACTGTATTCTGCTCTTAGATTAATGGCTGCTGTGGTCAGGAGAGTCTTGCCCAGCTTTGGCAGTTGTGTCCACTGCACCCCTTCCTAGAAATGGTGGGTCTGCCTACAGACACAGTGATACATACCTCAGTCACCTTCCAGTTTAGATTACTGTAATGAACTCCCTGTGGAGGAGTGCACCTTGAAAAGCATTCAGACACTGCGGCTGGTGCAAAACAGCCCAACCACTTGTGGTACACACCTTTTTAGACCTTTTAGATTCATTTCTGGGCTGAATTCAAGGTCCTGGTGCTTACATATAAAGCCGTAAACGGCTATGGACCAGGATAGCTGGAAGATCTTGCTCTCTCATACGAACCTGACTGTGTGCTGATAACATCACCGCTGTGACATTCCCTCCCAAAGGAGGTGAGACCAATCCCATCCCTGATGGCATTGAGATAGGCAATGAAAACATTCTTAGTCAGCGGTGCAACTTTTAATGGTTTTAAATATCTGGCTGCAGATTTTACTCTGATTGTAAGGTTTAACTTTTGAAACTTGGTGGTGCTGAGTTTTACATCAGCCACAACGGGGAGCTTTTTCTTAGGGCTGGAACGTGGGATAAAGTGTTCACACAAATAACTAAATTGTTGACTTTAGGAACTTTTCAATATACAGAAGGTCTAACAAAGCAACATTTGATAAAACTGTTACTATAAATGATGTTTTGGGCCGATAATGTTTCTTTTCAATGTTAAAATGGTATAGAGTATTCCTTTTTCCTGCCTTCCATTGATTTTGGCCATTTTCCTTAGAAACTGTGTTACACTCCCATGTTTGGAGCAGTATTTCAGCCTCCCAACTTTTGTACCTGTTCTAAAATCCACTGCAAACGCTCCCTGCTGGTCAGGCACAAGAGCATCATTATCATCTTTGGCGAGGATTTCAATGATGTAGTATTCCAGTCGGGGATTGAGGTCTCTGTCTCTTGCAGTCATCTCAGCAACAACCGTGCCTATTTCAGCCGATTCAGGGACACTGACGGTCTGGATGGGGTTGATGAACTCTGGCTGAGAGTCATTGACGTCGTCAATGAGGATGCTCACAGTGGCGGTGCCAGAGAGAGGCGGTGTCCCTCGATCCACAGCAATCACCGTCAGCCGGTAATTGTCCTTCTCTTCTCTGTCTATGCTGATGTTGGCCACACTGATCACCCCTGTGTTGGTGTTGATCACAAACCTATCTTGAGCTCCACTTTCGATCCGGTAGCTCAGCTGCTGGTTGAGGCCACTATCCATGTCAGTTGCCACTACCTGGAGAACAGAAAAACCTAGGGGGGACATCCAGACTGTGAGAGCTTTTCAGTTACCTGAATCCTTAGAACACAACAGCTGTCATCTAGGATCAGTCCCACAAACTGTTGTCTCCAGCAGTCTTCCCCTGCTGAAGCCTGCTATAAAGAAAGCTTAAGAAAGCTCATTAAGATATAGACGTGTGACGATACTGTGATATGAAATACCTCCTTCCTACAATCTGTAAAGAACATATGGGGAACAGATAGGGTCAAAGGAGCTAAATGAATTCCATCAGATTGTAGAATCCCCGCTTGTGGAATGCTCTCCCCAGGGAAGCTCACCTGGCGCCTTCGTTATAAATCTTGAGGTGCCAGGCAAAAACATGTGTCCAGTTCTGGGCACCACAGTTCAAGAAGGACACTGACAAACTGGAACGTGTCCAGAGGAGGGCAACCAAAATGGTCAAAGGCCTGGAAACAATGCCTTATGAGGAACGGCTAAGGGAGCTGGGCATGTTTAGCCTGGAGAAGAGGAGGTTAAGGGGTGATATGATAGCCATGTTCAAATATATAAAAGGATGTCACATAGAGGAGGGAGAAAGGTTGTCTTCTGCTGCTCCAGAGAAGCGGACACGGAGCAATGGATCCAAACTACAAGAAAGAAGATTCCACCTAAACATTAGGAAGAACTTCCTGACAGTAAGAGCTGTTCGACAGTGGAATTTGCTGCCAAGGAGTGTGGTGGAGTCTCCTTCTTTGGAGGTCTTTAAGCAGAGGCTTGACAACCATATGTCAGGAGTGCTCTGATGGTGTTTCCTGCTTGGCAGGGGGTTGGACTCGATGGCCCTTGTGGTCTCTTCCAACTCTATGATTCTATGATTCTATTATAAGCCTTTGGCTAATTAAACAATGGATGGCCTTTTAAGCTGTGTGTGTGTGGAGAGGTGGTGGTTTGTTTGTTACTATGGCGTGTATTCTTGTGTTTTTATATTGCAATCTGCCCTGTGATGAAGGACAGTATAGCAAAATAATAATAATAATAATAATAATAACAACAACAACAGGCTGCATAAAGGATAATATGGATGTTCATGGTGAACTGAAGGTAGGCCATATAGGTGACCTGAACAAGATGTGAACTCCCACATTAAAACATTAAAGAGTGACGAACACTTTGTACATTCCTCGATGGGCAAAACTATGTAGTGACTGCCAACTAAACACATATACACGGAAAACAAATAATTGTCTCTTCCTTATTTGCTAACTTATGGGAACAGAGCAAAAAAGGAAAAAGAAAAATGTGATCCTTTGTTAACTGGAATTTTGTTCCAGTAGTCTGTCTGTGTCCAAAATACAAGTGTGTTTATCAGCATGGTAATAAAAATATAATCAGCCCGATCCAGACTTCACACTGATTTCACTGGACCTACTGTAAGCCTGTCTAAATGGGGATCCAACCCAATATCCGTATTGCCCACAAATGGCCAGAGAGTGGTGTAGAATATTGTAAATCTCTTGATTTCCTGGATTGCACACTTCATTTTCAATTATCACTGTATGGTTGTTGTTTTTAAGAAATCCCAATACCTATCCTCATCTCAGTCTCACTAACTTATTTGTACTTTGCCTTCATTCTGACCTGGAGGGCTGTTTTCCAGCAGGTGAGCAGTCAACAGGGCCGGGTGAAAAGTTGGCCTATTGTCATTATCATCCAGAATGGTCACAGTGAGCCTAGCGGTGCTGTTCAGCTTTCCAATATCCATTGCAACCAGCAGAAATTCCAAGACCGGATTCAAGAAGGCTTCTCTGTCTATCACTTGGCCTGGCTTCACCAAAACAACCCCTGGAAGTTATGAATAAAGATTCCATTAGGAAAGATAGGAACCAACTATAGGCATGTGCAGCCAAATTTCTACCATGCTCCACAGAGTGCAAATCTCATTTTGCCAAAATAAAATCTGCAGCAAACTCTACAATCCTACGATTCTATTAAATTGGCACCAGCACTTGGAAGTTGTAACAAATGGCAAAGGAAAAGGGAAGTCTGGAGAGCTCCTTACTTGGAGACCATTATCTTGTCACCTCCCAACAATTTTTCCCAGTGAAGCCTATTACCCACACCACCATGTGACATCTACAAACTATATGTAGAGCTTGCCACCAAAATGGTGTGTCGGTAGGGTAGAAGACTGTTTTGTCAAAAGGTTCAGCCTACTGTTGTGCAGGACTCAAGAACAAAAGTAGGCCATGGTATAAAATAGTGGCCCCTCCTGTTTGGCCTCCAGCTTACTCACTCACTGTTTCGGTAAACAAAAGCTGACACCACTGATGAGTTTGTTTATGCAAGTCTTTTCAATACCTCGCCCCCAACGATAAGCCAAACAGACGAGTTGCAAGGCTGTACTCGCTTCGCATTGTAGGTGAGGTGGAACATGGAATGCTCCTACCCAGATCTTCTCCATGTGCTTTAAAAAAGCCCAAGGTTCATTTCTGGCCTGCTCTCCTATTGGTCAGGGCAAATATTCCATTACCTCCTCACTCCAGACCAGGGTATTGCACTAGATAGGCTGTCTGCCTGGTAGTGGGTATGTCTTTCTTACCTGTTCTGTTGTTGATGCTGAAAAGGTCTGTCACTGCCCCAAGGAGCTGGTACGTCACCACAGCATTGATGCCCTGGTCGTTGTCCAAAGCTAGAATTGGCCCATTAAGGACTGTGATGCGAGTTCCTGAATTGAACATGGAAGGCCATTCAATCAGAGAGATAACATCAATAAACTGCCTCCTTTCCCTCCCCCCCCCAATGATTAACAGTGAATAATGAATGGGTGAAACAGGGTGAGGTCCTATGAAGCATGAGACAAAAAAGAAGTGCCTGGTGAGGCCTTGGCAGACTGAATCAAGAAGCCCCCTGGGAGACGCCTTACAGCCCTGCTAAAACAAAACAAAAAACACACACACAATTCATCAGGAATATTGAAATGAAAAGGACATTTAGTGGGAGTTTTGCCTCCTCTTGTTTCTGAACTCACATACTATCAGGGAGCGTGGCAGGCAAGGACATTGGTTTATTGAAGTATAAACATTTTGACAGGAACCTAAAAGCACTTAAAGTTCAAATAAATGGTCTGAGAATCAGGAATGATCTTCCAAGCCTTCTCCAACCCATGGTCTGGAAGATAAGGAATACAAATACAGCCAATATCTTCCAGGGAAAACTTGCTAACATGAATTCTGATATGTACACTTCTTTGGCCTCAGCAAATGGGACCACACTAATTCACAGTCAGTTTCTTATATGCTATTATTATTTAAGAAAGGGAGTTAGAGAAGGTCTTAAAACTTATTCATAAGCTTGTTCATAAAAATCCCAAACTACTGGTTTCAAGAAACAAATAAAAGTATTTTGCCATTTCACAACAGAGAAAAGAACTATGGGTATTTTAGTAGCCACAGAAAACGGATAGCATCTGTATAAAACAGAAGTGATCATAGTAGAAAGCATCCAACTGTTAAAAAAAATTCTGTCATTTCCAACAAATCCACTTTTACCAGGTTTAATTTGATTTATGTTTTCCAGCTTTTCTCAAACACAGCTCCCCAACTTTGTTAAGCACATCTTCTGATACAACAGCTGCTCTAGGTTCTTGGCGACTAATGCAAAACAATTTATTTGACCTCCACTATATGTGACATATGGGACGTGGGTGGCGCTGTGGGTTAAACCAAAGAGCCTAGGACTTGCTGATCAGAAGGTTGGCGGTTTGAATCCCTGCGACGGGGTGAGCTCCTGCCTGCTCCTGCCAACCTAGCAGTTCAAAAGCACGTCAAAGTGCAAGTAGATACTGCTCTGGTGGGAAGGTAAACGGCGTTTCCGTGTGCTGCTCTGGTTCGCCAGAAGCAGCTTAGTCATGCTGGCCACATGACCCGGAAGCTGTACGCCGGCTCCCTCGGCCAATAAAGAAAGATGAGCGCTGCAACCCCAGAGTGGGCCACGACTGGACCTAATGGTCAGGGGTCCCTTTACCTTTACCTTTATATGTGACATATTGAGAGTCCTAAGTCTGCCACCTGCTTTTTCCAGGTCAAGGATGGTTCTGCTCATTTACCATTAACATCAGATGAATTTTTCCTGACTTGATTTGCATCTGGGTGGGTTTTTTTTGGGGGGGGAGCAGTTCCTCTATTTCTGAAAAAGTGGTTGGAGAAGATTGAAAAGAGGCAAGTGTATGCCAAGTGATGTTGTGGAAGAACAGATAACAGTGTTCAGAAACTGAGATGTCCTAAACAGCTTTTCCTTCTTAAGTCAGCACATTACTTGTTGCAACAGTTTTAACACAATATTGTTCAAAAGTAAAAAATAAGATATAATCCCATTAACAACAGAAGACCTGGGCTGAACAAATGGACCTCCTGCAAACTGCGAGATTCGAATATGTTAAGAGGAAGCACATACCTGGAGGGGAGTTCTCCAGGATCTCAGCCTGGTAGGAACTCTGAGTGAAGAGGGGGTGGTTATCATTTTCATCTGCTACTGTAATCACCAGCAAGTCGAAATCCTAAAGTGGTGTGAACGAAAAGGACAAAATGACTACAAAAGAAGCTGCAGTTGCCTTTAGCAGGGGCTCCTTCTCGCAATCATCATGACTGCTAAAGAATACAGACTGGTCTCTTCGGGGGTTTTAAGGTTTTGTTTAGATTTACAGGCTGCTCATGAGCTTCGCTATGCTTTATTGACTGAAGCCTGAATCCCAGAGACCAATTCAAACAGGTAGGTCATATACCTCTCAAAGGTGTTCAGGCTTGGACATTTGCCTCTCTTTAGGTATGTGCTGTTTGAACGTGATGCACATGTGGCAGTATTACAAGGGTGCTTTTTCTGTTTAAGCCAGTACCCAAAGAGAACGTGGAGCCAGTGCAGACATTCAACAGTGGTGTAATAGATCCTCTACATATATTTCTGGAGATAATGGCTAGATCTACCATGTTATACCAAGTTTAGTA